TCGTCGTGTGAGTCATGTTGTTTCTGAGTTTTGATAACACCACGAGATATTTTGGATCCTTCTTTGCACGTTTGTCATGATATCGTAAGAAAGGAATTTGATGATTGCTGAGAATAAAGCAGTGCTGTGCTTGTGAGTTTCTGCATTTCTACTAAATAATATATTTCAACTGGAGCTTTTGAATAGACTACACAAGAGAATGACTTGGTTCATACTCTAGTTCCGTGTTTCGAAATGAAGCAAAAGTGACGTAAAAACTGTTCCATAAAATACAGAAAAATCTAGAGAGAGACGTCTATGGAACAAATTCTTCATGAACAATCTATATTGCTCGGAACTCTCTTGACTACTCTCGAAAATTCTGAAAGAAACTTTCTTATCTATGTGAGAATGGGCCATGTTTAATAGCTTTATACTCTCAAAGAGCATAAAAAACTTGTGAAATAAACATTGGCTTTCTTCCGATCCTTCTTGTACCCTATGAGAGTTGTCATTATATTAGCATACGAGAATAAGAATATCGATAGTTGAAAAAGCCATATTGATCGTTCTTGCCATAGTTGTAGTCATCTCAGTCCAAGCCATAAAGGGTATGACATAGTCGTCAGTTGATAAAGAGAAGAAGTTGGATTGGTATCCTTTACTGTTTTCCTTGTTGTTGTTGTGACCGACAAACAGTCAATCGTTCATTTGTTTATATTTGTACTCCGAAATAAACTGAAGGTTGTTTAATTTCTCTTTGGCGATGGCGAGTTTGGATGAAAAGTGGAAAGCTGTGGACAACTTTGAGTCTGTTGTGGTAGATCGTGAAAGGGATGTTTTTTTTGTGACAGAAGAATTGTATTATCTTCATAAAGGCCGAAAGCAACTCAGGGGTGTAACAAGTAGTTGCAACTATCGCTTGACGATACCATTTGCCCCTCATCTCTTTGGCTCAGGCAAAACGACCTTTGCCCGAACCTATTTGGAGTTGGTGCAAAGGTTTGGTGAAACTTTTCTGTCGAATTTTGCTTCAGACCCTTTGAGAAGAACCTTTTTGGAGAAGCTGAAAAGGGCTTCGTTGCTCTTTGTGGATTTGAGGAAGTTGGAGCCCACAGAACCGAAAGAACGCAACCTAAAGTGGGCAGTCTACTATTTGTTAGTAAAGGCTGCTTTTTTGCAATCAGGTCTTCCGCAACCAGACCCGGACGAATGTTTCAAGGAACTGAAACTTAGGAGTGATGCTTTGGTTCAGAAAATCCGTTCAATCTTAGACATTCCTTCTGATCAATATCTTTTGTTGGCATTTGATGAAGTTGGTGTGTTTGATACAAAGGGAACTTTTTTTGAACTGGAGAAGAATGACAAAGGTGTGGTTCGACCTTACAATGACTTTTTCGGTATCATTAGTCATTTGTGCGAAGAACCCGACTTGTTTTTTATTGTTGTTGGGAAAAGCAAGGGTTTAAGTATTAAGAATGATGTGGCTTTTGGGCTATCGAGAGTTATACTACATTTTATTTCTTTATCACCTTTGGACGCTTCCAGTATCGTTGAATTCCTTGAAAAGAGTCTTCTAAAGACACCTACTCAAGTTCCAGTTTGTAATGTCTTATGTAGTTCTTCATTTTCAGTAAATGAATTGGCAGACTCATTATTGGAATGTACAGGTGGAGTTCCTGGTTTGTTGACTCGTGCAGTGAATATGCTTTTGAATTATATAATAGCAAGAAATCAGCCTTTCATATCGAAAGAAGAATGTTTGACGTGTATGAATGACTATGATTTCCGAATAATTTGTGCTGAACCATTTGTGGAACGAATATTGAATTTGGACGAAGATAGAAAAAGTGTTTTTGATTTACTTTTGATGATGGCACTTTTTCGTATACCGTTTCAAGTAGATGATATATTGACCTCGGAGTCCTTTTTATATGATGCAGTCACTGAAATGGGATTATATCGATATCCTATTGACGAGAATACTTTTCAAGTCCTGATTCCAAAAGTATTTGTTGGAATCTTCAAGAGGGACCCTTCCATATCTTCTTTGGAAAACATACTTCTCGAATCACTTGATGTCGAACCAGTAGATTGTTTCTTCTATTCAAAGTGTCGTGTATTTGAAGGAATTGTTGCTTTACGACTAGTTTTGATGTTGTCTTCAAAGAATCGAAATGAGTTGAGGGATTGTTGTGTCAATTGTCTCCGATATGGAAACAAATGAAACTTCCAATCAGTACAATATCACCTATTCACTATATCAAGTCTGTTGTTAGTTCTAGAGAAACAAGAAGTGAATCGAACAAGAGTCGAAGAACTTTTGCCAATACTGAATGGAATAAGATTATTCGAGAGACACTTTATTTAGAGACTATTTACATTCCTTTGGACGCTACTTCTCATAGTCCTGATATTATATTCAAATTACAATCTCCTGTGGAACCCAAAGTTCTTACTGTTGGAGTTGCATGTAAAGGACGTTGGAGGTCGGAAGGAATTGGCTTGTCAGATATTATAGATGAAGCCAAGAAATTTTTAGATCCTGTTTATGATCAAGTCTTATCCAGTGCAATGGATTATCATCATTGTATGCTTATTATCGTTAGTACAAAGTTATCATTGAATGTTTCTAATGAGTTGGGTAATCAGAGTCGTTGTTACTCCAGTGGAATGTTTATTGGAAATGATTCTTTCAAAGTACCTGATAACTGTGAACTTGTTATTCTTTGTGAAAGAGATATGGAAATGCTGATTGACGAAGAAATATTGAATGGACTTGAAAGAGCATTTGGTGTTTCTCACAATCCTACTTTTTGGGATTTTGGATTAGATTTACTTGATAGAATCCGTAACAGTTTCTTGAGTTGGCAATAGACTTTTAATCAATCCTTCACTTTGTGATTTCTTTTTAAGAGCAAGTAAACTTTTTTTTGTATGTTTGAAACTCGGTTACAACTTATTTGCTTTCACTCTGAGGATTATTGTCTTAATATGGTACTAACCACGAAAATCAAAATAAGCCTATTGTTGTAAAAGTCACTGTCACAGTTTGACAGGTCTTGTTTGCTTCTTGTTACTTCTCAGGAGAGTGTCTTAAAGTGTTGACGATTGGGTTTTATACAAGGTCTTGTATTCGTCAAAGACTTTATTTATAGTTCGCCTTAAGTTGAAGGTTCCTTAGCTGGTCTATTTTCTAATAGCTCAGAGAAGTTGTTTTTATATACAATCGCACACAAACCAATATCTACTCTTTATTACAAAAAAATGAAAAAGATAGTCTTTATCTAAGAGGCAAATCATGTTCTTATCAAGACTTGTTCAAAGCTTCAAAAGACTTTCGTCTCAATCAAGAGTTTGAGCATTGGACTATTAAAGAAGATTGATCGATCATTGTTGTATTTTACTGTCGCATAGTTTACTTCATAGCTTGCGATATGTCTAGTGAGCTTGAACCAGAAACCGTATATGACATGGTGTTAGTAGACCGAGAAAATGATGTTCGTGTAGTAACAAAGCAGTTATTTAGGCTATACACTCTCCGTAAACTTGGTCCCCCTTTCAAACCAGTCATACCCTTTGGTCCTCACCTCTTCGGAAGTGGGAAGACAAAATTCGTACAAAGTTACTTGGAACTAGTGAATAATATGGGTGAAAGTGCACTGATAGGTCTCGATCACGTTTGTGAGTCTGAGAAGGCCAACCGAAGAGGTTTCTTGGAGAAATTAAAAAGGGCTTCAGTGTTGTACGTCGATTTAAGGGAGTTGGAGCCCACAGACCCGAAAGAACGCAACCTGGAATGGGCAGTCTACTATTTGTTAATCAAGGCCGCCCACTCTCAAGTTGGCGCTGAAATATTTTCAAAGAAAGAAGCCTTCGAAAAGGTGGATATGGAACCTTCCAACTTAGTTCCACTATTACGAGATATACTAAGGATTCCTTCTGATCAATATCTTCTGATAGCATTTGATGAAGTTGGTGTCCTAGACGAAAGTCTCGACGAATTTCATTTCAAGAGAACCCATGACGATAGAGTTCGACCTTACAACGACTTTATCGGTATCATTAGTCAACTGTGTGAAGAACCCGACTTGTTTTTTATAGTTGTTGGGAAAAGTGAAGGCTTAAATATATACAATTACGTAGCTTCAGTCTCAAGGGTTCAGTTAGTATTTATTCCTCTTTCGCCGCTTGAGAAACATAGTATCGTGGAACATTTGGAGAAAAGTTCTTCCTTTTTATTCCCTGGGAGCCCAAAGGTTTCAGAAATTTTTTGTCACGAAGACTTCTCAACTAGTGAACTTGCAGAATTGTTGTTGGAATTGACTGGTGGTGTTCCTCGTTTACTTGTTCGAGCAATCAGTTACCTTTTGCTGTATAAATCATTCATCAACAATTTCTTATTATCTAAGGAAACCTTCTTGATCATAATGAATAGCTTTCTAGTAACAAATTATTGTGTTGCGCCATTCTTACCTCGTCTGATAAGTCTCAGTGAGCAGCGTAAGCGCTTGTTAAGAATGCTTACGTTATTATCTTTGTATCGTATTCGATTTGATTTTGATGAAACTGTGCAAATAAGCTCAAATTCTGATGTGTTTTTGTTTGATCTAGTTACAGATATGTGTCTCTATCGTCGATTGGTTATGGAACCAGACCGCAACGAACGCTATGAAGTGTTGATTCCCAAGTTATTGATTGAATATGTTGACCAAGGCTTAAAGGATGATCGTTTAGAATGGTTACTTTTACAAACTCTCAAGTCTCAATCTGTTGAATTCTTTTATGAGTCGAAATGTCGAATTTTGGAAGGTCTTATTGCTACACTGTTTTATTTACATTTTTCTCGGCATCCTACAAACAGCTCAATGTTTTCTACTCTTGGTCAATTGTCTCGTTTTTGGAATGAAATGAATTTACAATTTTCTTCCGAATCTGCTGCTTATTATATGAAATGTATACATTATACCAGAGCTGTATCAGGAGCAGAGAGAATGACATTTGGAAGCAATGATGAATGGGAAAGGATAGTGGAAGAAATTTTAGAATTTGAAAAGATATATATTCCATTTCATTCAACATCCCATAGTCCAGATATATTATTCAAGTTGCATGGAAGAACGAATGAGAAGAACTTGATGATTGTGGGTATTGCTTGTAAAGGCCGATGGAGTCGTAATGGTATTCGATGGAATGAAATTTTGGAAGAAGCTCACAAGTTTTTAAAACCAGTTCATGATCAAGTATTGACTAGTCATCCTACATGGCATTGTATGTTGATTATTATGAGTACTCAGTTGGCTACCAATGTATCTGAGGACTTGAATCATTCTAGTCGTTGTTGTTCATCTGGCGATGGTGTTGAAGATTTCGTGATTCCTCACAACTGTGAATTGGTTATTCTTTCTGAAGCTGATGTAGAAAACTTTATTGGCAAAGACATTTTATCGAATTTAAGGAACGCTTTCAGGTCTGTGGATAATCCACATTCGAGAAATATTGGCATTTCAACCGTACAAGAAATAGTTTTATCTCTTTCCAAAAATATTTAGGAATATCTTGTTTTAATATCTGAGAAATTTTCCTAAAATAGAAACTTTCAAAAGTTGTTATAAATCAGGTGCTGTTTTATAAGAAACTGTCAAAAACTATATCAAATTTGAGCAAATTTATTCCTCCTACTACAATTGCACGATTTGGATGACATATTCCATTGTTACGTGCTGTATAATACATAAATGAAACTTATAAGAACAAAGCTGAGCTCTGATTTTGACGTTTATTTCCATTGAAAACGACGAAATAGTTTGGACTTTGCACAATTTCAAAACTTGGCAACTTGTTGCTACATCTATTCATGTTTGTCTTTAGTCTTCTTTTACTTGTCTCCAGAAAGAATATTACTCTACTTTTTTATCCGACTAGAAGAGCGTATTGAAGGGTTCTCTACAATTTCAAATTTATACTTCAACTTGTTGTTCTCAGGGTCTCATCATCCTATGAAGATGGTAGAGTATTTCTAGATAGGAAAGTTGAGAAAATCACACCATATTAACCTTACTCCATATTATAGTTTAGAAAAATTATTTTCTCCATACTGAAGGATCTAGTAACAAGGCACTAGACGAGTTTTCGAATCTATTAGCAAAACGAATAAAATAATTTCGGACCAACCCAACATTTTTAATCGTTTTGTTGTAGCATATGAACTCTTTCTGAAAGAAACACATTTCCAAAGTTTCAAAACCTGTATATACTATGGAAGGAAAGTTTAAAACTGACTTTGAGCTACTATCAATTCAATCATAACAACATTTTGGAAGATTGATAATAATAATGATAATAGTATTAATGGACCTGCCTACAAAATATGGAAACGATCCTCCAGACAGCACAGAATATTCGAAGATGTTTTGGTATTTCAAAAGTTTTATGGTGACCTAGTCAAATATTGCCAAATATACAAGATGCAAGTAAATCCCACCCAATGAGATTGTTGTCACTTGATCTTTTATTATCCAAGAGATCATATTGGTCTTAACATTTCAAACAAGCTCCATTTGTCCTATAGAGATTGACGTGTCATTGAGGCTTCAAGGAAAGATGTGCGTGGGCTATCAGATATTGCATTTGACGCATGTATTAACATTATGGGAACTTCGTCATCAACTGGAAAAGCTGTTGAACAAGGAACTATTGTGTCATTTATGTCTAAGTGTTTCGATTGGATATTTTTATGGAGGAGATGACATTCACTACTTTCAAAATTATCTCTGATTGAAAGCATTAGACACGCAACTTACAAGTTACATAATGTATAGACCAACCGAATACAAGTATTGTTATGAAAAGGCACGGCATTATTTATTACATGAGACACTTCCAGTTTGTCGACAGTTTTTTGGACCACAATGGAGAGACTATCAGAAGAAGAATTAAGGAACACGGTACAAAACAATTCCTATGCTTAAAAATCTTTCTTTGAGAGTGGGAGAGAATGGGACCTAAAGGATATGCTGTGTTCTCTACGCTGCTTTTTGCTAGTATCTTAAGGAATCCTCTTCATTAGAGAGAAACATTCTTTGGTCGTTTGAAGTTTAGCGAATATACTGAATTTACTCTGAATATTGCAAGCCACTTTGGTTTTTATTATACTTGCAAGTTGGTTTCTTCAAAAATTGTTTTGAAATATCTTGAACGTTCCTGTCATGAAGTTCCTATAATTCGTTTTATTTGTCACTTATTTTCCAGCTTGACTCTCACTCATGTTCCTGCGACGCATGGCGTACTACAGTTCGAAGTATTGTTTGCTTTGGTATTACATCTTCGATTTTGTTCCTATTCCAAGTTGCGAGAAATCAGCTTATGTAAAAATAAAAAAGTGGAAGGTTATATTTTTGAAACTTTCAACAACCCTCAATCAGAAAGACGGATTTCTCTTCCAAAAGTATGTCTTCTTTCCATTTCGGAGTATCAGGACAATTTAGAGCTTCAAGGATTAATATTCCTCGTAATGCTTGGAATTTCTTTTGTGAAGCAATCTTATCCAATGAAGATGGTATTTTCATTCTTCAATTACAATCAAGAGGACTAGATTTGATACTTTGTGTGTCTAAAAACTTTAGAAAGTAGACTAGTGAGCCATCTTTCGAGGAAATGGCAGAATCTTAGCTGCAACTTTCAAAGAGCCCAATCGCTTATCTTATTGAAATCTTATTGAAGTGCTTTAACTTGATATTTTTAATGGCACAATGAACTGATTTGGGAGCGTTTAATACTTTTGCATTCAGTACATTGTGAACACGAAATAAACCAACCAAGTTTCAATGGATAGAGATAACAATCATTTGGATATTGAAGAGTGGAATATCTTATGAAGAAGATTATGGACAACTTTATTTAAGAACATGTGCTTCTTGACCTGCAAGTGGCTCCACTAGGGAATGGTTAACATTCCTTTTAGCTGTCAACTGGTTGTTTGTTCAACCACTCGTGTGGAACAATTTCTTAGATCGAAGACACATGAATTATTCAAAAGAATTTTTGCAAAGCGTATTAACTCTTCAGCAGGTTCTGAATTACCTTGCATTCACATACGTGTTACAGAAAATGTCAGGATATGAACTAGTCAAAAGTGTAAGACAAGTTTGTTCGACGGGAACAGAATTATAAAAGAATATTCGCCAAAGAATGTATTTGAATGTTATGCAAGTGGAAGAAAATACACAAAAAAGGAGAATAATTATGGAGTGATACATAGTTTGACTGAAAAGAGTTTCTTTGCAAGTATGCGCTGTCACCGGAAGAAGTTACCACTCTCTATGGATCTAGATTTTTATCCGTAATTGGAAATAATCAAAGTGATTAGAATGAGTTCACTAAAATTACTCGGTATACCTGAAAAATACATTCAACAAATTTTACCTGCAACAGTGTTTCTTGGAATAAAGTGCAGAAATGAAAAAAATGATTCTACTTGCTGTTTCAAAATCCTCTATTCAAAGACATTATTTTATCAAGTATTGGAAAATTGGTCCGTTTTATTTGTCAGTCGAGAAAGTACTTGTCTTCAAAATTACTCGCGGATCGAATTCTGCTTCTTTTTAAAGACTTGGAACAAAATTATTTGAATTATTCATGATAATTCTCGGAGTTTATGGCAATTTGACACTTATAAATTCTCCCTAACGACAACATTGCTCGAGTTCATTCAATATTTTACTTTTGTATAAAAAGCTTTCACTTGCACCAAAAATTTATTTGAGAGACGACAATAATTGAACCAATGGTATTTGAAGATTTATATCAACATTACAAATTCTTGAATTTTAAACTTGAGCGATTTCGGAACATGAATTCGATAGAACAAGTTTCCTCACAAAAATGTGCAAAAAGTATTCATTATGGATAAATTTGTTTCTATCACTTTGATGTCTCACTATGTCTATTTGATTGATGTGAATTTCAATTGTTGAATTCCTTTTCTTATTTCATACAAACATAGAAGTTGACCTGCAAGACAGTCCAAGTATTCCAAGAAAAATATCGAAGACTGTTCTAAAGATGATCTACGTCACAATTCAGAAAACCATTCTGAGATAGTATGAAACTTAAAAAGACTCTGTTGAGCTGTTTTGCTCCAACGCCGAGCTCTTATTCGTCTTCGTGATATCGACTCAATCTTCCGTCCTACGCTACGTATAGACACGGGATGCACATCTCCCGTTCGATATGACGAAGTTTGTAAAACAATTTCTAATTGTTGTGATCTTCGCTTGTTTGTTGGTGCAAACGATAATATTCCAGTATTAGGACTCATCATCCAGAGAGATTATTCTAGTACTGTTATAAAATTGATCAAGGTGGACTAGAGTGCGCACATCTTTAGCTGAAGCTGGATGTTTGATTATCTTCCCTATTCAACAGCTCTTTGGTGGTGTGTGGTTATGAAGGCGGATTAACCGAGCTTTAATTTTATTTACCAATAAAATAACTTTTGCTGCTAAATTATTTGATGGAAGCTCTGATTGAATGTGGTTTTTTGCCTATGCTGACGCAAACAATGACTTGAATATCTTTTTATTTTGAACAAAATGCAATAGTAACATTTATCCGTTCTTCACTGGCTCATCTGAATGAAGAAGTAATTCTTATTCTCTTGATCTTGATAATGGCACAGCTTTATGATAAAGTGAAATAAGAGTGCCATTGGATTCAGGTAGACCAACTCCTTTCGAAGACTTCTCCAACCTGAACGGATATGATATCATACTATAGCAAATAGTCCTCCTTCGAATACGACTTTCATTAGTTCCAGGGTATATCCTTTGGTTTCAGGAAGGAATTGAAAATTGCATTATTATTCCTAAAAAGTTGAAACTTGAATAGAACCCAAATAATCCTTGCAGCTTCCATCAAATGCCAAGAGAAAGAAAGTGCAATGCTGAAAACATTGAAAAAGAATATGGTGACCAAAGTTTCTGCTGTACGTACATCAGTCGGAAATACTTCCTCACAGATTGTCCAAGGTACTGGACTCGCTCCTAGAGAATAGGCTACAATGAAGAATATAACCCCTACAATGATGAATGTCAAGTTAGCCTAGCAATCGCCTTAAAGTTTGCTGTTATGCTAGATGAACTAGAAAACTTTATTAACAAAATTCTGCTACAGAGACAATATGATAATCCTATACTAAAAATGCAATTATTTCTTTTCAAAACACTGATTCTTCACTATCAAACTCATGGGAAGCTGTTTCTCAGGTTGAAACAGCCCTTGATGAGACTTTCTATCTGTCACGTGAAAGTGACGAGAAAGTCTCGAATGGCGAATAATTTCAGCAGTATTGCCATCAACAGAGACAGGCAAGTCCTTGAGAAACTTGAGATTGCAATCGAATTGATAAGTATCTCTGTCTACATCAGTTGCACCATGGAAGATAGCGGTTTCTTGATAGTCTTCTAAACACTCATCCAAATGTTCTAATCGAAATGCTCTGAATACACAAGAGTAGGCAGAAGCACCATTCAGTTTTGTTTCAGTTTCAAGTGAAAGTCGTTCTTTAGAACTTGAGACGAGGCGAATATCAGAAAACCCTGCTTTCTTCACAAGTGATACAAAGTCTTGGATATACATTGCCTTTCCTAAACATTGCCCTACCAACTCAAGGTCTTGTCTTGCCTCTGCACTTAAACGTCTGTCTATGTATTTGTCAGCAAAGTAAAATTCACCTCCAGGCTTTAAGACTCTTGCGACTTCTTTGAATATTTTCTCCTATTCATACTACACAAAAGAGCTTCTTATTATGTCAATTTCTTCTTACCTTGTCGTCTGAAAGATTGACGACACAGTTAGAAATGACAATATCTATAGAGCCATCTGCAATTCCTATCTCCCTTAGATTCTCAATATGTCCTTTCAAAAATTGAACATTGCTCTGAGAAGAATCTTGAAAGAACTTTTCTGCATGGTAAGACTTGTATTGGGAGGCAATCTCCAACATTTCAGGAAGTAAATCCACTCCAATAACTTTTCCCTTATTTCCAACTAACGCACTACATAAATAGACATCTCTACCTGTGCCACATCCCAGATCCAATACAGTACAACCTTCCATTGCTGTAGGTATGGGACTAGCACAGCCATAATATTTCTCAAGAATAGTTGGATGAATGGAGCTCAGTATCTCCTGCTGCTTACTAGTAAGTATTCCAGAACTACAAGGACAGGAAATACGACTATTCCCTGTCACAACATTTTTGTAATATTTTGCAACTTGTTCAGTAGAGATGAAGGAACGCTCTTTGCAACTGGAGCAACTCATTTCTGATTGACTCAGAAATGTAAATGAAATGATGTTTGAGTTGAACAAGGAGTGATTGCACTGTACTTACACACTTGAAATTTTCTGGTAAAAAGAGCTTATCTTCTCTCGACGAGGCATTCTTATCACTATATTTTTCAAGTTTCTATAACTAACGGTTATTGAATAATTTGCCGCGACTAGAACTGGACAATCACTTTTTAAAAGCACACAACTCAAATTGTTATCGTGAATCTCCTTGAAACAGAACTTTACTTACTTAAATGTTGATATAAGACAGATGAACAATAAGAGAGTTGACTTGTAGTGTTTGACTATGGAAAGAATGAGGAAATAAGCTTCATTCTATCAAAAGAAGCAGAACAGTTCCTCTGTACTTTAGGCCTTCAAGGTAAAAATTTTTGTGTTTTACAAACGACTGTTGTGGTTTGTGTCCTTTAAGTGTATGTCTGAACGGTTAACCCATAACTTTGTGAATAAGTATTGCACCTAAAACGTCTACTCTTTGGTTTCTTTCTCTTCAGAGCTGTTAATCTCAGTCCTCCAAGAACAGTAAGTCAAACTGGGTATGCTTGCAGCCCTTGAAGCAGTTGTGTATGTTGAATAGAGTTGCTTTGAGTTATAAATGTTTCTCTCGACTTCGTCAAAGGCACTACCGTATAGAGTGAGCAAAATACAAGCGTTCCTAATAGTTTTGTATTTTCCTAGATTACCTATTCAAGTGGTCAGTCTGTAAAAACATAATACTTCTTCTAGTACAGTTGCCTTAAGTTTCCTGATACTTACTATTTATATTTGCTATCTACATACTGAATATTATCATCATCCGTTTACCTGGGAATTCGTCTTTTATATGGAATGTCAAATACAGAAGTGTCTTCTTCCTTGTCTCTGGATACTGTATAGTTGCTTGAAAACTGTTGCCTCGTTTGAATTTCACCAAGTCAATACAATTCCTCGATTTGAAACAACGGAAAGCTTTTCTTGCTCTGGTGACAGGTGAGTGACGATTATCGTTCATGTTACGGTTTGACAAAGGATCGTAGTCTGACCTTGTTGAGATCGACAAACCACGTACAACAAAGAGATATATGGTATGAACTCAGTTTAGGAACTTATCCTATTGCATTGGATTTGTGGCTACCACAACACGTTCGGTATCCTTTGCTCTCAGTGGAAACGGTTCCTAACAACGACACTTTGGACTGTACAAGGATTCATACAGTGACACCTGACGCCATCTTCTTGGCGGGTGCAGTGCTGCACGATATCCAGTGGAACAACAAAGGTAAGATATTTTGAAAAGTTAGTCTACTCTGTATGCTTATCATTGCTTGATAAGTTGACGACTTACAAGGCTGGTCTTTTCAGTCAATTCAATGGAACCATCAACAACCTTTTGATATATCAATAGCGGAGACCGTATCAGAAAACCATATGCTCTCATTTACTCTTTTACATGCCACCGCGTCAGTGGCTAGTAACGATATATTATTGGTTCCAAACAGTTCACTTTGGCTCGTTCAGGTCTATAACAAGCAACCAAATTCCGTTGACCAAGTTTGCTTGAAATTCTTTGTCTTTGGTTGTGCAGAGCAGTTTTTATGGGATGATCCAACCACCTATGATTTTCCTTATGTTTCTATGAGAAACAATTATCATTCATTTGAAGAAGCAAGAACTTCAAGTCATCCACATCCTTATATTGCTTGGTATCCCTTTCTTTGGATGGATGATGTGAAGACGCACAAACTAAGGTGGAATTACTCCGAGCCAAGTCCAGAGGAAAGTCAGCAAATTGATTCATGGAAACTTGGAGATGAATATACCGTTGGTGTTCTTACATTTTCAATAGATGTTTCAAGGTATATTTAATACTTTTCTTAAACTTTTGCATATATTGCTTGACTATTTTTTTTTGAAATAATTCATATTAGGATCGAATGGAAGCGGCTTTCTTTTGGACTATCAATAGGTTATGCAACTGTGCCACCTTTTGTAGATAGATGGACACGAAAAGTAGGTGAACTCCTTATTGCAAGTCTTGCAACTGCAATGGCTATATTATTGGTAAGTTTATTCTAAGCAAAAGATTGGCAGATCTGAAAGACACTGAATTAGTTTTTATATTATTGTCATTTTGAGCGTCGCAAATATACAGAAGATGCTGTTTGGAGGTAAGCCCAATTGAAACTATTCTATTTGATATTGAATTCTTGGTAGTGCTGAAAAGTTGCATTCTCATCACAGTTGTTTACCCATTTCGGAAGAAACTGTTCCTTTGCTCTATAGGAATAATACTTTTACGATTCTCAATAGCATGAAGACAACTTGAAAACAAAATTGGGATGACATTATGTATGCTTGTGCTCTTCATATTGGCAAACTTCGTATCTTCCAGTTTAATAGCGAGTACCAATATGTGGGAGATATAGCATATGTTTGTGCATAATAGAACCCGTAATGTTATTCTCAAATGTAGCACAATTTCTTTCATTGGAATGTCTTTGAGTTATACTACTACTTTTCAAAGTTTAGGAGCGAATATTCTTTTGTTTCTCTTCGTCAAGACTCGACTCGCATTGTTTTTTTCAACAACCTTTGTGCTTCATTTGTTATTAATGCTGCTTGATTGCTTGTTAAAGGCTATCAGCATACAGGTTGGATGAAAACAGTTTCAAAGAATTTTGTTGAGAAATAAGTGATAGGAAGCCTGTATTCATAGCGTTGCTTTGAAATATACTTTATGATATATTTCTGCAGACATTGATTGGTTCAGGTCCAACATGTATTCTATTCTGAAGCAAGTTGTCTAATTTGAAAAAGGCACTTGTGTATCCTGCCCAAGACAAAATCAGGTACATTTGTGTCTGTCGAGGCTTTGAGAAACTTTTTGGACACGAGATTGTACCGTTTCTTCATTCATAAGTGTTTTCTTCCATTGGGTGTCAAATTGAAATACAAGTGGATGTTAAAGTACGAAGACCAACAAGGAAAAGTCTTTATTTCTACCAAAAAGAATAATTACAGAATATAGAAGGACACTAAAGGAAACGAGAAGTTTTTAACTTTTAGAAAATCGCCTTGAATACATTTCACTTTGCTCTCCGAGTTCATGAGGATATCGTTGTCGTGCTGTCTCGAATTTCTCTCCCCCTTCACCGACTTGCTGTCCATTATGTAGCCGATCTGTTTTCGACTGCACTACGGAAACAATTTTTGGTTATTTTTCTCAAATACTAACCCCTACATGTCACAAGATATCAAAGAGCAACAACTACAACAAATAAGCCATATGTTTCATGCCTATACGAGTTCACGTACTCTGATGACGGCAGTGCAGTTGGATATTTTTCAATGTATTTCTCAAGGCAATTCTACGGTGGAACAGGTGGCGACTGCTATAAATGCCACTACTCGAGGTGTGCGCATGCTATTGAATGCATTGGTGGGTTTGCAATTTCTGAAGAAAAAGGAACAGAACTATGAATTGGAGCCCATAAGTTCCAGATTTTTAGTGAAAACAAGTGCTGACTATATAGGTGCTATGTTTGAAATAGACGATCTTTGGAATACGTGGTCCCATTTAAATCAAGTAATCAAGACAGGTCATCCTCCTAGAGCATTGGAACAAGAGCAAAAGGCAACCGAATTCTTTCCTCATTTGGTCAAGTCGTTGCATGCAATGAGCATTGGTCGTTCCAATCGTTTAGCTGATATTTTATTACAAGACAAAGTCAATATTCCATTACAAGTACTGGATATTGCATGTGGTTCAGGAGTGTGGAGTATTCTTTTAGCTGAAAAATCCGATAAAGTGATGGTGACAGCACAAGACTTTTCCAAAATACTGGAACTAACAAAAACTTATGTCCAACGTCACGGAGTACAGAAACAATATTCCTATTTAGCCGGAGACTTGAAGCAACTTGATTATGGAGAAAACAGATATGATATTGTCATTCTTGGAAATATTGTACATTCGGAGGGTGAAAAATCCTCTCGAATATTGATTCAAAAGCTTGGCAAAGCTTTGAAACCCCATGGAAGAATAGTTATCATCGATATGTTTCCAAATAATGAGAGAAGTGCACCAGCGTATCCATTACTATTTGCTCTCAACATGTTGGTCAATACCACGGAAGGAGATACTTATACATTCGAGGAATACTGTCAGTGGTTGAATGAAGCTAATATACCCAAGGTGTTTATGGAAGAAATAGCACCAGAGTTTTCAGTTGTTATTGGTGAAGTATTGTAGACACTTTCAATAGCTTTTATCTAGTTTGATAGTTTATAGTAAACATTTGTTTTTGTTATTCTTTAACTGATGCATATACAACAAAAAGTTCCTATACATATATTCCATAAAGTTCCACAATTCACAGCTTACAGTTTCTACAAGGATATGAATCATCTTTGCTTTTGAGCCTAATATGCAAGGTGTAAAATGAAGAATGATGAGCCTTTGGAAAAGAATAATTTAAAGAAATAAAATTCTGCAATAATATGGGGAAGAAATGTAGTGTATAAAACTTTTGTAAAGGGAAAGATGAACAGAAATAAGCGATCGCGTATTTTTACCTCAAAAATTCAAGTTGTCAGTCTGACTCAAAAGATTCGAATACTTTTGAATGTGCATGATAAATAGCTCAAACAGAAAGTAATATCATTTCATGGACTTGAAATTTTTCTAAATGAAAAGACCAAAGAGACTATAAAGTATATCATTAGACGATTTTATAATTCAACTGTCCGTTATCCATGGACCGATGTATCTTATGAATCCAAATGCTTTACTTACACAAGTCTTCTTTTTGTTGCTTAAAAAGTAACTCTCACAGCCAACTTTATCAATTAACATGCATTGGAATAACCACCAGAAACTGATTTGCCATCCTTACAAAAACATGGCAAGATAGCAACTATATATATATTCATCACTATCAAGAAATTATTTCCAGTGGTAAGGCATAAGCAGGATGAATTCTTTTCAATTGTGGACAACCAAGTAAGGAAAGCCCGGCAAGTCCAAAGAAAGTATGAAAGACATCAGAACGGTCATCTGGATAGTCTGCTATACCACCATTTTCCAAATCCTTGAAACTTTTGTAAAAACAAACAAATTTATGTCACAAAGTATATTACCTGACAATGAAGAATAAATTCAATGAGCTTGGATGAATCAATCCAATCCAACTTGTTTAACATGGCAAGTGAAGAAAGTACCCACCACGAATAACAAACCTTTATAATATACTTGAATAGTCGAACAAAATGATTGAAGAGTTCCTTACGTCTGCCTTTTTATCTGGACGCCCATTCAAGCCACCATTCTTCAATTGTCTCTCTGCCAGCCACCATCCAGTGAGTTCCTGATCAATTCGATAAAGCGAATCTGTTAAATAAAGCGCTCCAATACAACAAAATACTACGGTCTGTTTAGTATCAATATCTGAAATTCGAGGTATGATATACCTTGGCCACTATGTGATTCTGCACCTGGAATACACCCAAAACCACCATCAAAGTTCAAGCAAGATATCACAAACTCAACAGCTTTATCCACACGAATGACATCCAAACGTTTAAGAATGCTCAAACATAAAATAGCCGCATAAGTAAAACGACTATCTACTTCTCCCCAAACGTCGCCCATAAACGAACCATCGGAAAGTTGAAGACTGGCGATATCTTCCACAGATTATCAATATGATTGAAATAAAGGTGTCCAACTTACAAGAAATAACCTTTTCACTGTCCAACTCATCTAAACGACGATATAATGCAAGGCACTGTACGGCACTTAGAGTTGACAACAAGTTGGGATCCTGATCCACGTTTCCTCCAAAACCGCCTTATAGTTTGTTTTGAATACCTGTAAAAAAGACTTGTATTTTCCTACCTGATTCGTGCTGACAACTAAATATCCAAGAAATGATAGCGTTTTCGTCGGTCGTCTCCAAAGCATGCAACAAGTCGAGAGAAGTAAGTGTCCAATAAGCTCCACTTATTCGTTTGTGTGCTGTTAGGAAATATTCCCAAGACTTTGTGTCCTACTAAGCTTGTTAAACTCTTTAGACCTGAAAAAGACCAAAAGTTACATTTTGTGCCTTGCACAAGTACTGTTGATGTAAATCCACAGGTAACGGTGTGAAACGATCCATCTCAATACTTCCAAAAGAGAAGCATTTCATCTCGTAGAAAACGAATCAATATATGATTTATTTTACAAAAGAGCACTCTTGAGCTTCCATTCGTTTCAAAACTGATCAGTTTGTGTTTTCTCTATTCTCCTTGTTAGCCTACTCTATTTCATTTTTCTTATAATAAACTGATGATGGTCCGATAAATAAGAAATATCATACCTCCAACCATCTTAACCTTATAGAAGCGACATAGACTGTTCCAATGTTGCATTTCTATTTTGCCTTTAAATCAGTATGAATGATTGCATTTTGAACAATGAGAGATTGCACTGCATCCATTTGTTGAGCTCCATAAGACCAAATTCACTCATCTAGTGTTCTCAAAAATGCAGATCAAGTCAAGTACCTTGAGACAAGACAAACTAGTCTTTGAGAAACCTCCTTTATTCGAACCGCTAGATCCTCCTTATCGTCTCTTATGTGGTCCAGGTCCTTGCAATCCACATCCTAGAGTGTTAAAGGCACTCTCTATGCAAGAGATTGGACACTTGGATTCAGCTTTCCTTCGTGTTATGGAGGAAATTAAGGTATTTCATTATTATATTTTAACTATCCTGTCTAATAATATTTATCCAATGAATAGACACTCCTTCGATATACTTGGCAAACCAACAATGAATTCACTATACCTGTTTCGGGTACAGGCTCAGCTGCTATGGAAGCTTGTGTTTGTAACTTGCTTGAACCTGGTGACAAGTTTCTTGTTGGCTGTAATGGTTATTTTGGTCATCGACTTGTGGAAATGGGAAAACGTTATGGTGCTTCAGTGGTTCCCTTGCAGGTTCCTTGGGGTCAAGTATTTTCTGTTGAGGACTTGGAAGAACACATAAGGAAGCACAGGCCGAAAGTTCTTGCCCTCATTCACGCAGAAACGTCGACTGGTGCTTGTCAACCGTTGAAAGAGGCTGCAGATATATGTCATCATTATGATTGTTTACTTGTGGCAGATACAGTAACCTCCATATCTGGTGTACCATTGCATATTGATCAGTGGAACGTGGATGCTGCATATGCCGGGAGTCAAAAATGCCTCAGTTGTCCTCCTGGTATTGCACCTTTAACTTTTGGTCCAAGAGCTTTAGATAAGCTACGTAAAAGGCGCTGTAATGTGAAGAATTGGTATCTGGATATGAACTTGATAGCTTCCTACTTGAATAAGGATAGCAACCGTTCCTATCATCACACAGCACCTATCAATATGTGTTATGGATTAAGAGAAGCGCTTTCTTTAGTCGCTGAAGAAGGTTTAGAACAACGTTGGCTTCGACATGAAAGAAATGCATTGCAATTTTGGAAAGGACTGAAAGAGTTGGGTTTGACTTGTTTAGTATCTCAACAATACCGACTTCCCACTCTAACTACTATTCAGGTACCTCAGGTTGGTTGTGATTGACTTGGATTTCTCGCATTATAGTGATAGTATTCTTGTCAGGGTATTCAAGCTACTGCTGTTACATCCTATATGCTTCAGAATTTTGGAATTGAAATAGGCAACGGTTTGGGTGAATTGCAGGGTAAAGTATGGCGTGTGGGTTTAATGGGTTATAATAGTAGAGAAGAAGTAGTGAAAACTTTGCTAATAGCTCTACAAACTGCTTTATTACAGCAAGGCTATTCTTTCATTCGACCTTCACTCATGTAAAGGTTTGAAGAACATCTCTAATGAACATCGTTGGAGACAAAGTTTCTTCCCATGTTGTGGCATTCTCTGATCTCCCTTTTCATGACAAATATGAAAATCATGTCTCTCACTAGGCTGATATGCCGACTACTTTTAACCAACCAGCCAACGTACAAGTTGATGCAACCAGAACAGGAATAGTCAACAATATATACGTCTGGCAATATTCCAACCAACTAATATAAATTCCATAAGTTGACAAAACATGCAACCACAATAGTGTGGCTAAACTTCCAATAGGAGTAAATTTCGGCCCCAAGTCACAACCGATAATATTGCCATATATCATTGCCTGATAGGTGAGTGTTCCATGAAAGCTTCTCGTTTCATGAATAGAAAGCGCAATCAACAGAACACTCGGCATATTATTTGTAATTGCCGATACGATAGCCGACACGAAACCTGTTCCTAGACTAGTAACTACCAAACCATGCGGTGTAAACTTATTCAATAAACGTGATATCTGATAAGTAATACCGGCATTTCTTAATCCAAATACGACCAAATACATTCCTAAACTAAACAAAACAATTTGCCATGGCGCATTAAAAAGAACTTTTTTCAAGTTGATTACTCTTCCACGTCCACCTTGATAAAATCTTGATGCAGCTAAAAACAATATCACTGCACCCAAGGCTGTGATTGCACCCACAGGAACACCATAAAGAGTTGTGACAAAGTCTGCAATAACAATTAACAATAAGACTGGAAACACCAAGGCAAAGACTATCTTATCTCTTACAGTGGAATATGCTTTGGGCAATATGGTAATATCATAATAGCGGGGTAAATATCGAAAGAAGTAAATGGACAAAACAGACAAGGAGGCCAAGACAGTGACAATATCTACTAGAATCATAATTGAAGCATAACGGGGAAAACTAATAGAAAAGTACGATGCACTGACGATATTCACCAGATTACTGATGATAAGTGGCAAACTCGCAGTATCTGCGATGAAACCAACTGACATTACCCAAGCACGCGTGGCTTTCTTATCAAATTGAAGACTCTGCAACATTTTTACTACAATTGGTGTCAAAATAAGAGCCGTTCCATCATTGGCGAAGAAAGCTGAAACCACTGCTCCAAGTAAGATGATAAGCGGAAAGAGTATCAAGGTATGCCCCTTTGCCAACTGAGCAAGCAAAATGGCTGCCCAGTGGAAGAAGCCGCTTTCGTCCAGTAAGAGTGAAATAATAATCAACGAAACAAAAGTTAGCGTAGCATCCCAAACAATAAAGAAAACAGTTGGAATGTTGGTAGGTGAAATAACACCCGTAAACAACGCTACCAGGGCGCCACCCAAAGAGCTGAATCCTATTCCAAGACCTCCAGGTTGCCATATTACAAGTACTAAAGTACAAAGAAAAATAACTAAGGCAGCAACATAATCCGTATCACCCGTAAACTCTCCAACTGTTGTGGATAACTTGTCCAACATAACTTCTGTAGAATTCAAGAATCTCAACCTGATTTTATTCGAGACGTTGAACAAGAATATTCAACTTGTGCTTTCCATTTTGCCATTGCTTGTAGACCCAAGTAACTAAGTTTGCTAGTCCTATATATTTGCTAGAACGATAACTAACTCGTTTCCATACTTCAAACGGAATCAACCAAATGATATTGTAAATGAGAACTGCCAGAAACCAAGCCCATCCAATGGAAGCAATATGAGCAAACGACCAGTTGGCATATACGCCAATAAAAATGATCGGCAACATGAACAACACACCCGACAACAACGAAAGATACCCATAAGGAATTTTCCATATATCAGTTCTAATGAAATATACCAAAGATAGCGAAAAAACACCAGATTGCATGAACATGGCAGACCTTTGCTGATTTCTATGAACAGCATAAGCCACCGAGTCTATCTGTGGTAAGGAAAGAGAAGAAAGATGAAACGAGTCACTCCAAACATGCGTATTATGAATAAGTAAATAGAAAATGATACTTGACAAGGCACTGTAAATACTCAATAAGATAGACCTTATGAACAACTCATAAAAGTCCAGACCGATTGGTTTCGAATTTCTCTCAGTGACGTTTCCTTGCTTACGTATATTCCAAATTTCAATACCACAAATGCACAACGTCTCACCAAGGAAACAAAATAAAACTATAACTGCAACAAATAACGAGTAATCAAAGGCCCAACCATAAGTCAAGACGGCAGTCATAATACAAAAGTATGCAGCAAAAATGCAAGCTGTTTGAGCGTAATCATTGAACATCTTTGTTGCATATCGACAGAAAGAAATAAGCCACGAAAGATGAAAATAATCACTCTCCTTTGTTATAACCTGTGAAGTCAGCTTCACTGCTGCCACAGCCTTGGGATGCGAAATACTCAATATTCCTCTTGATGTCAATAGAATATGATCATAAGTACAACCTATGACGGCAGTATGTTTCAAGATTGGAGCATCTAAAGATTCCATCAACTAGGCCTTCATTAGTCTATTCTTATCAAAAAAAAATTGCACTCACCTCATCATGTACGGCTGATTGGATATCTACTTCTTCACTTGACATGTTTTCAATCGAGAAAGCATTTAATAATGCACTCGAAGGGTAAAGAGGTGGGTCGAAAATAGCCTCACTGCTCTCCAGTCCAAAGTCATCACAAATCTTTTCCAAAAGATACTTTTGTGAATATCCCGTCACCATAACTGAAATATTCAATGCTTTCAGAGATTCAACGAGATACTTTGCCTCTTCACTGGGACAATAATTGAGAGGAACCATTCCCATAAAAACCAATGAATGGTTCTTATGAATGTCGAGTGGTGAAACAAAGTCTTGCTCGACATGAGAACTTGATGCAGTTTCTTGGTCATCATTCCTCTTTTCGGCAACTGCAAAAGGATACAACCGACTTTCAGCAAATCTCTTCACACCATTCTCTATATTAGACTTTTCTGCGTCCGATAATGCACACAACGACTCTATTACTGATACATGACCTACAAAATAGGAATGTCGGTGTCCAGATACATCCGTTATTACAATGTTTTGATATCCAGGTCGATCACACGCTACAACACAGTGGCTATTTCCTAGATGAAAGTAAAAATCAAGCATTCAATATCGAAAGAATATACCAACCTTCTTCTGTTACCGATTCAGGATAAATCGTTTTCCGACATGCATTCAGAACTTGTTCTGTGGTATAAGGATTCATAGCAAACACTTCTGATTCAATACAAGGTGGATTATCACAAGTTAAGGTGCGTTCAATTCCAAAGAGAACCTTGTCTATGTTGCTCAACTCAACGATGGTGCTAACTTTTTTGACAACTGGAGCATTGCAAGTAGAAAATTGATAAGAACAGAGGACGACAGCAATTGCTACAAAGAAGAACAAGTACCACGGTGTTCCGATAGTTAATAGAATAAGAACGTCTAAAACAACTGTTTCGTGAGTTCGATGTTGTACAGCAAACATGATAATGATTTCCAATGCTGCAAACAATGCCGCAAAACACAAAAGAGAAGCCTCAAGGGGAACAAACAAGGAACTTGTAACAGAATGAAAACCATTCCAATCACAATGGAAGATATCGGAGCTATCTCCCTTATATTCTCTCACTGGAAGTGATGAAATACAACCGGTGACTTCTCCAGATAGAACAATAGTTCCTGTTTCGACACGGCGTTGAGCTGAAGTAGTATATATCTCCACCCTTCGGTCTTCCAAAATATTACACAAAATAGCGTTCTTAGAGCGTAAAACAAGAACTTCAGCTGGGAAAACATCCCCTTTTCTAAGGCATATCACATCTCCAGGTACCTGACTGATGTAAGAACTAAAGTGTACAAAGGAATGAACAAACTTACCAAAGTCTTTTCGTCTACACAAATCCAACCAGCGTTTCTTATAACGTCTACACACCAATCTAGGTGTATAGTTGGCCAAAGTTTACTGAAGTATAGCTCTGCTAAACAGGAGAAGCTAAGCAAAAAGAGAAAAGCCACAAAAATGATAAGGAATTCCTGCCAAGAAGGAGGTGCCACCTGATGCCTAGCACCAAAATTGATCAATACACGAAGAAAAGCGAGATATGCCACGTACTTGTTGATGGAAATGGAACAAATACAAGACAACTCCACAAGCCAGGACGTGAAATTCCAAAAGGCGTGAAACAAAAGAACGGCAAAATTCTTACGAACATAACGTTCCTGTTTCTTTGATTCTTTTACGTTCTAAACAATATTCTTTTAAAATATTCTTGAATAAGTATGTAGTATTTGTCGTACCTCCAAGGTCTTTACCTGCTCTTCCGTGAGGCCCCCGCAGTAACACCTGCAGAGAATATAAGTTAGAATAAAATAAAAACGAAAACATACCGTTTCTCGTCCAAATTGACCAACTCTTTTTCCTTTCCACTTTTACCTTCGAGGTCCTCTGCACAGACACAACTTTCAAACCGGAATTCAGTCTCCTCTTCCATACTTTCAGAATCTTCAAAAAAAATTCTAATTCTTTTGGCTGGATCTGTACGGTCACTTTACAAGTACTTTATTAACTTTTCAAATTTGTGGAAATAGGCCTTCATTACCAATCGAGGGAAGAAATATATCAAGTCTCTGATAAGAAAATTATTTCATTTTCAAAATATTATCCAGTCTGCAAAATAAGACTTTATCCATAGTACTATTGGTAGAAAAAGTTCTCCATGGTATTTCCTTAAAAATGACGGAAACCTTATAGACTCCTCAAAATTGTAGAAGATTGAAACAAACGATTCGGTGTTTAGTGTGTCTTCATATCGCCCGACTTGCAAAGAGTAATCTATCAATCTTGCATAAAAACTGATGATGGCAATCAACCCTCGGAAATTTCAAATAGTGGGAAATATGCAAATGGTTTTCACAGTTGATGAGGAAAGTGGAAAGGACGCTTATGTGTTAAGTGCCTTGACAAAGCTTCCTGACAATCCATTTGTAGCTTTATCTGCTCTACATTTTCTGCAGCATGATCCCCTGACTACACGTTTGGCTTTGCAACGGCTAGTACAATCGATAGACCCTAATACCGAGAAAGGTGTACAAGACCTGTCTTGGTTGACGGAGCACCATCTGGTTGATTTGCTTGCTAATATACTGGCAGACTACGGAACAAGCAATGAGAATATAGCTTGTAGTGTATGTGCTATAGTATTTGATATATCTGGCCAACCAAAGGGTCGTTCTGAACTCATCAAGTTTGGAATCATACCCAAGATAATAGAAAGCGCTCGGACTTTTCCCAGGCAACGAAAACTTGTATATTTTGTTTGTGGAGCACTTGGTAACTTATTGTGGGAGAAGAAAACAAGAGATATCGTATTAATGAAGGAGATCGTGAACTTCCTTATGGCAAGCATCGTGAACAATGAAACCGAAGAAAGAATAGTTCGAGAAGGCATTCGAGGGCTGTATAATGCGTGCTATGTGGAAGAAACTGCAGAAATGCTATCAAGTGCGAGATCCTGGATGGAAAAGCTGGAAAACATTATGAATAACCTGACGGATAGAAATTCTACAGCTCATCTGTTCTTTCAAAAACTAGAACAGAAACTGGAAACGTCGCAAGAAGATAATTTGGTCAAGAAGATTTCTTGGGTTTCTGTGACAAGTGAACAGGAAGAAGTTGCTGGTTCCGCTGCAGTAGAAAGTCAAGAAACGGAAGATTGCTCTTTTAGTCAGGTCGACAATTCTCCAAGGAAATGTTTGAACAATAACAAGGAAGAATGGAACTCCATATCGCAAGGCTGTTCGACACTTCCGTCTTATGCTATGCTTTCAGTTGTCTTGGGTGGTCTCTTATTAAGTGCCTTTGCTTATTATCGATGGCATTGAGTTTGTATTTACATATGTAATCAATATACGTATAAAAAGAGAGTTGTATGCACATAAATGAGTTGCTTTCTAACAATGTTGCTTTTAACAAGTTTAATCTATTTCTCAAAACTATATTGAGACTGTAGAAGCTATAAAGTTGAATCAACTTGCCTTCTGTGTTGCTTTCTTGAAAGTGGAATTGTAAATGACAAAACAAGTTGGATAACTTGTTTCAAGTAGTCAAATATTATCGTTTGTAAGCAATTGAATTGTCTATGACTTTGCTATTCTCCTTTTACCGTCACTAGAAGAAAACCACTATCAGAAATAACAAATAAACTCCTGCATCGTTTTGAGACGTTGACATATTGAAAGTGGATAATTTTTTCTCCCAGAAAAGTAGCGACTTTGTCAAGGAATATTCAACGCAGACTTCCGTGACTAGAGCCTGCTGCTGAGTTACATACTATGGACACTGTCGAAGCATTTAAACGACTAAAGTTTATGACTGCACGGAAATCATCCAATGAAACTATCTAGGCAAGTTTTTTGGGATGCGCTTAAAGCACCTCATTTGTTGAGGATACTCGTAGTCTAAGAGTTGCGGGAGTATAGCTATTACATCCAGGGAAGAGGGTCCTTTGTCCTATCTTATGACTTTTTGTATCTTCAAGTATTTGTTGTTTTCTTTCATTTTGAAGTTTGGCTGTTTGAACTCTCTATTTCGCAACAAACTAAAGTACAAACTGTGAAATTTTTGTACCAAACTGTTCACTCAACAAAATATTTGCTGCAGTACAACATTTGTTTGATAGTTCTTGATTGTCGATTGGCATATTAGTTACCTCAAACTTACTTTGCAGTATTTAGGTCTTTGTGTGTGTATGAGAGAGAGAGAAAGGAGCATTTTATCAACCAATTTTGAGACAGACACGATGTAGAATACAAACGAAGTAGAGAAGACGAAGAAACCAGTTAGGGGAAAACTTCAAATCCGCATCGAATATTCCAATTGTTTCTTATATAGTAGATGAAGCTGTTTGCAATAAGACTATGATGAAAAAACCATCACTAAGAAGAATATCCGTAGGCAATGTTTGGAGCTGGTAGTCAATTTTAGGTATTTGTCGTAAATTCAGCAGATGTGGTACGACAGAAGAACATGTTATTATACCATTGAATATCAAATTGGTAATTCTGGTAAAGAAAAAGACTTTATTTTCAGAGTTGGTTGTATTAGGACATCGCATGATATTTTAGACGACTGTTTTGCTAGTGATCAACTAAAGACGAACATCGACGAGTGAGCTGCTTCTAAAACCCTAATTTCAAAAACTCGACATCAAGAGAGCTTCCAATTTCCCTTTGAATCCAATATCCTTTTCCAGAGTATTGAGTAATATTCACTGGATAGTAAGCACATAGAACTCCTGCTGAAACTTCTTCCAATATTTGTGTCTCGAGTCTTCCGCTTTGAGTCATTATATTTTCTCCGAGTAAGGTCAATGCAAATGTTTCTCCCAATACTCGACACGAGGTTGCATTGAGACAGTTACCAGGTGATACTCCGGGAGGATTCGGATGACAAGTCAATAAGGTCTCAGAAGTCACATCACAAGAAATAGAATTTCCTGTGTTTACCAACTCAGGGGGAGGAAGCATTGCCACACAAGGTAGTGTCTGATTTTTGTTTAAAAACTGTGGTGATACAAAGCTTCCAAAAATGACCATTTTAGTGGAGGCATTCAGAGATGGGTCTCCTAATGCATTAAAGCGGAGTTCGTAAATCTCACCCGTTATTCTGCAGCATGTAGTATTGAAACCAGTTGAGTTATGATTTGCTGCACCTTTTTGCGAAGGAGTTGGAGTTGGAGAAGTCGGAGGCAATGGCGTTGGAGTCGCTAATGAAAGATTGGAACTAGTATTAGTCGCGACCGTAGGAGTAGGGGAATGAGTAGGCAATAATAATGATGATGATGATGATGAACTGTTTGATATACCTGATGTACAAGGGACTTGGGTCTTACTGGGAGACAACGGAGAGGAGGTAACACTAGACGTCAACTGTGTGGGGTTGAGTGGAACTTTTTGAGTTGGAATCGACTGTGTGGGATGGATTGGAACTTTTTGAGTTTGAACAGGTTCTTCAGTAGATGGACTAGTAGAAACATTTGTATCCAATGAATAAACCCCTAAGCACATTATGTATAACACAACACAACATGTAATTACTTCACCACGACTCATTCTGTCAACAACACAAAACACCTGGATATATCAGGCTAAATACAGTATTTATCCTCCTGATCCATCATGATATGGTGAAATTTGCGGTATTCCTTATGTGGATTCATTCAAGAATCGACAGAAATTGTAGTTTGGAACGCGAATCGGTAAAAGTGTTTACTAATTATAGTAACGCCATCGACAAAGAGAATCAATCCAGCTGTGATCCTGACGTGTTAGGAACGATTCAAGTTGAATCGTTTTGTAAAAATAGTACAAAAGCCTTAATGTAACCTCTTCAGCTAAAAATATTTTTTGCGTCTTGTTCGAGTTATGTATCGCTTGGTCATCGTTGCCTTTCTTCTGTCATGCTTGGTCGGTTCTTGCTTGGCTGACTGTGACTGCTCTTGCTGCTTGAGTAATTCCGGCGGGTCCCCCTCAAACGGGCTTTCTCGAAATCCACCAACACCAACACCACCACCACCACCACAACCAACCTGTTGTCATATATCTGGTGAAGTCTACAACTTTACTGTGCATGCTATCAATGACCCATCTGTTGCTGTAGATCTACAACTAGTTTATTTCGGATCGAACTCCTCCTCAAAGGTATTGAATGGACCAAAGCCCTGTCCATCTAATGTCGTGGCAACTGCAACATTTGCTCCAGAAGAGATAATATACAGACCAACCAACGACTTTATAACTTGTCATGTAGAAGGAAACAATTCGATGAGATGTGGCACAAATCCCCCCGGAGTAAACCCAGGTAGCTGTATTGATGGCTGTCCTGTCTACTTTAATGAGCTTGCGTTTACTTATTTCAATCCTTGGATGGTTCAGTCGGGCATATTCACTTACTCAACTGAAATAACTGAGCGTTTCGATCTCGTTTGTGGCACTTTCCCTGTCAGTGTCACTGATGGTTCAGGTTCCTTTTGGTATCAACAAGGTTCAGGATTACATGTGACTTACTTATCATTGGGAGGTTAACAAACAACTTTTACATATTTGAATATATTCGATAAAACGCTATCCCTTGATACTTTTTTAAATATTAATTCCTGCGTGAAAAGGTATCGTTGGGTAAAGGATAAAAAGACCTTGAATTTCTTTCATGTAGAATGATAATAATAATTCCATTCTCAAGTATTGGGATATCTTTTCAAAGTTGATTTTGACTATTTCGCAACTAAGTGCTTTATGCAAGACTTGTTCACGAAACATTTCTTAGGTAACGCGATGAGGAAATATCAAAACCGAGTCCACTTCGATCTTGAGCATTCAATGCTCTCCAAGCTTATTATAAGAAAAAGGCTTGTGTCTAAGGAGCGGATATACGTATCTATCTTTGACAGAATGAAGCTGAATCAGAAAGTATTTATAATTTCACAAAGACCCTTTCTTACGTAATTTTTACGGTATGTTCAAAGATAGCTCACAGTTCTCTCCCTCAAAACATAAATATAGGCGAGAAATAGCAGAATTCATGTTTAGAGAAAAAAGGTTTATTGTACTACTATAATAAACTTCAATCATCACAGTTAAACTAGCATGCTCGTGCTAATTTCCAATGAATCAAATGGAATTCCAAGATACGTATCAATACGTGCAGACCACATCTTCATTATGCCAAAGACGCTTAGGAAGAAACGATAAGTAAACCAATGTTCCTTCTTGCTCAAAAGTTCAGTCTTTCCCTTTACAAAGGCAAGCTTTTTTGTTGACGAAGTGTCATCTAAAAAGCTGAGCCCAGATGATTCGATAAAAGTTACCAAATTGTCTATTGATTGTGCATACCCTGACATAAATGGTTCATAAAAAAATTCATAAAAATAACTCTCATCACTTACCAACATTCACTATAATTCGATACAACTGATCAGTGTATTTAAATATGTAGTACATGTGGTTGCTATCAACAAAAGGCACAGAAACGTAACGAACGGTTACAAATAAACTTAGCCGTGGTATAGCTCCAATCTGCTTCACAAACTGACTGTATGTAAATGGAATCCCATACTGCATGCTAGTAAGAAATACAAAAGTCCTGTCAAGCAAAACTGGAGCCTGTGGTGACTCAATAATAGCTTTGTATTCTGACCAACGAAGGGAGTTTTTCTTATAATTCTCTTCTTCTTTCTTCGCTCCCCATCGATATATTAATATCAATGATATGGTCACTATCGATATTGCTATCGGGATATATCCACCGCTTGGTACCTTTGTCAAAGCACTGGACCAAAGTAACAAGTCAACCAGTCCAAACACAATTGGATACCATATCCAAATATAAGGCTGAACTTTCCATGCTACTGAGATAATGATCACGAATAGCATGGATGTTGTAATAAAGCTAGTGGACACAGCAACGCCATATGCCGAAGTAAGCGCAGAACTAGTTTGGAAACCAGCAGTAATTACTATAGTTAAAATTCCCATAATCACATTGATAGATGGCATGAACACTTGTCCATATATGCGAAAGTCTGTGCGCTTGATATGAAGACGAGGAAATATATTTAGTCCCACAGCCTGGCTCAAAATGCTAAAAGAGCCACTGATAATTGCCTGTGAAGCAATGATGGAAGCTAGTGTAGTAATCACAATCAAGGGCCAAAGTAGGGAGTTTGAAACTTGAAAAAAGTACAGTTTGTCCGTTGCTTGAACAGCTATTTGTGGGTTTGATGCTACTAAGGCCAGTTGACCAAAATAAGACATCCAAACAGATGGAAATACAACAAAAAACCATCCAATTCTTAAAGGAGTCCTTCCAAAATGACCCATATCTGCATACATTGCTTCTGAGCCTGTAACTGACAATAAAGCATCAGCAATCCTCAGATATCCAATTTTTCCATCATTCCACATGATGCCTATCCCTTTAAGAGCATAATAGGGATTCAAAGCTTTGAAAATCGCAGGATGCTTGGTAATATTATAAATGCCTGCAATAGCTTGTACAATGAAAAAGATAGATAAGACTGGACCATACACAATACCAATTTTAGATGAACCAAACCATTGAGACGCAAAAATGAGAAATAAAATAGCAATAGTAATACCAATTACGCCAGAAGTTGAAAGTGAGGGTGCGCCAACTTGAATTCCTTGAATAGCACTCACAACCCTATCGAAAAAATATACGACAGTCAACAACTTGAATCGAGAATTCACTTACGTAATTGCGGGAGTAATAATACCATCTGCTAACAGTGCACCGGCCCCAATGGAAGCTATAATGGTTGCCACAAACAGCCATTTCCTTGGAATCCTTTTATGACGCAACAGTCCAATCATAGCAAAAGCTCCCCCTTCCCCATTATGGTCTGCCATGGTAACCAGTACGGCATATTTAACAGAAGGTACCAACACTAATAGCCAAAAAATCATGCTAGCTGCTGCATATATCTCAAAAGAGGATGGAGCAACCTGATAGTCAACCAAGGATGCAACTGTATATAAAGGAGATGTACCAAGGTCTCCATAGCATAAACCAATTATTTGTACCGTCCTGCGTAACAGAACAAGGGCTCCCAACTTATCCTCACGAAACAAGGGATCTTCAAAGGAAACGGAATTCGACGCTCCACCGAACTCTGCGGCATCCGCACCCGCAAGACTTATTCTTCTTACTGTTGCAACTTGTTTTGTCTTGTCTCTTTCACCAAGAAGACTCTTTCTATATTGTATTCGAGTGGTAGACGAGGTTAAAGCTTCAGAAACTGTCTGTATTTCGACTGGGACTTGAGAAGTGTCTTCGTCATCCTTCTTTGAAGAACCCGGTCTACTAATAGGAACACCTTCAAAAAGTGAAATTCTTCGGTGATATACTCCGTCTTCCATCCGCCTTTTCCAAGTCGACGACTAATTCCACTCGTTTTGGGAAATCAACAAATTATCATTCAGATTTTGGGTACCATCATCAGATTCCAGCCTGAGCTGTGTTTAGTTTGTGAGCTCCTTGCCAGAGAAAATGATGACATTTCAAATATAGATTGGTCAAACCAACAGAGCAACAAGAAGAGGATGCAAATGAAGCTTATTGACTAGTATGGCTGAAGTTATTTCCCTTTCTTTATTTCTTGAAATTCTTGAGACAGAGTGGCATCCTTCAAGGAACAGTTTGTCGCTTCTCGCATGCAGAGTTTATGAAATCCAGAGACCCATGAAATGTTGATAATTTAGACTGAATAAGTCTTAGAAGGCCATTTCAATTGTGTAGAAACGTTGACAAAGAGGAGTTTTCCTGGCTTTTCGAAATAGAAATAGGGTGCAGAGATTCTAGTGTTTGATAAGTTGCTCTACCTTGCAACTGTCGTATTATGGTTGCAAAACTTTCACAACCAAGAACGTGTCCTACCTCGCACGTTTGGAAACTCGATGGAATTGGAAATTAAGGTATCTTGTCTGTATTCTGTAATTCAACTAAAACGAACGATATTAAGTATTAGAGGATAAGTTTCAAAAGTATCCAAAGTCAGTTCCACGACGTTAAAAACTCATTGACGAACCTTCCAAGTCATAAACTTTTAAAGTTGCAATGTATAGTCCAAATATAGTCTAGGTAATGGAAACTAGAATAATCCCCATGAGTAACCAACTACTCATTGACCATCTCATAAGTAGTGACAAACTTCGTATATAGACATTCTCCAACAACTCACCGATCATTCTCTGCAATGGGAAGAAGACCAAATGACCAACCCGGATAGAAGAAAGCCGTTTTTTTGTCCCAATCCACAAATCCCTCCCATTTTCCCCAACTTTCAATTAGCACCACACAAGCAATAAACTACCGTATATAAAGAAATTCCCTTTTTTGGTATTTCTACACACGAAACACGAGAAACTCATGGAAAAGCAAAAGGCTCCACAGGAAGCCATAAAAGATACAACTATACAAATAGGTCAACATGTACGAGATATAGCACCGGCTAACGACTTACAAACAACACGAGAACCAGAGATTCTAGGTTCCGAAGCATCAACTGGTTATCTTGGCCAGTACATTATTTGTGAGCTATAATATCCCACGAAACTCATCCTTGTTCTTAACGTGTATTGACAAGTACTTGGTTACTTCCTGTTGCCTTTCTTGTTTCCCTTCCGTGTCGTTGTAGTCCAGCAATACGAAAGAGCACTTCGATTTCGTTTGGGTAGAATGGTGCAAATAGTTCCTCCTGGAGTATATTACGGTAGAAAACTGTTTCTTATAGTATCGCGAAACTAACAGAATCCCTCTTAGCTGTTCCTCTTGTTGACACTTTTCGAAAGGTTGACCTTCGCGTTCGAACAGTGGAAGTTCCCAGACAATCAGTCATTACGTGCGTAACTATCTCGTAACCAAAATACAGAAAAAGACTTTGGTGCTTTTAGGAGAGACGGAGTCTCATGCAGTGTAGATGCAGTTATCTATTACTCGGTAGTTAACGCCGCTGCAGCTATTTGTAACGTGGCCTCTTACGCCAACTCAACTTTCCTGCTTGGTCAAACTACGTTGAGAAGTGTTCTGGGTCAAGTCGACCTGGATACTTTACTGGCAAAAAGGGATCAAATAGGAGAGGAAATGCGAAAGGTCCTTGATAAAGAGACCGAATCCTGGGGTATACGAGTTAGTAACGTCGAGATTCGTGACGGTAATAACAGCGTAATATTATTGCTTTCTGTGTAGTAACACTTTGCATAGTCGTTTTGCCTTCTGATATGATACGCTTTATGGCTAGTCAAGCTGAGGCTGAAAGAGAACGTCGGGCAAAAATTATTTCGGCTGATGGCGAATTTCAATCGAGTCAAAAATTAGCTGAAGCTGCAGCAGTAATGCAACGTGAACCGATGACGTTACAACTTCGTTATCTTCAAACTCTGGCACAGATTTCAGCGGAAAACAATAGTACCATAGTATTCCCATTACCTATAGATATATTTAAGGCACTGGCTCGGAACGCTGAATCATCTCCTGTAAGTAACGCCGTGCATTGAGTTTTACTTGTTTTCTTTGATACTCCTGTTTTTTTTGTTTGAAATTGTTTTGTTTTCAACTTGTTAAACTTAAATTTTTTTAATATGTGAACAGCAAATGACCTATAAGTACCGTATCCAATTTTTAATGTTTTTATTTTTTTCTGTATGACTGAATGAATTACAAACAAGAGAGAGAAGATTTCCACAGCAGTCTAGATTTTGATTTTCGAATGTTTGTATCTAGAAAGAATATAGTGGTATCCATATGAATGTCTCGAATTGCTAATATATTTACTGTTAGAAACAACTCCTATCTCTTCGTCGCTATTTTATAAGTTTTAGAATTTCACGTGGAGCTGAGATGGTTGCAACTAATATATACCAAAGAATCGCTAACAAATGTCCACTTTTACGATGATTCGCATAATAATTTGTCTGAATATCATATCATGACACTTGATGTTACTACATCGAACAAAGAAAAATTTTCTCAATTTTCTTCAGCCATTAGAGTGGTTTTGAAACGAATTCCTCAAGGGAGTATTTTATAATGTTAATGATAGATAATATACTGCCTGAGAGCAGGCATTCTACGGACAGTGGACCGAAATAAAAACTGTGAATATAACTCCGTGTTTCTTTTCTGGTCAATACTTATCGAAATGTAGTGCAACAAGATAATACTCTTAATAAGATAAAAAGAAACAACATTTAGTTCATGCTGTCGAGTTATCTCATCAGCTTCCAACAAATAATAATCTCAGAACATTTCAAATGTCGATTCGATGAGGATTGAGCGATTGGTCATTGTATTTTGGCCCCAGCGAAGACATATCTTTCTACATGTGTCTATTCAAAGAGGAATCGACACATATTTTGGTCCATATAACGGATGCAATATAGCTCATGTTCTATAAGCGTTTTCCACCAGCTCTTTGTTATGAAACTGTTGACACTCGTCATTCTCTGTTGCTTTATACTGATCATTGCTAGTCCGTGCAATTCACTACCTATCTATGAAGATGCTTTTAGCTCTAGCCAAACATATGGAGATGCAGAGGCATCAGGATATGCGGAAGTAATACCAGTTTCGACAAATATTCCCGAGCTGCAAGCAGCAAGCGCCGCTGAGTCGACAAAAGGTGGAAGAGCTAATCAGGTTGATTTTGCTGCTTATTCCCAAGGTTACTCAATTCCATTTGATCAACTTCAAAATGTATATCCACAACTTCAATTCACACCCTACCAAATCCTTCCTTTTTTTCCTCAGTTCAACCAGTACCCAGACTATCAGTAAGATTACAACCCGAACTATGAATTTCGTGATTGAGGTTGGTAATGATGTGACGCTTTAGTCTTCGATATTACTTCTGTTTGTTGGCCTGCATTCGCCATTGTCGTTCTGGTAAATAAATGCTTGGTATTTTTCAAATTTCTTTGTCTTTCAAAGTTTTTTTTATTATGCATTAGCTTAACAAGTTTCTATAGGTAAAATCAAATTGACTGCTGCTTTGGATCCCTGATACGAACAACGGAGAAGGTCCCACAAAGTGTTAGCGGGTGTAGATTTCAAATTCTCAATTTGGAAGAAATGCGTCGCAATGGGAAACGTGTCTACGCACTGGAAGATAACTCGCGATGGAGAATGCGTAACAATAAACTAGTTGCTTGGCTTGGTTGCTTTCTTCTATCTTGTTATTGTTTAGGTTTCGGTGTGGCAACTTCTCTTTATCCCGGTATCTATTTCCTTCGACAAAACGATACTGGTGCAGACTATGAAATCACTTTTGTATCGAATAATATTACGCAAGTTAATGTTCTACTAAGCGACTGTATACGAGATATTGACTTGGAGTATTTGTTTGTGACGTCTCACAACCGTACCATTGGAGACTACAGCTTCTCAGCTACCTCGACGAATAAGTCCGTCTTCAATCCAAGCAAAGATTTATCTACCAATGTAGTAAGCGTTACAAAGCTAAGCGATAGGTACATCTACAACATAAGTATATCTCTAGCATTTGAAAGGCTTGTCGGACTCGCCAACTTGGAGTTGACATATACTGCAAAGAACAACACGAGCAATACAACAACTGCTGCTATCAATATCGCAGTTGCTGGAATCTCCTTTACGACTTTGTCGAACGAGATTATTTGTGGTCCACAAAAGCCTCTAATATTGAACGGTTCTCAGTTGGTCAATAACAATCAGGTTGTTCTGTTAGCCACAATTCAGTATGTTAGTGGCATCCAAGCTTCGTTTACTAGTCTTGATAATATCCAGTTGACTATCTTTTCTGCAACTAATAATTTTGTGAAATACAGCTCTTCTTGTCAAGCACCTATAGTACAAATGTTAAGTAATGGCAGTTTTTCAGTTCCTTCCTCTTGTGCTATGGGATTCACATCGAATGGAGTTTATTTCGTAATGGAAATACAAAAGATTGCGAACGGAAGTTTTGGAATTGATCTTCAATGGACTCATTTCGATGTTGGAGACTCTAGTGAGTTTGATACCACAATCTACGTCGATATCGTATATCATGTCACACCTACACCAACACCATTTACTGGACATACTTTGGCCGAGAAAGAAAGTGTTATCGCTGGAGGTGCAATTGCAGCTGTGGCAGTTGGCACAACAGTTGCTGCCTTTGTTGCGTCTTTGGTTATCAGCAAGTTAGTTACAGGAAGTTCCATATTATCAGGCTTCGGTAGTGGTGGTGGGGGAGGGGCAGGTTCAATACAAAGTACTTATGTAGAAAGAGATATTTATGGAAGAGGTTCCGCATTTCAATAATGACATCATCAAGTATTTTTTAATACTTCAAAGACTGACACTTTATACTATCATTTCTTCTATAGACTTCAAAAATACAAAGAAACCTTAAGAATCTTCCTTCTTCTGCTTTTTCCACTGATGGGCAATCTGTAAAATTTTGAGACTTGGTGCTTTTCCGGATTCCGTTTCTTCAGGAAATATAAAGTCATAATATTCTTCCCAACCAATATTTTCACCAAATGCGTCAAAGATTGGTCTACGCCGCTTGACCTTTTGTGGTTGCTTCTCTTGAACTTCACTCAAGGCTGAAGTATCTCTAGACGACATTTCTTGTTCGAAAGCTAACCATTCTCGAAGTAAAGTTGCCCTATCCTCCTTTGCAGTCAGTAGTTGGGGATCTACTTGTTCACCGGTTCCTTGAGAACGAGAATTTGCGGTCCAATCTAAAATGGCATTAGCCAAAGCACGATCTGCTCTACGATATATATCTCGGGCATAGTCATCTCTTTCATGATTATAATTTCGTTCAAAGTTCGCATAAGAAAGCCACACTTTAACATGTTGAGAATATCCCAACAACTTCTCATACAGAGCACGGGCACGATCCAATTCTTCTTCTTCAAGTTCAAGATCAATGTAGGCTTTCCAGACCAACTCTGGGGCATCCAATTCGGTTTGTTCAACAGCCAAGTCATAAACTGCTCGTGCACGCTCTATTTCATTCAATGAAATTTCCAAATTGGCAAATTCTAACCAAGCCTTTGAAGAGTACGGATGATGTTCTATCCATTTATGATACAAAGTCCTCGCACGTTCTATTTCCCCCAGCGCAACTTCTAGAGAAATATACTCACGAAAAATTTTCTCATTGCTCTTCAACATTCCAATTGCAGTTCCCAAAAGCTTCCTGGCGGATGCCATATCCTTTTGACGAACATAAAGTTTTGCAGCAAGAATCCAAAGTTTCTTAAATGTGAAATCTTGATGCCTATTAGGAATAGAATTGAGAGCATCACGATAAACTTGAGCAGCTTTCTCCAAGTCTTCCATAGTCAGCTCTTCCCATACAGCAAAATATATCCACAAGTAAATATATCGCTTCCAAAACCTCTTCTGAGGAGGTGGTCGATAAGATACTGCTCTCCTGAAAACGCTTCTCACAGTTTCTGGATCGGTTGAGAACTCCTCTTCAAGTAAGCAATAGTCCAACCAGACATCATAGTCATAGGGATCTTTTTGAATCCAATACTCATACTCTTCTCGCTTCCGTTTCAAAATGCTCTCTTCAATTGCTATTTTACCTCCTCTTTGTCTTTCAAAAGAACTGTACAAGGAGTGTACTTGTTCTTTCCTGTCTTCTGGAGCCTTCTCCAAAGCAAATTTATATATAAATCTTGCTCGTTCTACTTCTCCACAACGTTCTTCAAATCCTGCAAACTGCAAAAGTAACTCCAAATATTCAGGCTGACTTGTGTCTGTTTCTTCAACACCTCTTTCAAAAACAGCTCTTGCAAGATCTCTCTCATGATTTCTTTCTTCCAATCTGGCATATCGAATGTATGTTCTGGGAACTGGATGTGCAATCAAAAATCTTTCAAATATTTGTCGCGCTCTATCTACTTGTCCATAACGTAGCTCAAACCTCACATATGAATTCCACGCTTTATCATCTGGTACCCACTTCATCCATCTTTCAAATATAGCTCTAGTACCAGCAATATTTCCCAACATCTCTTCCATATAAGCATATTTGAACCATAACTGTGCTACTCGAGGTAACAAAGCAACAGCACGGTCCCAAATATTTCTAGCGTGATTGATAAACTTGTGTTTCATTTCCATTTCTGCGTAACTCACCCACAAGTGTGGGTTTCTGTAGTCGATATCTAAAGCTCTTTCGTAGATAGATCTTGCTCTACCGAATTCCAGTTGAGCTTCTTCCCATTTAGCATATTTTATCCACGTTGGAATATGAGTGCGGTTCATGCGTAACTTGTCTTCAAATTCTTTTCGCCTTCTTTGTCTAATCTCCAAGAGTTCGTTTTCATCCTGTATTCTTTGTTTCGGAGCCTTGGACTTTTCGGGTTCTCTTCTTTCCCATGCCTCTCTTAGTAACTGTTCAGCAGTTATCTGTACCGGTGCAGGAGCCTTGTTCTTTACTCTTCCTGAACCTCCGCTTCTACTTGTCATCTTTTCTCAAATTGGCCAATCATCCAACTCAATAATTCAAACGGTTTTCGTCTTTTCTATAATCAGCCAAAGTACAGCAATTCCACTGTAAAAACATAAGTAATGATACAGTCAATCCAAGTCATCTGAACAACAGCAACGGTTCTATTACACTTTGTGTACCTCACTGCCAGAATTGGCCAACAATTTGTTTCACACAATTTATTTTATATCAAGCTATTGCCTTCCGAATAACTATTGATTCCTTATTTTGGTCATCTTCTGGCAAAGTTTCCTTGTCAAAGTACTTTATCCGAAAGGACTACCCGACTGCAACTCAGAAGATTCAATCTGTCATAAGCTCAACTACAGCGTCAGCTATTCACCTTTACTTTGGTCGAGATTCCACTCGGAGGTCAACAAGTGTTCGAGTTTTCTAGAAGAGGCCAAGCTTTTCACACAGCTCTCATAAGCCTTCCACAAGTCTTCACAAGGATTTTCGGACACTCCCTAAGAATAAATATTCGAATAAGCTACACTTTCACGGCACAATACACTTACTTTTAGAAAAGACTCTCTGTACCAGTGAAAGAAACACTCTTCATAAGACTCTTTGGCTTTGTTACACGTTGAAGGCCAATCCTTCTCCTCTTGGCTCAGAGAAGTAGTCATCGAACGCTTCGATTCACGGTAAGCAACTACTGTATTCAGGCAATCAAAAACAGCTTTTCAAACAATATAGGGATATCTAGACTTGCGAATATTTTCTAAAATGTTGTACCGGTTTCTTACAATACCGTCGACTGAGCAAGCGATTCCTTTCTTTCAATGATGATCCTCATTCAGACGAGATTGTTTCGTCTTCATTTCTACCATGTCATTGTGCCATCGTTTCTTTTCTAGCCCAGAGAAAGCAAGAGAAGCTGAACCAGAAAAGTTACTCTATGTAGTCTGTCTGTATGCTGGAACCCATACGCAACAACCAGACTATTTAGCTACCGTAGACGTTGACTCTTCTTCTCCAACATATTCTACTGTCGTGTCTCGAACTCCTGTACCTTATGTTGGAGATGAATTACATCACTTTGGTTGGAATACTTGTTGTTCTTCCAAGCAAAAAGACTCTTTAGCTCGTCGATATTTAATAGCTGGCGGTCAACGCTCAGGTCGTATTTACATATTTGACACTGCAGAGGAAAGGAATCCCAAGATACATCATATTATTGAACCTGAGGAACTGAAGTCCAAAGTCAATCTAGGCGCTCCACATACAGTGCATTGTCTTCCTGATGGAAATATCATGATAAGTATGTTGGGAGATTCAGAAGCAAACAATCCAGGAGGGTTTCTGTTATTGGACCAAGAATTCCGTATCATTGGTCACTGGGAGAAGAATATGAAAGGAGTCGACTTCAACTATGACTTTTGGTATCAACCAAGACACAATATTATGGTTTCTACAGAATGGGCAGCACCCAAAACTTATTTTCAAGGTTTCGATTTAGAAGATGTCAAGGCAGGCAAATACGGGAGAAAGTTGCATTTTTGGGACTGGAAAGAACAAAAACTTGTACAATCTATCGATTTGGGTGAAGATGGATGGTTACCTTTGGAAGTCCGTTTTCATCACAATCCAGATAGTTGTCATGGCTTTGTTGGTGTTGCGCTGTCTTCCAACATTTTTCATATATACAAGTCTCATAACGGTAGTGATGAATGGAAGGCCGAAAAAGTCATTTCTGTGCCACCTGTTACACCAGAAAATGCGTCTTCTTCGATTCCTGCAGTTATTACTGATATACTCATTTCAATGGATGACCGCTTTTTATACTTTTCTGATTGGCTGCATGGAGATGTCCGTCAGTATGATATCTCGAATCCTTCAAAGCCAAGATTAACTGGCCAACTTTGGTTGGGTGGCCTATTAGAGAAAACTTGCAAGGTTGCTGATAATATATTATGTGGAGGTCCACAAATGCTACAACTTTCTCTTGATGGAAAGAGATTGTATGTCACCAATTCTTTATTCAGCTCGTGGGATAACCAATTTTATCCTGAAATGGCAAATAGAGGCTCCTATTTGCTAAAGATAATTTGTGACACGGATAAAGGTGGAATGGAGATTGATCACTCTTTCTTTATTGACTTTGGAAGAGAGCCTTGTGGTCCTTGTAGAGCTCATGAAGTACGTTATCCAGGTGGCGACTGCACTTCGGATATTTGGATGTAAGAATGGTATATAAAATATTGCATTGAATTGGATTACTTTGTCTTGCTTGTTGATTTATGGAGTGTAAAAGATGATTCTCACTATATGTCAAAGCCTCTTGTAAAATACGTATAACTAGATTATTTCGAACAAGTATCCGACAGCAAGAGCCCTCGTCTTGCATATAAATATATAGTCAGGGATTGGAAATGGACTATTCTCCCAAATCAAATCACAATAGAGAAATCTTCGAAAACGCACCTCCGTGTATGTCCTGTTGTTCCATTTTCCTGTTGTTCTTGCTGAATTGAAAAGATCCAAACACGACCAGTCAACAGAATGAATTTGATTGTGTTGTTTTCTAAAATATGGTCAAGGTTATGAAAAAAGAACTAGAAGATAAGTTCAATGTAATATGGTTTAATACTTCTGATATCAGACAATCCTGTTTATGTTCTTTGGACGCTTTAAACCAGATGTGTCGAACATATAGTGTGTCTATATCATATAATGGCGATTTTGTGTTTTCAAAGTTCCCTTGTTTAAGTAACATGGACCTCATCCATTTGGTTTCTCATGCCCATGAACCGTTCTTTCGAATCTTTCAAAACTGTATCATGTGTTGCTTCTCAGATATTCGAACAATCATCTTCCATGAAGGTCTTTGTATATTCGAAAATCCTTATAGTGGGTTGTTATTGGACACTCTACAGAACACCTTAAAAGATGACACATTCAAGGAGCAGCCCTTGTTCTATTTATCTGCTGTTTGTGTTGCTCTGATAGATATGTGGAAAGAACGCATTCAAGCGGTTCTTCATGAAAAGAGCTACAACAGAATGGAAAGGCAAAAGAATGTATTCTCCGTTGCATCAGAACATGGATTATCTCTCTCTAATGCACAACAACTGCAACTAGAATTGAGGGAATTTCGACAAGGAATGTCATTCCTCTTGAAAGATCGAGTTGAAGACATGGTGAATATCGTTCGGGACACAAAATCTTGTTCGAGTCTTTCCTTGTATTTAGAGGTGAGTGATATTTGTGTTTGTAGAAATACGTCTCATTTTGTTCTTCTAGGAAGCAACTTGTCTCTATCGTCAAGTAGCCTCTTTGTGTGAAACATTGACTGACAAGGAAATGGATGCTCAGGCCCAAAGTCGCTTATTTCAAACAAGTCTCGTTGCACACAATTTTTTTGGAAATATTATACTTTCTTCTTGTCTTATCGGTGCTACAGTGAGCAGTTGCAACTTTTTCATTTTGCTGTTGTGTATTGATTGTACTTTTTTATACTAGGCAGGCAACTCCTTTGGAAGCAACTTGAATATTCCACCATATAATAGTACAAAAGGAATAGACGGATATCTTTGGTATATTGTAATTATCGGTAGCTTCGTAATATGGTTCACCTTTCTATCTTTATTTTTGTCCAAGAACAGGTCTCTGTTGAAGTATCTGTGGAAATTGGTTAAGAAACGCCAAAATCCAAAACAATGTGTAAAGCCTACCTAATTTCTCTCTGTACATCCGCACCACAAAAAGAAAAGCAATTTTTTCCCACGTCCTCCTAAAAGCCCATTTTGGCTTCTTCCAGCAGATGACCGCAAACTGAGGGTGGATTGTTTTGGCAGAATTTTCCATCCCTGATTTCTTGTGGCTCGGTTGTTGCATATCTCAACTGCGATATGGAAAGACTTTCTCCCGTGTTTGCTACTAGCAAGTCGTCCAATATGGAAGTAGAGCATTGGATGACTAGTTTGAAGGAGGTTGAAAAGGTTCTCGACTCAGTGGAACCAAAGTTGACTTCGTCTGGGACCAAGTGGAGAGGTACAAGAAGTTATCCCTAATTTGTTTCCCACACGTTAACTTTGTGTTTTTTAGTTGTTGCTCAACACATCAAAGATATTTGTAGTGACCTTAATCAAATTTTCAATAAGGAGGACCCACGATATGAAGTGGTTCAAGCAGGTGCCAGCGCCGCACACGACTTTGACGTCAGATATCTTGACATACACAAGGTAAGAACGCCTCATGAACCTTTAGAAATGCGACACTCAAAGGGGAGAAAGCATGGTAGAGAAATTGCCCGTTTATTAGAGAAAATACAAAAGTACCGCCAAGAAATTGAAGAAATTAAGAAAGAATACAAAGAGACGGACAAATATAGAGAGAGATATGATCATTACAAAGTGAAACTGGATAATTTGGAAAAGAAAAATAAGGACCAAGAACGAATAGAGAGAAACCAACAAAAGTTCAAAGACGCAGAAGCAGCTTACAGTTCAGTTTGTGCTGATCTTATTCAGAAAATGGAAACTGTTTGGAAAAAACACGTCTCCATATTTGCAGAAGCGGCATCAGCTGTTTGGAGCACGCAGTTACAGTATGCCAAAGCCTTGGAGGCTGCTGCTAATCCGATTGTTCCATATTTGCAACAAGAAGAACAAGAAGAGGAAGAAGAAGAAGAAGCAGCAAGCGGAACACAAGGACGAGTAGCGGAGAAAGCATATCACACGAATGAGGAAAAGGTCGAAAATTCTTTTCAGAAGAATAGTGCTATTCCACCAAGTTTCAGAACTGCTTCTGAACAACTGACGGAACAGAGCAAGAATATCAATAATGCAAAAAATACGTCAGAAACATCACCTGCTGAGGATATCGAGGCTTAAATCTTAGGTTCTTTTAGTTGATAATAGTGCTCAAAGACAGCACTATTATGTTTCTTCTATACACGTGATTCTTATGGTATGTTGTCTTGTCTAGAAATTCGAGGCAGTGTTTCAGGTGCACTAGTGCTTGAAAAGGAAATAAAATGTGAATCTTCCTGGACTTGTAGGCGTGAAGACATCAACTAGTCGTATGTTTCTTCCAAGGGAGCGTTATCCCAAATTGTACGAAACTGATGAAATGTTGATTGAAGAGGAGATATTCAGTTGGTTTCGAGTTTCCTGCAGTTGCATTGTGAAAGCTTGTATGTAGCATGTCTTCGGAACTTTCTAATATCATGATGCAGAGATAATTCAAAGAGTCATCCCAGAATTTCGCTTCTTTAGAAAGATAGGGATACATCTATTGCTCATCATACAAGTTTCTGTCCACTTCAAATTTCTGTCCGCTAAGAAATAGTACAACAAAATTATTGTCTCGAAAAAATCTGCATTTTGACTGTTTAAAAGTCATCGACACAAAAAACAAACACTTGTAATCCCAACTTGAGCTTCTTCCTTTATTATGCGGAAGTTTAATATGTACATTTAAATTAATGTTAGTTTCCACCAAACTCCTCTTCTCCAAACTTTTCCAGATCTACAGCTCGTTCCCAAGTGGAAACATAAGCTCTTGACACATCGGTAACTTCATCTAACCTGCTATCTTCACGAGTATAGAAAAGTTGATCGGTCATGGCAGGTGACGTCTCCTCAAGAATATGTCCTACCGACGCATCCAGGTAACTTCTCATTACCCTTTCGGCATCCTGAACAGAAGCAGCGTCTAACGAACCACCGACAAACTCCTTCTTCATATCTGAGAAGAGAGTTCCTTTGTAATCACCATTTTTCATGCAATCTTGTAAATTGTTCCAAAGCAGTCTCTCCAGACTTTGGGAACGTTGGGCAGTTGCATTCAATGTAGACTTACACTGAAAGCTGAAGAGACCTAGGGCAAGTGCAAAAATAAACATAGTAAGAGTTGCAGCTCGGGCTGGATCTGTCTTCATAAGAGGTTCCGTCAAATCTCTCACAAGTGAAACGAACTCCACGGGACTCGCTGAACTGTTAGTTGGCTGCTCAGGTTTTAAGTAAAGAGAGTCAAGTTTGTGTTGAAAATAGCCTCCATCACCACTGTCAACGTTCTCATTTGATTCGCTTCTTTCAACTTCATCACTGATACGTGATCTACAGCTTTGCTTATTAGACCAACCGGAATCGTCAATTCTCCTCCTTCGCTTTCGCCTCTCCCGTACATTCGAAGACGAGTCTTCCTCAGATTCTGGATAACATACGCTTGCTACAGTCTCAGCACCACAAAAGCCCCTGTATGCATGAAAACGATCAAGAGCTTCTCGGAGAAACGAGTTCTCTTCTTTGTATTTTGAGACTTGCAAATTCAACTTTAGATTTTCCTCTTCTAAAACCCTTACACGCTCGTGTAGAAGGCCAAAGGACTTGGAATCTTCGGCAACGTTGCCCCCTCTCCCTATCTCTCTACCGCAGACATTTGAGCCACTGCATTGAACCCAAGCATTCCAATTGTTATGGGTATTGGGTGCTGGCGAGATGTTCGGATGTCTCTGCTCTGAACTAGACAAGTATTCAGAGCATGTGTTCTTGCTAGTCTCTTCGATAGGAGGAAATGCGTTCTGTTCAAGTAAGGGAACAAAAGTAAAAACAGAGGCATCAGACTGTTGACTGGAGTCGCAAAACGCTTGTCTTGAAAACTCATATTCGTCTCTTCCTATAGAAAACTCCTTTTCAGAAGTCAAGTTACGAATTCCTTCAGTACTCTCCGTTTTCCACGGACTAGTACATACATTCAAGGAGTTCTCGTACTCTAATTCTTCAAGACCGTCGCAGTTTACTTGAAAAAACGTATTCTCTGTTCTGTTCCCGTCAAACGCGTCCATCTTGACAGGTTCAAAAGAGGAATCTTCCCACATGTATCAAGACCAACAATAAAAAACGAAAATTTTGGTATGTTGTTTACCAAGTCTAAAGAAATAGAGGCAATGCGTTCATGAAAACTCTCCAACTGGCACCGAGAAGGTCATCCCGCACTCACTTTTGAAATTCCACCAAAAATATTTCCACAATCGATCAAGTCGCATGTCCACACTTCTGGACAGTCAATCCGTCTTCCTTGTCCACGAGCACGTGGCCAGCGTCCCAAGACGGATTCAAAGTAACCATGCTTTTTCCGTTGTCCGCACCTTCATGATCAGATCATTTCTACCTAGATTCTCGAATCACTTTTTATTTTGTCCACGTTGGGCAGAATTCAGAAACGAAGAGGAGGAGTAACTTAGACTTGGCGCCGACAAGTTTATATTAGTTTACAATAACGTTTATCGCCTTGAAACCAATTTAGAATATCAACATAATAATATAGTAGAAGCACATTGAGGCTTTAAGAGTTTAGAATATTACTATTCTTGTTTCTATGTAAAAAGCAGCCTAGGTATTTGTTCCTATTACTATATGAAATACTTCGTGTTGCACACTCTTACAACTCTCCTCTTCTGACCATATCATAGAGCTTCGTATTGTTTTCAATACACCAATATTGCAAAATAGACGCACACTTAAATACTGTCTTAAACTCTAAACATACTCTATGTGCCTCGGGAACCAGTTAGTACTTGTTCTTGTAAATCGTTTGAAATGTAGTGCTATCTACACACTCGACACTAAAGAAATACTTTTGCAGGTTGTTACTCAAACAGCTGTTCGGTTGGTTCTTCATCTACCTATTGACTCCTCCAAACCTGGCATCTTATAACAAAAAGATCCAATGGTGATCTTAAAGATATCTCTTATCTACGAAAAATACTTCATATATCGAGTTCGAATCAGGAATGCGAAGACTTCGTAGCACCATTTATTTAGAAAACTAGTGATGCTGCGAGGATAATATCATTATCCACCTTGCAAGATACAAAAGCTATTGTTTTCTATTCAACAGCGTCTGTCTATCTTCTACACAAATATTTGCCACTTACTCCCCTCCGTTAGAATAAGCTGCCACATGAAATTTTTGTGCACGACCACTTGGGTCAGTACTATCACTCCACATAGGTACCCATCTTGCAATTGACTCACGAAGGCCTTGTACAGCGCGTGACTTGCCAAAATGCCTCTCAAATATATCACGATAAACATATGCCTCCTTTGTTGTGGGTGTGTCATGTGGAAAACGTTGCGCCGCGTTTTGCATATCTTGATCTGTCACTGCTTTTTCACAATATGCTTTTAAACCATCAATCCAACTGTAACCAACACCGTCAGAAAACTGTTCCTTTTGTCTCCATAATATATCATCGGGAAGATAGACTTCGCCACAAAATTCTTTCGAAAAGGCATAACGAATAATGTATTTTTCGATTCTGTTCTTACAAGTAACCTTTTCACGGGGATGAATACTCATAGCAACATCAAGGAAGTCTCTATCCAAGAAGGGAACTCGAAGTTCTAAACTCTGAGCAGCTGTTGCTCTATCTCCACGCAATACATCAGCAGTATACAAAAGTTTCACTCGACGAACAGTTTCTTGATGAAACGCAACTTCATCTGGTGCGTTGTGGAAGTAGAGATATCCACCAAATATTTCGTCTGCTCCTTCACCAGAAAGAACTACTTTGACATACTTTTTGCATAAACCAGATAACAAATACATTGGTGTCGATGCTCGGACTGTAGTTACATCGTAAGTTTCCAAGTGATAGATTACATCATCCAATGCTTTGATGCCCTCTTCAACAGTAAAAGTCAAAACATGATGTTTTGTTTTCAAGAAATCTGCTACTCGTTGAGCGGCAGCGACATCTGGAGCACCCTCAAGACCACAAGCAAAAGAATGAAACTCATAATGAGGGCCAAGTAGACGTTTGGCAACGGAAGCTACCAGTGAAGAGTCCAATCCTCCTGAGATAAATACTCCAACTGGAACGTCCGACATCAAACGACGCTTACAAGATAACACAAAGGTATCATGTAGAAGCTGATAGTCAACTGGAGAAACTGGCATCCAATGATCATTCCAAAATACGGGTTCATAGTATCTCGTAAAGGAAAAGTCTTGTTCACGACCTCTGTATCCTTTCACAAAAGTACCAGGAATAAAGGCTGTCACATAATCACAAACATCCATAATAGACTTCGCCTCAGAAGCAAACCAAACAGCACCATCTTTACTAGTTCCATAAAACAAAGCTCGTACTCCAATTGGGTCTCTTCCGGCCATAAAGAAACCACGTTTCAAGTCAACGACACAAGAAGCAAACACTCCACGCAAAAGATTATAAAAATACTGAATGTCATGATCATAAAGCTGACTAGCAATGTATTTTTCGTATAAAGGAATCACTATTTCACAGTCAGAATGAGAGTGTAGCGGCATCCCTTGATTGCAAGAGTAAACAAACTGACGTTTCTTTGAATATTCAAGTTCTTACTGTCCAACTCTTTTTCTCGAATCTCTTCATGGTTGTAAAGTTCACCGTTGGTCACACTCCAAACTGTCTTTTCGTCGTTGAACATAGGTTGAGCACCATGTTCAGGATCAACTATCTTCAATCTCGCAAAGCCTAAACCACACCAGCCGTCTTCGCTAATGAAATACTGTTCTTCATCTGGCCCTCTGTGATATAACTTTCTGGTGCAGCTTTTCACCAACTCCCTTAGCTGCTCTACCGGTAAAGAAGAACCCAACACTGCAAGAATCCCACACATCTCCGACTTCCCGACGAGCACTATTCACCAATCTTGCCAAGTGAGATGAATAGTCTTCATTTCTTAGGATTGTATAGGCACGACAGTTGTTTCTTTGAGAAAAGGTCGATTATCATGAGCTATTATCTACCAGTTCAAGTGTTGAAAGACATTCTTACTATCAATACGGATATACTAGTACGAAATAGTTGTTATTCGTGTTGGGGTTAAGTATTTGCAGAGTTGGTCAAAGGCACCGTTTATATCCATAAAACACCTGTTTGACTTTATTGAAAACAGCTTCAATTACGAAGATACATAACGTGACTGAGAAAGTTGCATGATTTCTTCGGTTATTCTTTCAGAAAGAAATTTACAAGTGATAGAGCCCAAAAGTTCTAAAACCTTCAAATACTCACAAACACAGCTAGAAATATTGCATTGCTCTATAGGATGTTTCATAATAAATACTTTACGTGAATGCAGTGTTCTCTACTGTGTAACGACTCATTATTCTGACTCTGATCGACTGTCGTAGTTTATATTGAAAAAGGAATGTCTGTCCATCATTGTAGAGATAAGCTGGTGGAAGCTGCCAGTCTTCTCCGTAGACCAAGACAAGAGTTTTTTTGGCAACTTAAACGAGGAAAACATAGAATCACGAAACTACGTTTCCTTATACGGTGTTGCCGATACTACAAGTCAAAGCTAACTCTTTGAGAAAGACGCTAAACTTTTTGACATCCTATCAAGATAACAGTAACGTGGAGAAACACAAAATAGCATTCCAATAGCTATACAACGACCTTATAACTCAAGAACAACAGCAAAAACACAAATAACAAGATAAGAAAGAAAACTTGAAGAACAAGCACGTTAAGTCAGCCCTAGTGGCCGATATACTGTTTAGATTATTCGTAAGATCTTTGAAGAACTCCAAAAGTAGCCTAGAAACTATAGTTTTCTAATTTTGTGACAATAATAATACAATGCAAAAAGACAAACCATAGTTTGAAAATATCACAAAAACATAGAATTGAGTGCGAAAGACGGGACAACAACGACGCTCTTAAGGCAACCCAAATATTTCAAATTTGCAAAATTTCTTAGTAGAATATGTGCTCTGGTAGCTCAGCTGGTTAGAGCGTATGACTGTTAATCATAAGGTCGTGAGTTCAAACCTCACCCGGAGCGCTGTTTTTTTTTGAATCTTCTTTATGGAGGAACCAACATGAACTTTATGGAAAAAAGACAAACAGATTATAAAACTAAGAAGACGAAATAATATTGAGGAGTGTACTATTGTTCGTAGTCAGTTTTCCTGGGGAACCAACAGCGTGGGCGTGGCCGATGACTACAGAACCTGGAGCGGAAAACTCAATATCGTTAATATGCTTTTGCCAGGACTTTTGTGCAGGTGAAGTGACAGTCTGTTCAGCGTCATAACTTGCTATATAATAATACTGGACGTGACTCATATTAATACCGATCGGACACCATTGGATAAGAAGATCTGCGATATAGTTTTGGTGATTGGCATTTGTCTCCGTCAAGAAACCGTTTTTGCAAGACTGGATGAAAATTGCTCTTAAGGAAGCGTGGCTGCTCGTTAAGATTCCTCCGTAATAACCAACCGCAAAGAAACCATTAACAATAGATGGACCATAACTTCCAACCTCCGGGAGTTGCAAAGCAATCATCGAAGGGAACAGTGGCTCCGGTATGTCAGCGGTAGGAGCATCCATATCTGCAGCAGCATGATGAACATCCACACTTGTGCCATAATAAAGGTCGTATGCACCCCAGTAAGAATTTGCAGGTACACGGACAGTGATATATCCCAAAGATAGAATAACCTGATTTCGAAAGCCATAGGTGCTGCCACCATAAGGAGGCATCTGAATTCCAATAACAGCAGGTTTCTTCACTGAGGTATTATTCCCTACAACTTGAATGATGACACCATCAGTTGGAGGTTTTGTGGTTCCCAAGTTGCCTTCTTGATAGTTCCAGACATTACCCTCTCCTTCAATGGTCAGTGGTACATATTGGAAGTCACTCTTTGGATATGGTATTCGAATCAATGCAGCACGATCTGTACTACTGCTATCCAATGGCAAGAGGTTGGTGGAACCATTCAGTTTGTATATTCCATTCTTTAATATTATCCTTCCTCCTCCATTGTGAAACACAAAATCGATAGCTTCTTGAATACCGTAGGTACTTGTATTGAAGGTAAATGGTCCAAAGTCTCCTTCTGATGGGTTAGTGCTATTGGTAACTACTACTAAAGGGAGACGAGTAGCAGCAGGAGTATGTGGAAACTTTTGAAAAGCTAGAGTGACGCCATTCCATATACTTATGAGGAGGAAAATAGAGAAGAGCTCTTTTGACCACTTCGTCATGTCTTTGAAAGTAAGGATTTTGAAAAGCTCTGCATCTTTTAAAGGCAATGATTTGTCCCTTGTCTTTTAGACTTTAGAATTTTTTCTCAGGTGAACGCCAATGACGACAAGAAGGTGGAATGAGAGTACAGGGAAACATGGAGCCACGTGTTGAATCCCTCGATGAAACGATGCTAAAAATAGTATGTCTAAGTGAATAGATGTAATAGGATTGTCACTGTTGAATTGGTGACGAATCGTTGGTTTCAATTCAAACTGGAGCGACCTGATAAAAAGAAGTGCAAAGCTACTTAGCTCTATGATCCAGTATGGGATAACGAAACCGTCATATTAGTTTGGTAAAGTTCCCAAGGCACGTAGAAAAATGAAGTTCTTAAAGATAGTCACCACTTGAAGCAGTTTGAATGTCTCTTTTATAGCTCCTTCAAACACAGTATGAAAATTTTTTTCTATTATCTACACTCTCTCCAAAGAGTTTGGTTTTCTCTCATAAGAGCCATTTTTCAACCAGAGAACAATGTTTTCATTCGAAGGAAATGCTGCTTAAGTACAAGAAATTCTTCTTTAAGAAATATGAAACCAACATTTTAACTTGATCAACTTAACATCAACTCATGGAGAGAAGCAGATGATATTTGCAAGTAAACTCGTTAACTATTCAAGTACTGATCGTGAATAGTTCCACTTGACCTCGGGAAGTATAGAAACTTGACATTTTGTTCTTAATAAACCCAAGGAGGCTTCCTTTTATTGGGCCAAAAGTCAAGTTGATCCGTTTTTAAAGATAGTACTGCTCTGCAGAAGAGTTTCTGACCAAGAAGGAACGTAACCTCTTATCTATAGATAGCCACGGGACAATCGAGTTGAAGAGTTTAGAGTTTTGGGAGGTTGATCTTCTAATGGTATCACTGTCGGCATATTGAATTGGATAGTAAGCACACATATATATGTATGTCTATATATATTGTCTAGGAGAGTTACCTCCCTATATCGTCCGTCGTATGAAAATTTCCGACTTTTCTAAGAAAACACAAATTGAGGTTTTTTCAAGAGAGAGAGAGAGTTTACTGCTCATTGTTGCCTAGTTTCTGAGTTTCTATAGATTTGACATGCAGAGAGGTTTTTAAACTGTAAGACCTACTCTGATTTGTTCTTTGGAAAGTACTTATTCCTTAACAAAGATCATTAAGTGTACTTTTTCAAATACCCCGTAAGCTTCAAAGCTTTCTCCAATGACGAAAAATGTGCCCAACACAACTTGGAAAATTGACAATATTTCTTGAAACTGATTTCGGTGACAAGGACATTCTCCCTTGAAGGATTTCGAAACACGAATATCCACCTTAAAGAGTGAAAGTAGCCTTCTATATGTTCGAACTGGAGAATTGTTGTTTTATCCCGCTTTCTATTGTCAACTCTCTATTTACTTGCAGTCTTTGTGGTGGTTACTGGAGAGAAGCAACAACAATAGGTGACTGTCTTCATACCTTTTGCAAAACTTGCATATATAGGTGAAAAATATAGTTTGAATTACTTTATTTTGTTTGAATATCGAAAACAGGTATATTCAACAACAGGGACGTTGTCCACGTTGTTGGTCAAAGTTGAGCCCGCGAAACGAACCGTGGATTTACGCACGCGAAGATACAAGGCTCCAGGAAATACTGCGCGCCATTCTTCCTCAAGTGAAACAGGACGTTGAGGAGTTTCAAACAGTATCCATATTATCAGCCAGTAATAACACAGATCTCGCACCATCAGCAGTATTGACTTCACAAGATAATAATCTACGAGCAGAAAATGGAGCTGATTGTTGCATTTTGCAACTTACACCTCTCCAAGGATCGACTAAGCGAGAGCTGCAAAAGCCTGTCTTACGAGTTTCAGCGGATATCACTATAAGGCAACTAAAGCAGTATCTTCAATTGAAGTTGTACGGTTCCGGCAACCCTGAAATAGAGGTGAGTTCCTGTTGACGAAGTTCTGCAACACTTTTTCAGTACAAGTAAGCTTTACTCAGGTCATAATATTCTACCGTCCACAGTTCATATTCGTTCCATATTACAAGAAAACAGTCTTATTCTTAGTCTCTTCTATGCTTGAAGGTGCATGGTTGCAAATCCTCCTGAGAGCTGTTGTTGAATCGTGCCAACTACGTAGACGGCTATCGCTCCATACTCTCTGATTTCCCTCCTCTTTTTTCTAGACGAAGGGATCCAACACGACAACTTGTGATTCTCGTTGAGGTGAAAGAGGCGTAGAAATTGACAGGCTTCCAAATCGCGTCTTTCATGATCGAGTCTTATGGACAATGGCATCAAAAGCGGAGCAAAGAAACTTCATTTTTGTTGTCAAGTTGTGTTTGTGAATTTTGTTGCAATGGTGAAGCAAAGCGAGGCAGAGATAAGTCTTGAAGAAGGAGCCCCACAAGAGACTATGTCAGCTGAACAGGAAACAAAGGAAGTTAGTTTGGAACAAAAGACAAACCGCTTTGCAATTACAGGACATACTGAAGAGGAAATGGATACTGAATTAAATAAGCTTGACGAAGAAAATAATAGACTAAGTAAGAGGAGAATTCTGACTTCTACAGCTTTTGGTAATCCGAAGCACTTCATTTGGATTCTTGCTTCGTTCGCGAGCATGGGAGGAATCTTATATGGTATTGACCAGTCCTTAATAAGTGGTGCTGGTATCTATATGCCAGTAGACTTGAATATTGACCAGAGTAAAGAAGATATGGTAACTGGGTTTATGCCTCTTGGTGGCGTATTTGGTGCATTGATGTAAGCTGCATATTCTCAACAAATTGTAAGATAACTCACAGTACTGTCATAGGGTATGGCCGGTTAATGAATTGCTTGGACGGAAGTACACCATCATTGTCGCTTGTCTTCTGTATACAGTCGGTGGTATTTTAGAAGCTGATGCTCAATCGTTTGGTATGATGTTGCCTGGAAGAATGATTCTTGGAGCTGGAGTAGGTTTGGAAGCAGGAACGGTTCCTCCGTATATTGCAGAATGTAGCACAAAACGTTGGAGAGGAGGTTTGGTGTCCTTGTATCAAGTTATGATAATGCTTGGCTTGTTATTCGGTTACATCGATGCTGCCATATTTGTTGATGTTTCTGGTAACTGGCGATGGATGCTTGGATCTTCTTTATTATTTTCAACCATCTTTCTCATTGCAATGTTGTTTTTACCTGAAAGTCCACGTCTTTTGATGAGGAAAGGTCGGAAGGTGGATTCTTATGCCGTGTGGAAGAGAGTTCGAGGATTTGATGTCTTTGAAGAGAAAGAAGAATTCTTCTATATGGAGCTTTGTGTTTTGGAGGAACGTGAGGCAGAAAAGTCACGCTTTGTCTGGTTTGACTTTATCCGTATTCCACGTTGTCGCAGAGCTGCAGTTTACGGTATTCTCATCATGAGTGTTCAGCAGTTCTCTGGTATCAATTCTATCAATTATTATATGGGAACACTGATGGTAGAAACTGGTCTTTCAGCCCAGAATGCAGTATATACCAGTATGATTGGTGGTGGCACTGGATTTCTCTCCACGATTCCTGCAATATATCTGATGGATCGATTAGGACGTCGTCCATTATTATTAACACTTATTGGAGGAGTTGTCGTGGGATTGTTTATCGTTGGTTTCTCATTTCTTGCTTCAAATATTCATACAAAGGAAGGTGTATATATTTGGGGCGTTGTTATTTATTATCTTTTCTGGGGCTCATGTCTTGGACCTACTCCTTGGGTTGTTGCCTCAGAAATCTATCCTACTTATTTAAGAAGTCACGGAATGCTGCTTTCAGATGTGACTAACTTTACTGGCAACTTTATCACAACTTACGCATTCAAACACATGACAAATGCCATGACCAATACGGGCACCTTTGTAGGTTTCTATGGAGGTCTTACTTTAATTGGTTGGATTTATCTGATGTTCTTTATGCCAGAGACTAAAGATAAGACTCTGGAAGAATTGAATGAAGTATTTGAAAAGCCCACGTCTGACATTTTGAAAGAGAATGTCGTTAGAGTGAAAGAAACTTGGGATGATTTGTTACATATGCGTTGGAGAAATATTTGGATATTATCCAAGTAAGACATTTTGGCGCCTTGTGTCTTTTGTGTCGTGTTTTTTTCTATATGATAACTCCATTAAAAGCATTTTAACGCTTTCAATCCATCTTATTTTATTATTGTGATTATTATGATTTCATAAGTGAGTAGCAATAGAACGACACAAGGGAATGCCAACGAGAATCCCAAAACATATCGTGCCAAATAATTTGTAATAACGCAACCGTTGCTTCCGGATGCATTGCAGTTGTTGCCAAAGATTCTCAACTTGCTCTTCTAAAGCTAACAAGGAACCTTTACCATATTCGTTAATCATTCACTAGAACATGTTTGATCACTCTTACCAGAATTATCCAATACGAAATGTGCCATAGCTGCTTTCTCTTGTAAAGGCATTTGAGAATCGATTCTACCCATCATTATTCCATCATCGGAAGAGTTTCGACCCAACCAATTCTTACCTTTGTAAGGCTTCTTCTCGTGATAAGTGGTTTCTTCTCACGAGTCGATCAATTTGTTGATCTCGGTCACACACAACTACGACCGTAACAGTGCAGAGCCTAGCAGAGTTGAAGTCTATTACTAGTACAACGAATCCATTAGTTACAAACCATAACAATCGCCTGGTTTCAAAAAGAAGTGGCACGTCTAATACAATAAAAGGACGACCCATCAGTACACTCATAACACAGTCTCTAATCATATAAAATATAATCCAAGGGTGCGTAATTCTGTTCAGTTGGCGTCTTTTTGACTCATCTCCAAATATCAGTCGTCCCTATGTTGTATATCAACGTTACAGCTGTCATCCCAACACTGCAACTTACCAACTGCGTGCGATCCAGTTTTCTATCAGCTCCAACCACTTGTGTTCCAAATTCACGAACAATTCTACTATTTTATCATTTGCACTCCTTTAGACAACCATCAACTACCTTTTGTAAGCAAAAGTTCCTGGTTCTACGACTTGACGAGCAATCCAATCGGCGTCAACGACAACGGCATCTAGAATAGATGGTTGTTATTGTTATTTTGTTGGTTGACGAGATATGTATAGTCGTTCCTACTCTTTTTCTTCAAAAGCTCTACAACAGTACTTTTTCCACTAGCAATACCACCCGTTAAACCAATTACTAATGACATGAAAAGTCACAAGTTTCTTTTGTCAAGATTATTATTGAAAAGTAATCAATCTTCATTCTTATGCCAACAACAGATAGACTAAATTCATTCCTTGCAAAGAGATGGAAATATAAGAAAACATAAAAGATAATCATATGGCACTCGGTTGTTTCAAACGCCATAGCAGCAAAAAAAATATTCTCCAAGTCTAGCATTGTTCTATTTCTATCTATCCATCCACATTGGTTCTTGTGCGAATTTCCTTCACATTCCTATCTCAAGTTGATTTTATTTCCATGAATTCAAAAAGTATGATAAATAGTCGACTCCAGCTAGGGAAAGATAACAATCTTTCTAAATCTTGCATATACAAGCAAACATATCTAAACGACCAGCCAATTCATCCATCCCTTTTTCTACCAGTAACTTTACAAAGCTATGATCTAATATTCTTTCTTTGTAACTCTCTTCCTTTCCACTTGCACTATGTGAATAACATTCATGCCGCTGAAAATATTCCAGTTCCGAAAATATCCAATCATAACTGCAATCTTCCATTCCATGCACACCCACAGAATCTAACAAATACCAAAAACGAACCAATATCTGAACAATATCTCTTCTAAAAAAGGGATCTCCTTTGATAAAGAGAGAATGCTTTGCTAGTAACTCTAAAAACAAATCTACCGAATAACAACGTTCAAGTAATGTTCGAACCTCATCGTTGGACAACATCCACAAAATACTTCGGGGAGGTAATAAAAAGCATCCCATCAAAGACGCATTGAAATAAGGAAACTGCGTCTCCAGTTGTTGCAAAAGCAACAATGCCTCCTCTTTCAGGTGGTTCCAAAGCAAAGCATGAATCAAAGCCATATAAAGTTCAATCTTTTCATCAAAAATAGAATGCCGCAAAGCCAACAATTTGTCCACTTGTTTACTCATTCCACATGCATAAATATAAAGCTTCTGATCCTTAGCAACTATTGTGTTGGCTTCCCTTCTACCCATCAGCAACTTCCAAATCTCGTTCACTTGGTGTTGACATGTTGGAAAAGAATTTCGACTCGTAGTTAGCAACAAAATCCTCAACACACGTCTATCTGGGCCACTCATCCAGCAAGACTTGAGAAACCAAAAGAGATGAAGTGACGCCTGATATACACAGTCGGTAAACCAAATACTTTCTTATCATGCATAATTACCTTTACTTGTCCACGTCTTGCCAACTCAATCATAACCTCCTCAATAGTTTCCTTGGGAACACTGATACCTTTGTTCAACTGACATTCCAAGTATAATTGCATCAACTGCAGCCATTTGAGACGCTCTACTTGGTTTGTGGATATGTCATAGAGACGGAACATTGCCTTAATCACCCAAATAGAAAATACAGGGCGTCTAAAGAGCTTGCGTTGATTTGCAACCTTTAAATAGAGGATGAAATGGTCCTTATTAGAAACTGAAGGAAGCAGAACTCGAAAAGTTTCACAAGAAAATGAGAAATGATCACAGCTCAACACCAGATGCATTTCTTTTTTCGCTTGTGTAGTGGACAGCTCATTGTGACAAAACAAAAGATAAAGATTGTGCAGCTGAGATGAATATCTGAGAATCGAAATAGATAATAGATGAGTACTTCTTACCTTGGAAGATTGTGGAAACTGTTCAGCAAGCTTCCAATACAATTCTCGTATTTGGTTGACTTGTTCTCTACTCTTTGTCGCTTTGATAAGATTATCTGCCACAGAACTTTTCTGGATATGATATTGATACTGAATGAGTCGTTCTAAATCGACTATACGCATGGGTTGCTTCTTCTGTAAAATTTTTTTCATGAAACAAAATATCTACATCAACAAACCTGACTAAATACCTTGATCAAAGTTAAGAGAAAGGTCAAAGTTTCAACATCCTTTCGTTTCCAGCTTTCAGTCCACAAAGCCTTTATACACTGCTCTATTGCAAGCTGTCGTATTCTAGCCTCTTCTGCCGTCTCTTCTTTGGAACATACATTTTCCAATACGGACACAAGTTTCCAAGCACTGTGCCTTCCCAGTTGAACATAAGCTTGGAAGAAAATAGGACGAATGAGTGCAGTTAAAGCACCTCTTTGTCTATGAGTGACCTCGTTCATTGCAGCCTGCTTTAGCTTGTTCTCTGCTTCTTCCTCCGAAGCAAAAAATATTCGTTGAAAATGGATCCGCCCAGACGATTTATTTCCTTTCCCTGACTCACAGCTTTTTTCCTGCTTCATCGTGTTAAGTAGCTGTAAGACTCTTTCTCTCGAAGGATAAACTTTCACTTTCCCGTAGTGAAGTAGATTAAACATATGTTCTGTTGGTTCCAAAGTCGTAGTCTTCAACGGTGGCACCGTCGTTCCTGTTGACAAAAGTGCGACAAAAAAATGTTGCCATATCCTACAATAACGCCCTCGATCATTCCACGTTTTTAGTAGACGCTGCATTGAAAAGAGCTTCAGTCCACTTCGTCTACAGTGGTAACTGGTCAATCATTCGCCATCTCCAATGAGAGTGAACTCTCTATGCATCATACTCTTATCATTTCGTAACGTTTCTAAAAAAATACAATTTGAAATAGAAAATGTAGCTCATAGTGAGACCACTTTGTGACAAAAGAAAGATCTCCTCAAACTTGTATTTAAATGAGGTCTTCTCTTGAAGAATCAACCAAAAACAAAATAAACACTGGAAATGTCATACAAAGAAATGCTAGGTGAGGGGTTCGAACCCTCGCGGAGCGTAGCCCCAGTAGATCTTAAGTCTACCGCCTTAGACCACTCGGCCAACCTAGCTTTATCCGGATATTCCCAATAGTCTACACATTCAAGGGGATTTTTTATATTTATACAGTTCTAGACAACTGTGATATAAGCTCACAAAACCATCTAACGAGACAAACACAGGTCATTAATATTCCGAACCTTCAAAAATTTAAACTATTACTCTTAGTATTGTTGCCAACAAATTATTCTATTTCTTTTAAGGTTGTATACTACTGTATAGCATCTGACTGGCAAACACAAGCTGGCCACGTGAGCTTGTCCAACCAACACTCCATTTCGTCGATATACATCATATTTTTTGCTATTGTCTTCTTTCTGCGAACCTTGACAACTTCTCAATAACCTCCAATTTTCGTAAAAGATTTCAGTTACAACTTGAAACGTTTTCAGTCGGAACGATTTCTACTTTCCATAGTTCCATGAAATAAGTAAAACATGGTTAAGGGTAAAGACTCCACAATGTCTTTGAAAGCCTACATAGCTTGTAATACGAATGAAATATTATTTTTGTCCTTGTTCTGTTTTGCTCTTTACTCGATAACGAGGAGTCAAACGACTTCGAGATGATGAGGAAACTTTTTCTGTGATTCGTTGAGAATATCGTTGCTTTGTTGGGATATTACTTTGAATCGTATCTTTTTCACCATTAGAACTCTTGACTGTTCTCTCTTGCGAACCAATTCCTTTGTCAAAAGCTAGATCAGCTGCAGATACAGATTGAGTTCTATTATTAACTTGTTGACATTGCCTATCGTCACTATCTGAAGTTGCGTTTATGACACTTAAATTTCCCTCCGATTGCTCTCTTTCATCTTGTGTACCATTCAGTGATTCTTCAAAACGACGAAAATCCGCATCTTCGAAGATAGTCGCAACGCAAGAATCACGACAACGAAACTTTGACGGAACCTTTGGAAACAGTGCACGGAATACTCTTATTCCATACTCAACACCATTGTTTGTATCTTTCAACTTCAAGCCGCTGTACTCCTTTTCAAACCCCAATGCGTCCTCCAAAGACTGAAACGCAAGGTAAGCAAAACCTTTCTTCGCAGAAGATAATGTTTCTTTGCGACTTGCGGGACAACCCGGGTAGAACTGACACCAGGCAACCAATGAAAAAGAATGACCAGCCGATTCAAAGGCCATATGAAAATCGTCTTCACTGTAGGAAGGAGGAAGGTTTCGCACCCAAACTTTCACCAAGTAAGGGCTATTTTCCTTTCTAAGGGGATAATTTGCAACATTGTGGTTATTTCGACTTATATCTGGAACATACTTGTGATAGTTTTTGTACGGTCTTTGAATTCTACTAGATTCTTCCTTTCTTTCCACAAACGCGCCCTTGAAGGATCCTGGACCTCGTTTTGGATAAAAACTTCGCGCAAAGTCATCTCTATCAGAACCAGTTTGAACATATCCCTGTTTTGCAAAATTCTTTTCTCGGTACGTAGAACTTCTGCTTGACCAACGTGTCCTCTCATAAAAACTACGAGAAGAAGCAGAGTCTCTACTTGAAGAATGCCGCATAGAGAAATTTTAGAACAGCAATATTGACATCCGATTATGGTTAGTAATAGTTTCTGATTCAAGTTCTTTTGACTGTCGTTAGTCTGTAACTTTGCATACAACCCATGGAGATATAAAGATAGAGTTGTTCTGTGATATGTCTCCCAAGGCAACAGAAGTAAGTTGACACTTTTTGGGGACCATTCTAACTGGCCTTTTAGAACTTTCTCGCCTTATGTGCCAGTGATTACTATACTGGAACTAAGTTCCATCGGTTGATAAGTGGTTTTATTGTTCAAGGAGGTGACCCTACAGGAACAGGAAAAGGCGGAACTTCTATTTGGGGAGAGCCTTTTGATAACGAAATTGTGGAAACCTTAAGGTTCAGCAGAAGTGGGATGGTTGCCATGGCGAATAGAGGACCTTGTTCCAATCAAAGTCAGTTTTTTATCACTCTTGATAAGGCACCCCATTTGGATAAAGCTTATACCATTTTTGGACAGTAAGTGAGTAGCTACATTGTTGCAGTCCATTAAGTCACCTAGTGTTATTTATGGCTTCGATACTTTAAAGAAAATAGAAAAGATACCAGTGGACGAGAAGTATCGTCCTTTGGAAGACATCATAATACGAGATGTTACTATTCATGCTAATCCTATTGCAGACATGGCTCTATGACGAGATAGATTCGATATATCAGAGATTTGACAGCAGAGTCGTTGAATCGTTTATTACTGTATGTTGTCTTCTCCATACCAATGCTCACTCGTAGAATGACTTTCTTCAGAATATTTATCTAACAACTCTTTCCACATAGTTGTAGGAGAATCCACTTGGAACAACTGCTCCTGTATTTCGGCTTTTTCTTGACAGTTTCTCGGTGAAGTTTTTGTATCCACTGTATTTTGTGTTCGTTGAAACTCTTCTCTCAAAGTTTTGGTGCTGTTCTCCGCCAACGATAACTGTTCAGTGGTATGAGCCAATAAATTGGAAATTTCCTAGTTAGTCACTTGAGAAAACACTTTCCGTTTTGTCCCATTTTACCGTACTTGTAAAGTATTTTGTTCTGCTTCACTCAAGGCGTTTTCGTTGTTGAAAGCTCCTTGAACGGTTGGAACCCTAGTTGTTTCCTTTGTTGAAACCAGTTCTCTCAAATAGGCACACCAAGGGGACACAATTTCGTGTAACTCCTTCAAATGTGGAAGAGGCTTCTTTACACAAGTTTGCAGTTCTATGGATACTCGATATATATTTATTAAATTGACTTCTATCTCTCTCAATACTTTGGTTATTTGCGTATCCAAATATTCGACATATTCATCGGAGTTCATTTTGGCGCCCAATGCAAAGATATTTAAAATGTTTGTGCTTTTCTTTATTGAATGAGATGGCTACGGATTGTTTGGATCCTCATATATTATGGATAGTACCTTTTCTAAAAAGTTTTGAAACAGACTTTGAAATACATCAAACAAAAAGAGAAGAAACAAATGGCTGTAGGAGAAAAAGAAGTATGTTTTCCTCTCTGGTCATGTGTGAGGATGGTTGTTCAGTGGCAGTGTATACAAACTGGAGACCACATTCAGAGCAACTAGTGGAAAACGAGAAACAAAACAAACCACAATCAATTATTTCTCTTCATTATGATAATCTTGTGAAGGAAGCACAGCAACTCTTGGAAGCCTCTTTCCATCTTTCTCTTTCAACCCATATCATCTTTGACCTGCGAGTCAAGCAACAACAGACTACAGTCGATAACAACGGTATGAAAATGTTGCTCTATATGGTAAATATTATTCACAAGTGGAGAACAACATACAAGCACTGCATATTTTCTATGGTTGTTGGGTCTTGTAGCAATTCTCTTCTTCTTTCAAAATGGTCTCTAATGATCAACTTGGTTCAACGAGTAGAGGAACAAAAACTAACCACTCTTTTGGAGTCTCTGGAGAAGAATATCTTTCTTTGGAAAGGAGCACTCTTTGTTCGATCATCGTCCACTTGGCTTGGTTCCGGTATCGTAAGCGTCACGAGAGAAGGGCATCGAACGAATGAAACTCGATCATTATGGCCATTTTTTCGTCATCTCGAACCTGTTGGTGAAATAGAAAAACTTGATACAGATACACATGGATGGCATACCATAAGACTTCCTTGTGAATTTCGAATAGATGACCACGAAAGTGACCTCTTCAATGATTGGTACGAAAGGAAAAATTCATTTGCTTATCAATGGTTTCGAATAACCTTTCGTACTCAAGGAGGAGTATCCCGATCTTGTTTGCTTTGTAAACAATACAAACAAACGACTTTTCAAATGCATACTATCATTCCATTGACCTATCCAGGTTTCTTTGGTTCCATATTCGCTTCTGTCGCTAAGAAAATTCATGCAATGGCTTCTTCTATTGTTTCTCAGAAAATGGAATCAGACTATCGAGCAACGTTCACAACGATATGGAAACGACATATACAAAGAATGGATGGCGTAGCCGACATCAAACTATTTTGGTATCATCCCATATCTCATGAACATTCTTTGAAACCTTTAAATGAAAATTGTTCTCCTTCTCAACATTTGGAAAATTGTATGGAATCACCACAATCCTCGACCAAGTCTCCACAACGTGGTAACTTTCAGACGAGAAACAACGATGAACGACAGTATTCGTCATTCATGCCAAACAAAGCAGGGGTGGTGAAAAGAAGGAAAAGAGCTTTGCATAAGCTTTCACTGAGAATCAGTCAAAGAGAATATATCGACTCTTCCTTGTCAATTCATCAAAATGAGGAGATGGAGCAAACTTCAAAAAAACAATCAGTCTCTTCACAAAAAGATCCTTCATTTCATTCGCTGGACTGGACTCTGAATGATAATCAAATCGACAACAACTTTGTTCCTTTGTATCACAAAATGATCAAATACTGGTTTTCCCTTCTAGGAGAGCACTTTCATATCGATAGCGAGGAATCTCAATGGCTACAGTATCCATTTATATCAAGTGCTTGTGATGAGTTATACCAATCTTTAGCTAAGACCTATCATCAAATAGCGACTCAGATTTCAACAATGGGCAAATGATCACTAGTTCGTTTGTACTGATTTTGACAACTTTTGACTCGGCCTAAGCCATATTTGGCTATATTTATCTGTCGTGTTATATCTACTCCACTTTCGAATGCAGTTTGAAGTCTTCAAGGTGTTCTTCTAGTCATAATGCACTTATTTGAACGTTATATTATAGCTGAAAGCATAAGATTTTTCATTTTCTCTTGTCGAGCTTGAACGCTGGTCTTGTTCTGAGAAAACCAGTTTTCAGATTTTTCAAGAGGCCAACGACAAGTTCGGTATGAGTATTGGACGACATAGATGTTTTTTCAAGGTAGAATTGATCAACTTTGTGCAAAAGTATTACAATAAGCATTTTGAGAGACCTTGTGACAAGTTTCAACACAAATGAGGTTACGTTACATCTCCACAAGCTGATTTTGATATCAATTTGGTGCGTTGGACAAAACATGCAAGCTTTGAGCTTCTTGACGAGTTATCACTCATGTCTTTTTACTTTACAAAATTCCAGTCAGTTATCTTCTGCATTTCACTTAGGAAACAAAAGTTATTCTTTTAGAAGAGGCTGTTTCCATTCCAAAAGAGCAATCAACGTTCGTTCCTTTCGCATAGTTGCAGAATACAACTACAATATATTTCAAGATGACCAAGATCGTTCTAGAAGGAAGGTTCAACCTGGAGAAAGAGCTTATTTTGTAAAGAAACCTTTAGGTTTGGTTTTGGAAGAAGCAGAAGACGGCATGGTATTTGTGGCTGATATTGATCCTCGAGGAAATGCAGCTCGAGCCTCACGTGGTGATATTCGAAAAGGTGACATTCTAGTAGCTATTAGTGCTACTTTTGGTGAGGAAGTGTGGTCTACGAGAGGAGTTGGTCTACCACGTGTTTTGAAAGGTATTCAAGTACGCTTTGGGGATGAAGTTACTCTTGTATTTGAAAGTCCTATGGAAGTGGAGAATAGAAAGCAATATTCTGAAGAATTTGCAGCGAAGAGAAGACAAGAAGCGAGAGAGAAGTTTGGAGAAAAGGTGGTTGTCGATCCTGTAACGTGGAGAACGGTGGCTGCCTCTGAGGTTGCTCCCAGTAGTAAGGGAGATTCGGGAGCTCCTATGGGCAATGAGGAAAACAGTATACCTAAATATGTCAGACTTTATCAAGAGAATATGGAACGTCCACCACAATGGATACCTGAAACGACACAAGACGATAACTCATATCCCGAATCGAATAAAAGTGGACAGTACATATTATTGTGGTCGTTGGCTGGAGTAGGTTTGATTGCTCTGACTGCCTTTCTTACCCTTCGATAAGTTCAAAGTATTTTGGGATAATAAATGGTTTTCTATGGTGAAGAAGAGTTTTTGTAAAATCATATTCATTTTGCTATGTGTATATGTTGAACTTTTCAAGCATCTACTTTTCTCTATAAAAGAAGAGCATTGGCAATTTAGCCAAAGCGACCATCGGCCAAATTATATTTTGGAAGGAGACGATGATTGCTGCTGCTGCTGCTTCAAATGTTGAAACGCAAAGACCACCCAAAACAAGAAAAGGAAAGAAACACTTGGAAAGTATTGCTCCTCAATGGGAGGAACCTCCGAAAGGTTTACTGGTTATCCACGGACATCAGACTTCCCAACAATTGAAGAACGTACTTACAGACTTGTCAAGATTGAAGAAACCACACTGTAAACAACTTCGAAAGAAGAACGATATTTTGCCTTTTGAAACTGGTGGAGAAGCCTCTTTAGAATTTCTTTGCAAAAGGAACGACTGTTCTCTTTTTATTTTGGGGAACCATACCAAAAAACGACCAAACAACTTGATATTAGGAAGATTATATGACTTTCACCTGCTCGATATGTTCGAACTAGGAATAATAGAGTACAAAGGTCTCGAAGAATTCGAAATGGTAAATATAGCATTGTTTTGATTGTCGAGACCATTGACAGGCCGTCTTAGGCCAAACAACTCAAGTCACAGTTGAAGCCTCTCGTCTGCTTCGTGGGTGACTTTGATAGTGACGATGCTAGTAGGAAACTGAAAAACTTGTTTCTCGGTGAGTTGGTGTGAAACTGGTTTGCTCTGTTCTATCTTGCTTACTTCTTATTGAGACTTGTTCCACGATTTTGAAGACCGACAAATAAGTTTAGAACAATTGGACAACGTCATTGTCATTTCATTATACCATGATCGAACATTAAGTTTTCAAAACTTTATTGTTCGACTAAAAAAATCTGATACTTATCTCCCAAGAGTTGCTTTGGAAGAAGCTGGACCTTGTATACGTTTCTCCTTACGTAGATATCGACTCGCAGCAGATGATTTGTGGAAGCAAGCCACAAAGAGACCGAAACAAAGAAGGAGTCAAAGGAATGTGACAATGCAGCCCATATTGGGTCGAAAAGTGGGCCGTATTCATATTGGTAGACAAAAACTTGATCAACTTGTTATCAAAAAACAGAGAGCTTTGAAAAGGTCTAAAGAGCAAAAGTAAAAATGAAAGAGGGTGGCACTTCATATTTTCTTATTGGATTAAATCATTTGTCGTCCCAACCGAGTTGGTGAGAAGAGAGGATAGAGTTTTCGATTTTCTAATAATAGTGGATGCAAGTTGAATAAAGGAAAGTCAAGAATATCACAGAGAGACCTAGGATGGATATTCCCACTAAAACTCAAATACATTCTCATTACCAAAAGAAGTATTTGCACAAAAGCTCTGCTGCTTTCATAGGCCTTTTCCATTCTGGGATGTCGTGGAAGAGTGCGTGGTCAAACAAAGTGAGAAGAAGAAAGCGTACGTGTAAAGTTGGCACACCATACAAACGCTATGATTGTAACGAGCTTTTAATGAGATCGAGTGTAGAAGAACCGTACGATAGATTGACCGACAGGGCTTCTTTGGAAACTCCGCAATCCTTTCGTGATAATAGCAGCGACGTCAAATCGAAGTTATTGGAAGGTGCGGATGAAGAACTGGATCGCAAATATTGGCACTGGAGAATCCGTATATTCTATTCTATTTTTATTGGTTATGCGTTTTATTATTTCACGAGAAATAGCTTTACGTATGTGGCACCTGCCATGAGAGTGGCTTTGGGCTTCAACTTGCAACAGTTGGGTGTTATCACTTCTATCTTTCCACTTGCTTATGGCTTTAGCAAACTCGCTAGTGGTATTCTTTCGGATCGCTTTTCTACACGTCTCTTTATGTCTACTGGCTTAGCTATCACAGGAGTTGTCAATATTTTATTTGGTTTAAGTTCCAATTTGTATATTCTGTGCTTACTTTGGGCACTGAATGGTGTATTTCAAGGCTTCGGAGCTCCTCCTTGTGCACGGTTATTAACTCAATGGTATAGTAGAAATGAAAGAGGAACTTGGTGGGGTTTTTGGAATACTTCACATAATACTGGTGGTTTTTTGATTCCTCTTGTTGCTGGTTACTTTGCCACAAAATATGGTTGGAACTATGGAATGATAGTTCCAGGTATTTTAGGTCTTGCAATGTCCTGTTTTCTTTTCAATCGACTCAGAGATAAGCCAGAGTCAGTGGGTAAGTAGGAAGTTGTGTTTGGAATTCTCATAGATGGAATGAATCTTTAGGTCTTCCTCCTGTTCATATATATCGAGATGATTCAGAGTCTGACCATTCTTCATCTGCTGAAGATAAACATGAAAGATTGTCTTTTTTGGCAAGTCTTCGAATTTATGTCTTTTCCAATCCATATGTTTGGTTATTAGCTTTGTCTTATTTTTTTATTTACTTTATAAGACAAGGAATATCCTCGTGGGCACATGTATTTCTTTTGGACTTTAAAGGAGTTACAAGTCCACAAGAGGCTGCATTTCGAGTATCGGGTATGGAAATAGGAGGTTTAATGGGTTCTTTGGTTAGTGGTTGGGCTAGTGATCGTATGTTGAGAGGAAGAAGGATTCCAATCATCATTTTATGGTTGGTTGGAGTTTTGGTTTCTATCATATCATTATGGTACATTCCTGGTTCGTTTCGATATATCACTTGGTTGGTTATATTTTCTATCGGTTTCTTTATTTACGGACCACAAATGCTGGTGGGTCTTGCTGGTGCAGAAATTGTTCATAAAGACGCAGTAAGCACAACTATAGGCTTCTTAGGTTGGGTAGCATATTTAGGAGCTTCTTTTGCTGGATTTCCATTGACCACTCTCATTGCTCGATATGGATGGCAGGCCTATTTGAGTAGTTTAATGGGTTGTGGTTTAATTGCCATTCTGTTATTAGTACCTATGTGGAGGTTAGGAATGGGAGAAAGGGTTAAGAAACCTTTATTGGATCAAATGAAAGCAAAAGATGCTTTTCTTACGGCATGTGAATTCTGTGCTGGAACGGGAACGATTATTCGTCTTTCATGTGGTCCGGCAACTCCTGCACAAGCTATTTCATGTCAGTACGTAGAGAGAGCTTGTCCTTATTGTGGTGGAAATGGTGTGATTCAAGAACAAGGTCCAGCTTTATTACCTTTTGAAAAGAAATAAACTACCTTGGCATGTAATCAGTCATTATTTCATTCTTTACGCTGTCTTCCTTTGGGTAGTTTCCCTTGTAAATGATATTGTCTTAAACGCCAACTAAAGAATGTCTACATAAGCATGTCATATGATAATATATGCAATCATCAAAACTATATTACTGTATATAACAAAGTCGGAATAGAAACGATCACAAGAGCTGCTTCATCACTAGGAGCAATCTGATTCCCATAAAAGTCAAAACCATAAAACATATATACAGCAGAAACACACTTACCACCGAATATTGTACTAATCCATAAATAATACTCGAAACAACAAAAATAGCAACCAATATGCGAAAGATATAAGTTGCCTTTTCTGGAAAAAAAAGGATAGTCAATAACCAAAGTGTCACAAAAGACTAGGAAATATTGAGGCCTTGTCTAAAGCATTATCATAGACTCACCACTCCAGGAGCCGAGTCGAAATACAGCACTTTACTTTCACTAAAACCCAATCCTAATAGTGGTCCTTGTAGCTTCAATGTCAACGGAAATAGAGATCCTAAGAAGACTGTCGAAAGAACCAAAAATAATACAACTGGACGAGGCACTTTTTTGGCCAAGTCTGCAACGAGTCGTTGATGGGAAGGGTGCTCTTCAGTTTCTGTTGAAGACTTTCTATGAGACATAAAGATACAAAACCTTGGTTGTGATAAACAAGTTTTTAAACAATGTGGTTTGGAATTGAACAAAGGAGTAAACTTGAAGGATAGGAAACGAACATAGTAACCACTTGAGATAAACACAAGTCTCCTGATCATCATGAAGGTTTATTCCAATGTCCAGAAAAAATAAAATTTTGATTCCATAGAAAGAAAAGATATTCTTATGATCGTTTTGCTCTATTCTTTCCTTTCTGTCCCGTCTTATCATCCATAGTCGTTTTGTTTCCTTTATAACCGTGCTTCAAACGTTGTTCTAGGATACACTGAGAAACCTTTGTCAAAAGTTGCTTTCCTGCAAATTCAGATGAGCTTGACTATCTCTGTGTCCAACCAGAAAGATATACCAACTTGTTTCTATCACCGAGACCAACGACTTGTGTTGTTCATTAAATAAATGAACTCGAATACGTCCTTTTCGAAAATTATCTCTCGGATGTTTCTTATCAGACTATGTCCGTAGACAACCCATGTCTCATTCAGGAAACAATGATGAGTACAAACTATGATCAACATACTCACCTCTAAGAGAGTTTCAAAGCCAAGCTGTTCACAACTTTTGGCAATTTCTTCTGCACTAGGAGTGTCGGAACATAAGTGTTTGGAAATCTTTCTACCCTAACGGCACTCCAATAACCAACACAATATATACTTTAGAAACTTACTTGAAACAAAGAACAAGAGGCATCTATATATACAGGATAAATACATATCCAACGTTTGGCATAACTAGGAGTTGTCTTTTGATCGTCATAGTCTTCGGCAAACATGTGTCAATAAAATCGAAAATGGAATAATAGGGAACCAACTCCCCACCAAGCTTGCCACAACATAAATAGAGAGAGACATAGAATAGAATACTCTTCAAGATGCTTTCTAGGATTTGTCATGGAGAACAAGAAAGTCATTGATGGTGAAATATTTTATTCCGAGATTCTAGAATCGAAGAGTATCCTCAATGGTTTTAGTGCTTTCATAATCTTCTTTGGCAATGTTTGACTATGGCTTAAGCATTACATATCTGTTTGAACTATCGTTTCTTGTCATTCCAATTTTGAAGATATACATGAACGAAAAGAAACACATTCATGTATCATTCAGTTTCTCAATGGAGGAGGTTCTTTTGAGGTTTAGATCTCTTCAGTAAACACTCAAGTTTTATGATTTACAAACACAGGACAATTGCGCTTTCTCCATATCACATCTTTTGGGTTGTTATATCATGTAATAGGGTCAACAATAGTGTCTTAGGTTTAAAACAAAGACCATATGGGTTTATGTTTACATATACTACTACTCTATTTAGTGAAACGACAAGTTGCTGCTGATATCTTCTATAGATTATTATCCTACAAAGGTGACTTATGGTTTCTTTTTTGATTTCGAAGTTTTCTCCTTTTCCAGGAAGGAGGTGGAGGAGGAGGATATTTCGCAGTCTCTTAGAGTGAAAGACACCGCAAACTTGTTGTACCTATGATAGGAGAATGTTTTGGGAACTACTCGAGGTTCCTTTGTTATAGAACCTTGTCAGACTTGTAGTGCTCCCATCATTCTTCCTTTATTTGTTAGCCAATAGCATAGTGTTGTTGTTGTTGTTTGACTCATCATTCTTGGGATGGACTTACCAACTCAGTTTATAGCAGTTCTTTTTATTCTTTCTTGTGATATCTGATTGCAACTCTTTCAATTGTCCTCGAAAATACCAGTTGCTGAATATGAAATCAATGTTAAAGATATTATTTGGAAAAGACGAGTATAAGAGCCAGCAGCAAGCAAATATACTATGTACTTGCATTGTCAAAGTCAGTTGACTCTTGTAAAATGTATAATCGATACAAGACCATCTTTATGAATGACAACAAGCGTATTATTGAAAACACATGCAATACTATCCATAATCAACTAACTATAGAGCAACAACATGAATCTGCCACGAGAATTTCCCGCTCCAACCAGCCACTCACAAAGTCTACCATCCCTCTTCCCCATCTTCTTCTTGTTGGTCCAGCAGAGTCGGAAGAATTGTACTTGGCGTGCGTTGGCTCTTTGGAAGCAGCATTGGTTAGAGAGCTTGAGAGCATGGGGTATGGAGACAAGAAGTAAGGACCGTAAGAGGTCCTTGGAGTGTACATCGAGAAATACAGAAAAAAGAGTCGACTCTTGTGCAGAAACAAACTATTGTCTGTCACGTGGAGAAAGGGACCAACACAAACAAGGAAAGGGTTTTCGTTTACCTGGTTTGTCGCGTTCTAAGCAGACAAACAAAAAGGAGAAGAATCTTTCCGAGTTCAACTCACAACCAACAACAGAAGACTTGCAACCCTCTAGTTCGAAAACAAGAGGTAGGAACAACTCGGAAAACACTCAATGAGGACACTGACAAAACTTTAGGTACTAAGCGTCACTGTATAAAGGATAGTAGAATTAAAAAGGGATTTTTATTCAAAAGTTCAAAGAGGTTGCGAAGTAACAGCTCTGAAAGGACGAAGGAAATGGCGCAAAGAGGGAACACCGAGGCAAACTCCGACGAAAACAGAAAGAGCTTCGAGTCGCATAGTTCTTCAAGCTCTGCAAATGACAGGGTGAATGTTTCCAGAAGGAATGAGGGAATGTCTTCCCCAGAGCTTCACGAAGCATCCACTTCTAGACGTATTGCAACATCTAGCTCTTTGCATGGCTTACTTAGAAGACTAGGAACCGTAAGTATATTCTGAAAATCCAGAAATACAGCCAATCACAAACTGTAGGGTATTGAGGACTTGTTTGCTGTAGAACGAGGTGTGCGCACTAGTCACTTGTTAGGTTCAATTCGCGACCCCACTGACGAGTCACAAAGACTGGCAGCTCTGAACGACCTTTGTGAATATTTATCTATTGGAACAGAGGATTCTTTGCTTTCCTTCCAAATAGATTCGTTCGTGCCTGCGTTAGTGACCCTTCTGGAGGAGAGTCAGTCCCCTGATACGATGCTGCTTGCTGCTCGAGCTTTGAGTCATATGATGGAAGTTCTTCCTCACTCGGCAGCGGCTATCACTCATCACGGAGCACCTAGTTTGCTTTGTAACACGCTATTATCCATAGAATATATAGACTTAGCAGAACAGGCTTTGACTGCACTTGAAAAGATGAGTCGAGAATTTCCAGGTCCGGTTCTTCGTTCTGGTGGCCTACTTGCAGTGCTATCTTTTATCGATTTTTTCTCGACAGGTGTCCAAAGAACAGCAGCCAGCACTGCTGCCAATTTGTGTCGTTCCGTTACGTTGGATGCATTCGACAAGGTAGAAGAGGCATTGCCTGCATTGTATCAGTTGCTGTCTTTTGAAGACTCTCGTATTCGGGAAAGCGGGATAACTGCATTTGCCCGTCTGACGGATTCTTTTAGATGGCATTCGGCTGAACTTTCGAAAATTTTTGCACTTGGAAGTTCCACAGGCGAGGATTTTCCTATTCTTACAAAGATGATGGATTTTTTGTTGTTCGCAATATCATCCTTGTCGATTCATACCGTATCTGATATTTTAAACCTCTTATCAAATGGAGCTAGGGGCTCTGCAGTTTTGTTGAAGCGTATTCTCACAGAGCAACGAGTGGGTGAAAACGGACATGTAATGACGATTGTAGTCTTATTAAAGGATTTGCTTGAACAAGACAGTTCTGCGACGTGCTCGGCATCGGATGTGCTACAACTGGCAGATGCCCTTGTAACAGAATCCGAAGAATACTTGGATAATAGCAACCACACTATGCAAAGAAAGATAGTGGAACTTTATCGAATTGAAGTTTCATCACGCTTTTCCGATCAGTCCAGAAGTGATATCGAGAGACTAAGAAGGAATATGCTTCTTGAGTCACCTGAAATACTACATCCATATGGTACTCTACTGTTTCCCCAATTTATCAAGTTGTTTAAGTCTTCGACCAGTACCGTAGTGAAACGACAGATTATGTCTTGCATGAGAAAGTTTGTTGGATGTGTTTCGAGTGACGTATTGAAGACAACCTTGTTTGATAATCCTACAGAAAGTATCAGCAGCACCTTTATTCCATTTATTTCAAGTCTTTTGAGTTTCAATGGTTCCAAAATGGAAAACGCTTTTGGTACGCATTTGGCAGTTGCGTGTATGAATAGTTTGAAAGAGTCTTTGAGAGTTCCTTTTGTTCGTGAAGGAGTATTTTATGAGCTTCGAAGGCTGAAGGAACGCTGTCAATCCTCCTCAGAGGAAGACTCAGCAAATGGAGCTCTTGTGCAGAATATCGATGGTATCTTGGAATTCTATTCAGAGTCGGAAGCATGTCAATCTCAGAACCCATTTTTTGAATCATTAAGAGAGATTGGGCACTTTTTAAGTAATATGCCGGAGATAAATGTGTGTCCGGAGGAGATGGAAAAGAAGTTGGATGCTTTATTGAGTATGTTTCATGGGGAAAAGACTGTTTCAAGGTTTGAAATGATTCAAAGCGACACTATTTCTGCTGTGGTGAATTTTTTTGCCCCGAATGGAAACGATTTGTCTCGTAAACAACGACTCGCAATGTTTGCTAAAAGTGCAAGAAGAAATCCAGAAGGTTTTCGAAACCTTATAGCAAGAACTGTGGATGTATTGGCAGCAACTGAAGATCTTCCAGTCATTTCCCCTGATATGACTGTTGGAACCGCTCTTCATTTATTGCATCAACCTCTCAAGTTTAAACTAAAACAGCAGTCAAGAACACGACACGCATTTTCAATCTGTGCTTCTATAGAGCCTTTAACTAGCATCCGTGCCATAGAAAAATTTGTTGCCAAACGTCTTGAACAGAGGAATAATACCAACCTTGGAAGCACCCGAAACAGAAGGTTTCGTTCGAATACTGGGCAGCGTCTTCCGTTGTTGCGAAATCAGGGGGATCCTGAAGATACGACAGATGAAGATAGTGTTGCAGGTATTGAAGAAGGTGAGTTTATTGTGCTTTGTTTTGCAAAATAATCACCGTGAAATATATTTAGGATGGGATTCCGCGCAGGAAAGTTCACAAAGTTATGAAAGCCCATCAGAAGACACCACTGTCTACAGAACATTATCTATTGCTGAAGAAGAGGATGCTTTGGAAGAAGAAGAAGAAGAAGAGGATATGAGTGATTTTGATGATGAAGATGGTACAGACGTATGGGTTGATCAATCTGCTCCGGTCGCTGATGTCAGCGAAGAACAAGAAGAAGCTGATGAAGACTTTAGTAGAGACGAAGATGGTTGGGACACTCTTTACAACGACGCTTTGAGTTCTTCTCTCCCGGCAGTAGAATTAGATATGGATACGTTGTCTCCTACACGTCCATGTGCTTTAGGCAATTCTTTTTCTGACCATTATTCGTCCTCCATTTCGCCACAGCAACAGGAATCGTATATTCGTCCATCAAATAGTAACAAAACTGTTGGCGTGTCATCTCGCTCAAGAATTTGTAGAAGGAAACTAAGTTTTTTTATGAATGGACATCCAGTTCCTTCCCACTTTTCTGCTTTGATGTGCGTAACTAATTTTTTCTCAACAAACTCGGAAACAGAGCCGTTAGTTCCAGAGCCTAGTCTTTGGGATACCTTTTATACTCTTGAATTTAATGAACAAGTTGTAATTGAAGATGATGAGGATTTGAACGTAGAGAAGTTTACAGAGGAGATGCATTCAGGACAGCCTTCTACAGTAAAATCTGTCAAAACACCAAAATACGTTTCGGAGGTTGCAGGAAATTGTATAATGTTGCTAAATGATCTTTTCCGTATCAACAAGTTTGAAATTCGGGAAAATGACAGAGTGGAAACAACAGTTTCAGTGCCTAGCGTTGTTGTTTCGGAAGACGTCTTTCACAGTCATAAACTGTCTTCCAAACTGATTCGGCAACTTTCGGATCCCGTCATTCTTGCTAGTGCCTCTTATCCACGTTGGGTGCCGTATCTTGTACGTCATTCTCCATTCCTGTTTCCTTTTGAAACAAGACAATTGGCCTTTCAGTTAACGTATTTGGGTATTGCCCGTGCATTTCGCAAACTCCACCAACGAGCAGAAGCTCTTCACCAACTTCATCATCCACGTCTGTTGAGAGGTGGAAGTTCATTGGCAAGCTTCTTTAGTTTGAACCGTAGGCTTGATCGTTATCAAGATCGAGAAAGCCTTCTTGGAAGGTTACCCAGGCAAAAGGTTCGGATATCTAGAAATTGTATTCTTCGTTCTGCAATGAAAGCTTTGGAACTCTATTGTGAAGAAAAGAGTATACTGGAAATTGAATTCTTTGACGAAGTAGGAACAGGATTGGGGCCAACATTGGAATTTTATACTTTGGTGAGTAATGAACTTCAACGAAGTGATTTGGGATTGTGGAAAAGTGTCGATGGTAGTTGTTGTTCTGAGCGTATATCTCCAAAGAGATCTCGTCACCGCAAGAATCGTGTTTCTTGGAAAAGTCTGGAGAATACGGAAGAAAAGAAGTATACACAGCCTCCAGGAAATGGGCTGTTTCCTAATGTTATGGATAAAGCTGATCGTTCACCTCAAGTAAGTGTTGATATTGTATTGGAATAATATAGAAACTGAACTGTTTTTATTAGGCACAACAAATTTTGGAATTGTTCCATTTTATGGGAAAATTTTGTGCCAAAGCGTTATTAGATGGACGTTTGTTGGATTTGCGTTTGTCTCCACATTTTTTGAGATTAGTTCATGCATACATTGAGCATAAGTTTTGTTTGGATAGCGCTGATATTTTTCTTTCTGGTTATGATCCCAGTTTAGAAGATTTGGCTCAAGTAGACCCTGCCTTAGCTTCTTCATTATACTCTATGTTGCAATTGAAGGAATCGACAAAGAGAGGAGAAGAGGATCCCATCGAAAACTTATGTGTATATTTTAATGTTCCAGGAGCAGAAAATGTGGAGTTGTTTCCAGATGGAAGTTGCTGTCCTGTTACTGAAGAAAATGTGGAAGAGTATGTTAGTCGTGTTTGCAGGTACGTTATTTATGTATGAGGAGAAACAAAAGCTGATTCTGTTGTAGATATTTGTTAGTAGATGGAGTATCTAGACAAGTTGCTGCCTTTTGTGCTGGTTGTGAAGAGATGTTATCTCCAACGAGTTGGTTACAGTTTATGCCTGAAGAATTTGAGTCGTTGTTATGTGGACCTAGTTATGAAAGATGGGAGTGGAATAGTTTGGTTGCTGCTACGAAATGTGATCATGGCTATACTCATGAAAGTCCTGCCGTACAATATTTGTTTCAAGTATTGTCTAAATATAATTTAGAAGAACAAAGGATGTTTCTGACATTTGTGACTGGCACTCCTCGACTGCCTATTGGAGGTCTAAGCGCTTTGAATCCTCGTTTAACTATTGTGAAGCGAACACCAGAAGCTGGACGAAGTCCCGATGAATGTTTGCCTACTGTCATGACGTGTACCAATTACTTGAAACTTCCTCAGTACTCTTCTTATGAAATTGCCAAAGAACGGTTGGAATATGCTATTCGAGAAGGTCAAGGGAGTTTCCATTTATCTTAGTTTTTTTTTGGATAGAAGAAGTCCCATTAGGATCAATCTATTGTTGTTGTGATAGTAGTAACAGCTGTGATTTGTGAGTATTGTGTGTGTGTTTGTGTTGTTTGTGTTGTTTATTTGTGTAGAGAAAAAACTTTTTTGCGCATAACTTTTTTTCTTGCACAATCATAAATAGAGATGATGAATGATTTTGGAGAATGAAGTTTCAGTTGGATGGTTTGAATGTCTATTTTCCTTATGCTCATGTATATCCAGAACAAGTAGGCATAAAACTCCATCACTCTATTGTACATATTGATTAGCTCAAGTTATCTTATATGAATCAACTGAAAAAGGCTTTGGATGCCAAAGGACATGCCGTATTAGAGATGCCTTCGGGCACCGGTAAAACGATCACTCTCTTATCCCTGTTAACATCTTACCTACTTCAAACCCAACCATCTGTAAGTCTCTCTTATCCATGACACACTTTGTTCAGAAAGAAGTTGTAGGTACGTAAAATTATTTATTGTACCAGAACAGTGGAAGAAATGGAAAAAGTGATGGAAGAAGCCAACATATTGTATCATTGTTTACAACAAGAGAAAGAAGTGGTCGATGGCTGGTTCTTATGTATAGGTTTAGCTTCAAGGTAAGAAGAGAGGAAGCGGAGACTGAAGTGAATATTCAATTAAGAATAGGAAACACTTGTGTTTAAATGAACAAGTGGTTTCTTGTGGAGAAGGTTTTCTGGTGGATGGTCGTTGTCGTTCTTTAACTGCTTCTTGGATAAGAGAGAAAGCAAAGAATGATCCGACTATTCCAAAATGCAGTTTTTATGAACGATTAGAAATGCAGGCACGTATCGGATGGACAATTATCTTGAGATTATATGATGACGTTGTGGTGCAACCAAAAACAGGTGGATGAAATGATCATTCCTTGTGGTGTATATTCCTTACAAGACTTGAGACGTTGGGGTGAACAAAATGGTTGTTGTCCTTATTTCTATTCACGAAGACTGTTAGCGTTTGCCAACTTGATCGTTTATTCTTATCATTATTTGTTGGATCCCAAGGTATCGTGAGATATTTTTCGATGTCACGAATATCCATTCATAGTATCGTGTCGAGGTATCTCAACTCGTATCACGAGAATTGCCACAGGATGCTATTGTCGTATTTGATGAAGCTCATAATATCGACAATGTTTGTATTGAAGCATTATCAGTTTGGGTGAATAGAAATACTATCGATGATGCGAACAAGTAAGTAGTGTGGAAACTTCGAAGCTATATATATATATATATATATCATGATATCTATCTATAGTGCAGCAATGCAATTGGCTCATCGAGTTGTTCATGCCAAAGGACAAAGTTTAGCCATGTTACAACAAGAATACCAAAACTTGACTCGTGGTCAAACCATTCACCATGGATTGACTTCTTCTACGCTATCTGTAAAGTAAGGCTACAGTCATCCTGACAACTTGTTGGATATATGAAACAATGTGGAATAGTTGGAGTGAATGGGAAATGGCTCAACCAAGTATTCATGACGTTCATCAAACTTTGGAAGAAACCGTTCCTCCTAGTATTCGGAAAGCCGAACATTTCATCGCATATTTGCAATCTTTGATCGCCTATATTAAAGTATGGTCGTTGTCTCTTTCTTTGTTGATCGACCCATCCAAGTTCAAATGGCTATAGAACTTGTTGAATCGTCCAGAAGCTTTGGAAATGACGCATAACCAATTTCTTCAAGTAATATACAAAAAAAAGAATTCATCTATCATTCTTCTCATATCTTATCTCTTAGGATTTTAGTAAGGAATGTCCTGTCGAAGTCAAAAGTTTCCGTTTCACCTCGGATCGCCTATCATCATTACTGAGAACCCTGGAAATCGGTGATTGGTCACGCTTTCGTTCCTTGGCTTCCGTTGCTGAAATGATTACCATCGCTTCTACCTATTCCAGTGTAAGCTTGGCTACCCATTCTTTTGTATCTAGACTGTGAACGTTTTCCAGGGTTTTGCTATCATCTTAGAACCTTTTGAAACCAAGACCCATATATGGTCACCTGTTTTACAACTCGCTTGTTTGGATGCTAGTTTAGCTATGATGCCCGTAACGCGCAAGTTTCGAAATGTAATCATCACCTCCGGAACTTTGAGTCCGTTGGATTTTTATCCTAGGATGTTGAATTTTCGGTATTTTTGTGACTGTTGTCCTTCGCATCCTTTTTGCTCACGATTGCAGTGCTGCGATAACCGCAAGTTTCAATATGTCCCTCAATAGAAGGTGTGTGTTACCTTTGATCATAGGAATGGGAGAAAACAGAGTTTTGTTGACTTCAAAATTCAACCAACGAGGTAACATCGAGATCTCCTTTTTTTTGTGAAAAATTATTTATGTAGACCAACACACCACAACGATTAGGCGAACTGCAAGTACCCAAAAGTTATGGTAGAATATTGATCGAAATCAGTAAACTTGTTCCAGATGGTATCGTCGGTTTCTTTCCCAGTTATGAATACATGGAGCTTGCTTTGGATGTGTGGAAAGAAAACAATGTGTTGGATGAACTTCAAGCTATGAAATTGTTGTTTATAGAAACTAGCGATGGTGCAGAATCTTCCCTTGCGTTGCGTAATTTTCGAACTGCTTGTGATATCGGCGTAAGTTATTCAAATTTATTCATCGTGATGGCCTTTTCAAATGGAAAACCTTAGCGAGGAGCCATATTCCTTTCAGTAGCAAGAGGAAAAGCTGCTGAAGGTATTGATTTCGATCATCATTATGGCCGATGTGTTTTGCTCTTTGGAGTAGGTGTATGAAAGGTCATATCTTTCGTCCATCTCTCATATTCGTTTTAGATGCCCTTTCAGTATACAGAATCCAGAGAACTAAAAGCAAGATTGAGGTACCTTAGAGAAAGATTTCAAATTATGGAAAATGATTTTTTGGGTATGAATGTTTTGGCTTTTCTACTTCTTTCAATCAAAGAAAATAGTTTTTGATGCAATGAGACAAGCAGCACAGTGTGCAGGTAGAGTGATTCGTAACAAGTCAGATTACGGAATAATGGTGTTCGCAGATCGGTAAATTTTCTTCCGGTATAATAATGCTATTTCAACTCATAAATTCAAGTCGTTATGCAAGATACGACAAACTTACCAAATTACCACGGTGGATTTTGCAGTTCTTGAGTGAAGACCAGATTTACATAGATATTGATACCGCCCTCACTAAGATAAAGCAGTTTCTGCTTGAAATGGCAAATCAAGCTTTGATAATTTGACAGATCGGTTGGCAAATACCACGGAAAAGTCCTGTTTTCTTTAGCAGAATATTTTAAAAACTTATGCGACTTTTACAGGTTAGAAAAGAAAAGCTAATGATTTGTGAATAGATTGTTTTTAAATCAAAATTAATTTTTTTTAATTGAATCGCATCGCTCGATTTGGGCAGCACAAAGGAGTAAAATTTCGTCTTAGAAATTTAATTTTTTTTAATCACAATTGAACAATTGCCTTCTTTATTCTGAAAATTTGCAGAGTTTCATCGTCTTCTACATCAACAAATCTTATTAATATGACTAGTAACTCAGAAAGCTGTTAATTTGTCTTTGTTACGAAATACTGACGCCAATGTCTATTATAAGAATTAAATGTCTCTTTCTCGTGACGAAACTTTATTCTGGAATCATATTTTAGCCATATATTTTTCACCCAAACTTATTTTTTTATTAAAGAAATTAGCAAATAATCTAATGCTGGTAAATGTAAGGAGTCCTTTTTTTAAGATAAGGTCTTTTAGTTGTGTTAACGAAAACTTCCTTTTTTCTCATTTGTGCGTGGAGAACAATCGCCAGACATCTGCAGCTGCATGCTAGACTTCTAAGGTTTGTAACTTTCTTATCCTCAATTGAAATAAACCAGTCAAATTTCATTGTAGCTATTTTTCAGTTAAAATTCTTGAGTCCAAGCCCAAAACGGTATGGCATAGTCATCAAAGTCACAAGTTGACATTGTCTGGTTTACTTGGTATTATGACTGGAGAATAGTCTTCGTTTGTTTGTATTAATTATTATAAACTTGGTTCTTTTGTTTTGAAATAAACCCTTGACTGTGAATTGCAAAATTTTTTTTTCTCCGATATTATTTTTAAATTTCAGCTTTGCCGACTTTGTTTGATAGGCATTGGATCAATACTCTTAGAGTTTTTTGCAACAGTGCGTCATATTCTCTTTTACTGTGAAAACTGGGATTTCATGCTTCATCTTGTATACAAAATTTTTGAAACTATTCCTATGCTTCGTTACGACAATTTAGACCTGTTGTGCAACTTTTCATTTTTTTTATCAATAATGGGGGGCAAGATAGGGTCGTCCATGCTACTCTGTCGAAATGTAGACAAGTTGCTGGTGCACTATATGACGGTCGAACTTCGCAGAATGAATTTATCTTCGAAAGCTTCTTTCAAGGGCGTAGGACGGAAGACGGATTCTTCATCTATTGTAAGAGGCCGTCGCGTAGATCATCCACTTTTACAACTTTCGAAGTGGGAAGGCAAGGTTGAAGAACAAGCTTCTCCGTCGTCAGTAGAAACGAACAAGTTGTATGAAGCACTAACAGCAGAACGCGTGGAAGCGGATTGTCTTGATTTGGTAGTTCCTGAGTCTGCGAAAAAGTTGTATGGTCGTATAGCAGGTAGCAAGATTGCATTTTCGGGTTACTTGGATCCCTATTTGGCTTTGGAAAAGTGGTCTTCTCGATTCGTACCTAGCACAACTTCTTTTGCGTTACGTATTCGTACTTTAGGCTTGGTAGGAAAGTATGAGGACATTTCTTCCGTTTTAGAAAGGATGGAACTTTTGGGAATTCGTCCCAATATGGAAGTCTATTATTCCTTGGCGTTTGCGTATTCCAGGGTAGGGAATACTGAAGAGTTGTTTGGAGTATTGAAGAAAGTGGAAGCTTCTGGTTATCCTCTAGATAATGCTTTGTTATGCACTTTGGTAACCAGTTTGATGAAACAAGGAGATATTGCCAATACACTAGAGTTGTTGATGCGTCGTGAGTTTAGGGATTTACGTTTTCCTCTACCAATTGAAGCTACCATGAAGACCGCTGTGACTAAGAACACTAATAATAAATCATCGAAAAAGAAAAGGTCGACGAACAAACCTGCTGCCTTAACAGTTGCCAAGTTTTCCGATGAGTTTCAGAAAAAGTTGCATCATATTTCTCATGGCCATGATGTGGTTATATGGACGGCATTTATGAAAGGATTGTTGGATTTGGGTGACTATCGTCGAACTTTGGAAGTATTTGATCATATGCGTCTTCGTGGTTTAGAACCCGACTGTGTGACCTATGATATTGCCATACAGGCTTGTGGTTACTTGGAGGATATGATGCGAGCGAAAGAAATATTTCGTTGTTTTCCACAAGGTCAAGAGAAGATTGCAAGTGGTGCTGTTTATTCATCTCTGATATTTTGTGCTGCCAATTGTAACGATGCTCAAGCAGCTGAAAGTTTTTATCAAGAAGCAATAGCGGAGGATATTCCTTTGGGATATCGTGGTCGGTTTCATCTTCTTCGTGCTTACGGAAAGCAAGGCATATATGATCGAGCTGTACATATCTATGAGAGTTTACGTAGTTTACCACGTTCGACACTTCCCAGTGTTCATGATTGGTTTCTTCTCTTTCTTTCATTTAAGCAAGGCTTGAAACAATATCGAAAGGAAATAATACGCAAAGCATCGGAAACAGACAATTTGGGTACGAAACGTGATGAAATCATAGCGTTTGCAGATAGATATATAGAAGAGGGTCTCCAGTTGGCCATTGATTGTCGTCATTTGTATGGTGTGAAAGAACGTTATTTGGATGTTTGTCTATTATCCGGACGTATGGAAGAGTCTTTGAAGTTGTTACAAGATATGAGTCGTGATTCGCAGTTACCTTTTCATCTCAACAGAACTCAAGGTTGTTTTTATCGAGCTTGGGCCCGATATATTTTGGAAAAAGGTTCCACTGTAGAAAGAGTTGAAGAAGGATTGAAAGAAATGAGACAATGTGGAGTGGAATGGAATGAGCCTGCAATCTTGGCAGCCGTTTGTATGTATTCCGAGTTGAGGTGTCCTCAAAAAGCTTTAGATTTATTGAGAGAAGTAGGATTTCAAGGCTTTTGGTTGAATATTGGCAAGTCTATTCGCGTTGTACGAGATGAAAATTCGGAACATTATTTAGTTGCGAGTCATGAAGAACGACTGGATGCGTTGAAGAGGTTGCGAGATGCTTGCATGAAACATTCGCCAGGATTGGTTTCTATCTTAAAGTCTTATATTGAACAAGTAGGATATCAGAATGAAAAGAAGAAACTGGATTCTTGTCAAATAGGAGAACATGAAAGGTTGAAATCTTCTTTTGGTGTTGATCAGAATAGACAACAACGAGATCCTAGAAAGGAGGTACTCGATCTGCTTATGAATGAGAATCCTGTATAGTTTTCATCTTTTGCTCATAAACCAGAATTTTGGACTTGGAGGACTTTGTGGTATTTCTGTACCAAAACAATAAGTCCAATTGCTGCTATATGTATTTTCATGTAACAAGTGTTTGGAAGAGATGCGACAAGTTTGAAGACAAACTGCAAAAGGGTCCACCGAAGAATGTTGGTTGTTGGATTGTGCCAAAGTTTTCGTTGTTCCCATACAGCAAGCAACACAATATTCAAAGCTATGACAACAACGAACACTCCCATCGCAATCGTGACAAGAGTATGGCTGTGAGTGTAAAGGCTTCCAAAAACAGCAACCTCGAAGGGACTGATTGACCCAACAAGTGTAACCTAACATTCGTAGGTTTTCGGTGATTGAGCTGCCATAATTGAAACAATTCATTTTACTTACCATAGTCGTCGGTGATTCGAAAGGGACCTATTTTAGTATTTCTACAAACCATAAGGTATTGAAAGCCTTGTAAGGAGGAGTGGGAGTGTGAACTGTTGGAGTGCCATAACAGTGCGGCAGCTTTGGTTTCCCATTGCCTACGCATGTACATAGAGTATAGATAATTCTTACATAATAGCCATCCACTTATGTAATAAAATAGGATAAGTAGTTTCCTCGATGTTGTAAGTAACCTTCTTGTGTGTTTGGATTTTCTCAACATGAATGACGATCATCGTTGTACCGATAAGAAAGATGAAGACTTGACAGATGTTGGTTCAACCAACGACCATACAGTTGATGAGTCTCAAGACGAAGAACAACTTCCTAGTTGGGAAGACTTGGCCAATATCCAGTTTTCTATATCTTTCAATCCTAAGGATTATGCCAAACCGTTCTTTTATGGTGGTTTAGGTTTATTTACGGTGGGTTTAGCTGCAGGTACTGTTGTTTCTGGAGTTACTAAACCACCACCACCACCAACAACAACAACAAAAGAAAGAACACCGGAAATGATGCTGGCTGCTAGGGCAGAAGGCTTTCGTCTAGTAAGATTGTCAGTGATAGAGTCAGTAGAAGTTCATACTCATGATATGTAGGCTTCCAAAGCATTGTTATATGGTACTTGCTTATGTGGTATGTTTGCAGTAGTAGGCGTTTATACCATTCACAAAGTGGCACATGTCAACAGTGTGGAAGAATGGGTGGAAAAGTTGAAAGTTTGGGTACCACAAAAGAGAGCTACCATGGAACAAAAGTTACAACCCGTATTGGATAGAATACGAGATACTGGAAATAGTACTATTCCAAGTCAATGGCAGAGTTGGCAACGATGGTTTCATGATGCAAGTTTTGGAAAGTGGTTGGTACGAAAAACAAAATATGGATGGAATGAGAAACCTCATAAGGAAGATTCTTCTACTCATGATGAATAGGATTCGATTCAGTAATATGATGTATTCAAATAGGAATGGTTTTATACAATTTAGATAGATATTGTATATCTTGTTGTAACTGTTGGACCTTTTCGATATAAGTTTTAGCCAATAAACGATATTTCTCGTCAACACGATTCGAAAGGGAAGGAGCGAGGGAAATACTTAAATGAGGAGTGACTTGCAATGCACTCAACCATTCCTTTTCTATTTGAATAGGTCGAAAATGGGTTAACCAACGATGTAAAATGGACTAGAATAAAATGTGAAAAACTTGGTCATTCTCTCTCTTTTTATAACTTACCGAATGTTGTTGCTTTCTATGATCAATCAAATAAGCAATACTCAGTATACCATACAATCCTATTTGATGAACATAATATATCCATCGAGGAAATTGAAAAGGAAAATATTCAACGGCATGGAATGTCTCCTTCTTCCTTTCATCATTCCAAGGCACATATTGTTGCCATTTAGAGTACCATTGTTGATATAAATCATACAATTGCGATGTGTTTTCCGTATCCTTTGTGAATGTCTTTTCCTCCTCATCATACAATGCACTTAAATACTGCCAAAAAGAATACCAATATTCAACCATCCCATAATATTCCTTGTCGTCTTCTTTGGAAAGAATGGCGGACTCAAAATAGACAATGGACCAATTAGGAAGACTCTTCCATTCTCCTAATAGGAAAGATAACAAAAGACGTAAATTGACATAGTCCAATCTCACTCGATACACTCTCATCTCATCACTATCCAACCAACTCTCTGCATTCATGATTCCTAAACTCTTGTTCCAAACACTATGGTCATCTAAAATATACAAATCTTCTAAAAGACAAGTCTCTTCTTTCCACTGTCTGATAAGAGAACGATAAGATGTCCCAACGAGACGAAGCCAATCCGATGAAAATCCTTCAAGACTTCGAATACTATTGCGATGATGATAAAATAAAGTATCGTGACAAGAATAAATGGAAAAAGCCAAAAGTGCTTCCGAATGATCTACTTTGTATTGAAATTGAATCATATCCAACACAGTTTCATAGGATTGTTGTCGAATGGCTAAGAATATACCTTCAGGAGTCTCTTCGCTATGTTCTTTTTCAAACAATGATAGTTTTTTATGATACCAACGCATTCCATTGACATCATACCAACGATGCACAAAGGGACCCCATAAGAAACTCAATGTGAGTATTTGAATATGTTTCAATTCCATTGCATTCCATTCTTCCATTGCATTTTCATAACAACCTAAAAAGGCATAAAAGATCACCAAAAACAATCTCAATTCCAAGGCATAAGGACTATAATGTTTACCAAGTTCTAAGACTTGGATGGCTTGTAACAAATAACGAGGAGAACGACAATGTTCATCGCAACTTAGCAATTGATTGACAATCAATAGAATCAATCCATCTGCATATTGATGTTCAAAAGGTACTAAATGGTCTTTAGACCACTGAATATAATAATCCAATAAAGTATCTATACGGGGCAAAGAAGAAGGCTCCAAAGATAATAATAACCAAAAATGTTCTATTGTAGTAAAGATACTTTCCTTGGAAAGAAGGGATGAGGATGATCGAGATGCAAAAGTTTCCATGATTTGTTGGCACAACTGATTTCTTTCATTAGGTTTCAAAAGGGAAACAAATGCTTTCAAATCGGTAGAACAACAAGGTAGACTTGACATATCGTTCAAATATTGTTGAATGATCACAAACAATTCTCGTGAAATGCAATCCATGAAAAGACCCTTGTTCTCCCATGAGATGATCATTTCTCTACAAGTTTCCATTTGAATCATATAAAGAGTTCTTTTTCGTCTTTGCAAAGTTCTACAATCCTCTTCTTCCTTCTTCTTTTCTTCTTGAAAAGTATCATTCCCATTGGATAGTGCTCTAGAAAATAACTCGTGGATTTGCTCCAACAGATTCCGTAAAAAGGGTTCTGCTTGTATAGAATGGCAATCACTTTCTTCTTTCTTGTTCCATATCTGACATTTCATCCACATATACCAATAATGATAGTTTTCTAATTGTTGTCCAATCAATTGTTCATAATAATGCAATGCTTCTTCATATTGTCCACTTTGATAACATAGGTTGGCAAGCCATTCCATATGATCCTTTTTCAACACATCATTAGACACGTCCAAGTACTGTCTTCCTATTTGTTTGGCTTGTTCATAGTCTCCCAATTGTTCCAATAAAATAATATACAGACGAATAAATGAGGATGGTATTGAGTTACTCTCTGCAATATACTTGCTACCCAATTTAGCTGCCAACATCAATATCCTCGAATCAGCCTTTTCATAACGAACCTAGAAACATGTATCTCATGTAGCCCACCATAGGGTAGAAACCAACTCACTTGCAATAGAAGAGAGAGAATCCACCACGCCATATAATGAGAAGAGTAACAACGATACAACTTACTGGCAACTTTTTGTGCTTCGGAATAATCTTTTGCTCGTATATAATAAAGAACACTGGTTTCTCCTAGAGTAGAATTCATAGTTTGGGTCCACAATTGTTGATAGACTTGGGCTAACGAACACCAATCTCTACGTTCACCATAAAAAAACTACAAAAATGGGATAAAAAAATAACACAAATTGTGGGTGCTTACTTGTAACGACTGCAATGTTTCTTCTTGCCAATCACGATTATTCTCGGTAAAAAGCCTTGACAACATTTGGTCAGCTTCTTCAGTTCTTCCCCACTTATCCAATATAACTGCTTTCAAAACTTCAAGTGCTTTCCATCCAGGTTTCTTTTGATCCATTCCTATGGCAAGTTTCCAGGCTTGTTTTAGGTTTTGGACTCGAATAGCTTCAACAATCGCTCGTAGTTTACGATCCATCGTAAATATCAATTGGATTCTTGTGAAAAAAAATGGTTGGTTGGTATATATAAATATCTATAGATGATATGGCACAAGTTCCAAAGCAAGTAGAAGATTTGGTTCGAATGATAGCAAGAGCATTTTATACAGATTTATATATTGTTGTACTGGATGCACTAGTACGAGAAAAATAGTAAGTTGGGTATCCGTGGTAACTCCTTGTTTTGGTAAACCCAGTAGCAAACTGTTATTAGTATAAGACAAGACTTGTTATCCAAAAAGTTGCACGTACCAACCAAAGAACTTCGTAAATTGTTGTTGAAACTACAGGAACAAAAGTTGGTTCAATGTGAGGTAAGGGTACAAAGAAAACCAACTAAGAACAACAACAGCAGCACAGAATATCAAAGAGCTATAAAAGCAACCTTTTGGTATATTGATTACGTCCATCTGGTGGATGTGATTAAATATCGTGTGGATGGAATGAGACAAAAGGTTAACGAAATGATGGCAGAAGGACTCGTGTATCAGAGTTTTCAATGCCAAAAGTGCAAAGAAGTTTATTCGTCGTTGGATAGTGCAAGACTTTTTGTACCTGCTGAAGGTGTTTTGCGTTGTGATAATGTTATTTTGAGAAATACTTTGTGCAAGGGATTGGTGGAAGAAGTAGAATGGGAAGGACAAGTAGCCACTATAAAAGAGCTACAGACCAGAATGGAGAACGAATTGAGGCCTATTTTAGAAATGGTGGCTCAAACAGAACAAGAAAAAGTACCTTCACATCCATTGGAAGGATTGGATGCTGACCAGTTGGGGACGATTATTTCTGAAAATCCTGATGAACAGCCCAGCTGGGATACGTTGAGAGAAGAGCTTTATAATACGAGTCAACCACTATCTACAGATAAGAAAGATGTAGAAAAGGAGGAACACTCACAGGTCAAAGTAGAAATTGTTGCTGCAGAAGGTGGAACAAGTCAAGAAGAAGTCAACGAACAAGGTTTTCAACACGTTCCTTCCTGGTTTGAAGCAAAAAGGAAATGGGAGGGTTCCAAGGAAGAAAGTAAGAAAAGTAGTGTTTTAGAGAAGGATTGGATTGTTGAGTTGGAAGACTCACAACAGCAGACAGATGTCAAGTCATCAGAACAAGGACCATTGGAGGAATATTCTTTGGCCTATTATCGTTCTTTAATCGGAGCATCAGATAGTCAAACCGTCTCACAGAAAGGTAATAGAATATAAGAGAGTTGTGTTACAGCATAGTGAATTGTGATATAGAGAAAGAAGAGGAAAGCGAATGGTTTTCTTCACAAGAATCGGAAACATTGTTATTCGAGGAAACTTTAGAGAATAGTTTATTTGACCAAGAAAAAGAGTCTACCAAGTCTTGCGATATTTTAGTACAAAATGGTGAAGTAATGGTACAAGTACGAGGTCAACTGATTGCATTGAAAGATGTGAAGGAATCACATTTAAAGGAAATGACTACGGATGAATATTTGGCTTATTACGAGACTTTGATGCAAACACAAGTTACTCAATAATGAATAATACCCGTTATTCTTGGTTCCTTTGAATAGGCAAATGTTTTTCAAGAAATATCAAATCTTCAGGTCTATCGATACCTCTCCAAGCATGTTGAACCACGTTTACCAATATTTTCTTTTGGTGATATAACCAAGTCAGTTGTTCCAATCTCTCCAAAGCTTCTAAAGGACTGGTAGAGAGTTGAGGCATCATTTCTAAAAAGGATTTTCGAAATGCGTAGATTCCCTAAGCAACATGAATAAATAGAGTTGGCTGGTAGTTGAAATACTGACCACATGTCTTAAATAAAATGGATGAGGAAAGGCAATGTTGGCATCTTTATAAGGAATAGGTGATCTTGAGAAATACATGGCTTCATGTTTGGAGTTGCAAACTACCTTGACATGATTTGGATTGCTCCATTCTTCTATTGACTGAATTGGAGTAGCAAGGGTACTCACTTGAAGGTTTGTTTCATCTTTATCCTTTAATAACGACTCTATAGCGATATCAATATGCTCAGGATTGACCGCTGGTTCATCTCCTTGTACGTTGACTATAACACTTAAGCGATTCCAATCTTGAGGTTCTCGTTCATAAAATAGTTTTACAGCCTCAACCACTCTAATAGTCCCACAACTACAGTGAGGACTCGTCAAATATGCTAGTCCACCTTGCTTTCTTATTTCGTTCGCTATGTCAGTGTTATCAGTAGCAACCAATACACGATCTACCAGTTTTGCTCTTTTCACCGCACGATGTACCCAAACTATGATAGGAACACTACGCAATAGTGCTAAAGGCTTTCCAGGAAATCGAGTAGAGCCAAAACGTGCAGGAATGACAGCCAATACAGACACAGGAGTCAACATAACGATTTTACATTTTTGTTGGTAGAGAGAAATTCTTATCCCGTTGAGAATCAAGATGCCTATCACTAGTCTTACAATAGGTGCTATGTTAGGAAAAGCAGACTTTGCGTACAAATATATGGGAGGTATTGTCCATATTCATAGTTTCTCTTCTCATTGTAAAGTAAAAGTTAGGATCTTCTATCATGTTCAATCTTCTGAAGACATATATTTTCGGAAAGATACTGAGAACACTAGAATATCCTGATGGAGAGTTGTATACTGTCAAGATACACTATCCACAATTGGAACGTCTTAAAGTGAAAATTGCAGACGCACAACCTCCACCTTATCCTACTTGTTTCTTGACCAGTGAGGTAAGTATTGAGTGCCTAGATGTATACCTTTGGAAAGAGGATTGGGTAAATCATATTCATGGAGAAGGTAGGATATACGTCAGTTAGCTTTGTGGCATCCTCCTGCTTTCACAGAGCCTTTGCGTACGGATAAAGATATAAGAGCAGTACCAGAGGGTGCGTGGGTGTTCTGGAGTAAATACAGTGAAAAGGAGTTTCCTATACCACGTCGAGGTGTGAAATTAGACGCTCCAGCAGCTAATATTGTAACTTCGAATGCAGCTCTTACTGACGGGTATATTTCTTTGGTGAAGAACCTTTATCGCTCCAAACAGTTATCAACTAGTGAATATGATAGATTAATAGATTTGATTATCGAAAAGAATGAAGGCATATGCACTCTAGCACGAAATTTTTCTAACGAACCAGAAGAATTCGTTCGTCATGCTAAGAGGCAGATATCGAAACTACCGGAGAAAACTATAATCATGTCTACAAACGCAACTTCAATTGTTTCAGAAACAAGTGAGAAGATATCATCCAATATATCTTGAACTCTCAAAAAACCCAAAAAACAAAGTTGAAGTTTGGTTGACTTATTTCCTATCACTATAATATCATTATAATGCCGTAACTTCTACATAACTTCCAGGAGGTAATATAAGAGTATCATATACGGATATAAATAGACGACCCCGTCCTTTTCTATGAGATACAAAGTTAGGCTGCCCTTCAAAATGACGAAAAGTTTCGTTTAAATAACTATAAAGCTGTACACGTAATACATGGTTGCTCCAAGTTTCATTGGTTCTAGGAAATACACAATTAGCTTTGGCAATCTGATCATTTCTTAAATACCTTATAAAGAGACTCAAATCATCCACATTAATCGCCATTGGCTTTGTCAAAAAATTCCTGTAGACTAGACGGTCCATCCATACTTCTCTGCTCCATCCTCGCCTGCGTACTTGATGTAGTTCTGAAGACGTAAGAAAAACAACATGCCAATCTTGTTGACGAAGTTTCTCTATGGTTTTGACAAAACAGCTAGATAAATAATCCAAGTATTCACTATCAAAACAAGATGATAGTGAGTTTTGAGCATGCCATAATAAAGATGTAAACCGAGTCTCATTCATATGTGAAATAAGTTGTTCAAGCCGTGAACTGAACTGAAATTCCGGATAAAAAGCATCATATCGAAATCGGTTGATAAGAGATAGGTGACTATACGTATTAAAACTTTCAAGCAGAGCTGTTTGATCATCCCCCAACTCTGCACCTATAAAACCCAATTGAAATACACTTTGCAATAATGAACTAAAAGATATAAGTGCAAAAAACATATAAACGACAAAAGAACACTTACGAGCTCCAAGTATTATGTGGTGAAGAAATAACAGTTGGTTTGTAACCCCAAAACTCCATAAACGCATGTAAACCAACTGAAATCCATTGCATATATTCCGTCACTTCAGTATCTGGGTTTTTATCAGGACTGGAAAACATAGAATGCTCACTTCTCAACGAAGAATAATTGTTACCGCACACTAGCTGCAGGACAACATAATTGTAAGAATTCAGAAAATAGGTCGGCAACAACTCAAAACTTACTCCTCTCTCAAAACACTTCCGTGCAATAGAATCTGGCGTTTGTATTTCGACAAACCACTTCAAAACGTCAAAGTGCGCTCTTCCATGATATTCAGGATGCCAAAAACGTCTTGAAAAGAGCTCTTTGTATTGTGGCTCTAAGCCTTCTCTGAGAAACGGGTACTTTGCAGAACCGCCGTTTCTAAGGTATATAGGAGCATCTACATAAACACAACTGGATTCAGGACAACCTTTAAGCTTCATTTCTGAAATATCTGGACCAGAAACAATGAAAAAAGGAGTCAACACAACCCTTTCATGTGCAGCAACGTCCTTGTTCAAAGATTCCAATACTTGTAAAAGCCTCTGTAAATCTTCCTTTGTTTCTATTCAAAGCGTATCCAGTCAAAAGAATTTCCAACATTTCGTAAAATCATACCGACTGTTCCATATTCCCAAGGAGAACCGGAAGCTGTGGAAATATCACCGTTTTGTTGTTTCCAAAGTATATTTGGAAATAAAGGAATAGCATCAGAAAATCTCCCCCAGTCATCCGAACTTACTGTAACAAAACGGAAGTGAGGAATGAGTCTACTTTCTACTTCTGCATATATATTCGAACTCGAGCCATTTCGGGGTCCATAAATAAGGGAGGACTGTGAAATAAAGTCAAACTCTCCCTTTCTAAACCAAAACAGTTTTCCACTAAGAAATAACGAAACATATACGCCAACCAGACCCAGCGTGCACACGCCAACACAAAGTGGTAAAAAACTACCGAAACGAGAAATTTTGCCAACCCTCGGAGACAGTAGTTGAGCTCGATTATCAGTGTTGGGTAGCAATAGAACTTCAGACAAGTCAACATCTGTGGTTGCTCTAGAAAGTCGCCTTAGCATCGGGCTAGCATATTTCAGCCACTTGGAAAAACGGTCGATCCACTTGAACAATTTGAACAAAGGAGTGGGGTGCATGGACATTAGCTGGTTATTTATTCTACACCAGTAATTACAAGCCAAGTGATTAACTATCTAACAGAGCAGAAGCCAAAATTTCTTAATGATTACTGGAATTAGTAGTATTTCTTCCTTCAGATAGGTTACTTTTCTGAAAAGCCACTGGTACAGAACTCTTTTTGGTATCCAACAAATGTGAAAACAAGGGAATGCGTAGTCTCGACCTTCCAGTAACATCAGAGTGCAGAGAATGTATTACAGGTGTGTTCTTCTTATCCATTATGGACCTTTCGTCGCAAGCAAGTGGATCCTGACTTGAATTGGCGGCCAAAGAGCTTACTGGTATGTCAAGTGACTCTGACGTTGCTTCACTCTTCTCAAAAGATTCTTCCTCCATCAACTTCTTCTTCTCTGCCTCCACAACTTTCAACAAAGACAAAGTATCAGCATTAACTGACCAAGTCTTACGTTCATAAAAGGCACTGTCGAAATGAGTAAGAGAACGGCTCTTACGAAATGAACTCTGATCTGAATAAGAAGAACTTGAACTTTCTCGCCATCGTTTTCTAGGTGACTCCATAAATAACAGATGCTGATATCCGTTTGTCTCTCCGCGCAAAGGTGACAGAGCTCCACGGATTCCTATACCTGAATCAGAAAGAATATGTGAAAGATTGGTTGATTTCTCCGAGTTGTCGTCTTCTCTATTTCCACAATCATTGCATTTACATATATTTGAACAAAATACTCCGGCATGAAAACATTCACAATAGTTCTTCTGGCAACCAGATCTCTTGCAATTACATCCCTTCTGATGTTTGATAGCCAAAGCGCCGTCCTTATCATCTTTCAGCGAATGAAAACAAAATAAATATGTCGGTAAGTACCTCCTTTGGAACAGCGGTCATCTTCGGTTCAAATGCCGCGGGATTTCTCAATAAAATAGCATTTCTCGCTTCTGAAACTTCTTTCTCATGATCTTCATCATTTAGACAGTTCTGACAGCTACAATTGGAACATAGCTGACCAGCTGCAAAACACTCACAATACAATTTCAAGCACATGGAGTTTTTACATTTGCAGCTTTTCCGCTCTTTCTCTCTGGTAGCAAATTTCACATTGCTTCCCTTTTCACTACGTACGGGAGATGTAATGACTTCCTTCATCTCTCTTACATTTAACGATAACGACGAATCTGTCGAACGCCTATTTAAGCTGTGCAACTTTGAATTGCCCTCAGGTTGCATTTCCAAATACCTATCATTAACTTGAGAAGAACGAATCAAAAGACAATGATTGGAAAGCGTACTCTTGTTTCGATGAATTTCGGGAACTCGATGAGGTATCGTCATCGGTTTCATCATTGACTTGTTTGTTTGAATAAAAAGAAAAAGTTAAATTTTGGTGAGGTTTGGGTACGCTTTCTGGTCCAAGTTCTAACTCATCGGCAAACAACTTTCTCGGCAACCGTTTTGGGCGAGAAAATCCAAAATTTCCTCCGGTCGTCTCCTGCAAGGTCATTTCTTTCATCGCTCGTACTGGAGTGGAAGTAAGCGAGAGAGATGCCGATTCTAAGGGTTGCAGTCAATTGAGAACAAGAGAAAACTAGTTACTGGTACACAACTTACTTGTTGAAGGACTCGCAGCCAAGGCAGCTAAAGCGGAGATACCTGTTGCTTCTGAAGAATGAAAATATTTCGTTGCCTCTGACAAGTCGGTTTCTGCATCCAGTGGAAGCGACCCTATGAACTTCCGGCCCTCTGCAAGTTTATCCTGCACTTGTTCTGTGGTTCCGCTAAAACTTTGTTCACGAGAACATAAATTTGCTTCTTTCGGTGTTTGCTCTAGAGAAGAAGGAGTGTGACACCTTTCATTGGAGGACTCCATGCAGCCCCTCCTCTTTCTTCCGGTACTTCACCGTGCAAGTATATCAGCTACGAAAAAGGTTTAGGCCCCTTTGTAAACACTCTTTTCGAAAATGTTAACGGAGAAAATGTTCGATAAATGAGTGAGTACCACTTCTTCGTCAACTCTTCAGGAGGACACAAACTACTGGACTCACAACAAAAGGCGCGGCGTTTGAAATTTAAGAGCCAAATTGATCCAAATAATTCAAACTGCAATTTGCAAGCGACCAAATGCAAATTAACGATGATTGGTTTGTCTAAGCAGTTGGGAAAAACTCGATTAACAGCTGTTGTAAAAAGCTTTATTCTTCCATTAATTATTGCCTGATTTCGAACGGACGTCTCTCCCAGCTCTTAGTATTTCGTCTACTAAAAGAAGCTGCGATGCAATCATGGATGACAGGTTCAACAACTGCTTCTTAACAGCAAAACTATCGTATATTCCCATCATGACGGGATCAATAGGATTACCAGTTTCCACATCAACGCCAACCATATGGCCCTATCCCAATTAGATAAAAATGAATAAAACATTCCTAAACAAACCTTTTGATGCTCCGATTGCAACTTCAAGATAACTTCCTGAGCTTCAAAGCCACTGTTTTCTGCCAAGGTTTTCGGAACAGTCAAGAGGGCGTCTGCAAAGCATATAACGCCTAGACGCGCTCTACCAGAAACACTCTTTGAGTATTCATGTAGATACTCAGAGGCAGCAACTTCAAATGCCCCTGCACCTGGGAGAAAGCAATTGTCTTCAATAGTGTTCTTAACTGCTCTAAGACCATCTCGAACGGCATCCTTGATTTGATTTATGGAGTGCTTATTTGGTGCTTTGATAAGAATTGTGCAAGAAAACGGATTCTCAACGTCCTCAATAAAAGTATATTTCTCTTCTCCAAGAATCTGTTCGTAAACATGTCCAGCATAGCTAGTATAAAAAATAAATCGTTAACCAAATGTTGCAGTACATGGACCACTTACCCTAAAACTTCAGGCATGAGTTCATCTAATGAGTTGACAGCGACACCGCCACACGCCAACGTAAGACGTTCCATGTTCCTCCTCTTTGCTCGACGCAGAGCAAGAATTCCTTCCTTCGCTAGCATGTCCAACGAAGGTGGGTCAATCCCTTTTTGGTTGATCACGACAAAACTCTGATCTTTGCTCTTACAGACCTATCAACTTTTAGACCACAAAATTACATTCTACTAAAGCTTGCTCACTTTTTTCTTTAAATCAATAATCTTGCGAACTCTTTCAAGAACAAATTCCCTTTCTGCAGACACCATCTTTTCTCTTTGTTCCGCAGAACTATAGAAGAAGCCCTAAATCGAGGTGAGCTTCTACTTTTCCAAAACAAAATATCTTTCTAGACATACCGCATTTAATTCACTTTTTTCATATTCTAGAGACACGTTACAGGTCAATATATATGAATTCTTCAATTCCTTTGGCATATCGGGATGCCTTGCACCATGATCAAGAACAAGACCCTTTACTAGGCGTGATTGGTGAACTTCCTCCTCTTCCATAGTCATGACTTCAACCATATGCAAATCAATCGGAGTATCAGGGCGCTGGAGTGTAAGCACTGCATCTGTTACATATTCTGCAAAAATTTCTGCATACTCTGGAGATATCTTAGTAGTCAAAGAACAACGCGCCATTGAAACAAGTGTTTCTCGGTTAATTTTCTTAAGAACTTTTTGATTCTCCATCCACTGTAACAACGCGTCTCGAGCTAGATCGAAACCGTCGGTAAGAACACTAGGGTGTGTTCCCTCCGATATATATCGCTCCGCTTGTCGAAGTAGCTCACCAGTGAGTATCACACAAGTTGTTGTGCCATCTCCAACCATATCATCCTTATCAAAGGCTAAAAACGAGCGAAAGTAAGCAAGAAACCAAATGCATACCTGTGCGGTAGCAGTGCGAGCGATCAGTGAAGCTGTAGGGTTCTGGATTTGCATTTCTTCTAGTAAAACTTTCCCATCTTTAGTGAGTTTAATATCGCCAGCACCTGAGACTAGCATCTTCAGGGTTCCTTTAGGGCCAAGATTGGAACGGAGTACGTCTTGCAAGCCTACCGAGAGAATAATAGATGAGCAATGGCAAATCTTCACGTTTCTTTCAAACCTTTTGCAGCGTTTATGGTAGTATACAACGCAACTCCACGTTTGCTTATTTCTGCTCCAGGGTTCAGTAACCTCACCGACATTGTATATCCCTCTTTCAAAACAAACTCTCTGGTCCCCAAAAAAATGAAGCGCGAAATTTGTTATCCAGTTGCTCTAGAATGTTCTTGATGTTATTCTGTTGACACGGAATATTTCGAGTTGTGAAGTACAATTAGAGATATTCCTTTCATTGTTCCAGGACTCGTTATGAAAGACTTTGCTGCAAATACGTAACTCTCGAAAAGTTGTCGAACATGCAGTTGGTGAATTGCGTGCTCTAATCAAGAACTCGAAAGATCTTAAGTGCACTCTGTTGGTGTCTTTGCCAGAAAGAAACAGCATATTGATTCCGCTGTTTTTTCCAGGTTTCGAAGTATATAGCTTTCGTCTTGTGGAATGCAAAATTGGTCATCTTCTTCCAACTGAAACGAGACGTTTCGAATAGTTACTTCAACACTCCCAGAGACTATCGAGAACACTTCGAAGCCTTGTTAATTTCATATTTCGATTATGATTGATCGGCGATTAGTTAGAAAAACACAAAAGCCGTGTAAAACTTTACCTTTTGTTGCCCTTTGAGGAATGGTTTCTGCAGCTCTTGATAGTCTAATGAGACCTGAACGAAACATCGCGTTGTCAAAGGCAACTGCAACTTGAATAGACACTTCCGTTGAGGGATATGCCTCTAGTGGAATCAACTCTTCGCCATCTCTGTAAGAAGGAGAATATTTTGCTTTAAACTTTGTATATTGAAGTTGTGAAGAACGAATTATGAGAGACCCGAGTTTTGTTCCATAGAGTCCTTGAAGCTTCAACTGTTCAGATGGTGTTGAAACCCATTTTGTCTGCACTTCTTTATGGTTTAAGACCTGGTTTTCAGAAATGGTCTCAGAACAGACTTTGACCGTATCGAACAAGTTCTGAGAACCTGTCACTCGTCGTGCCTTATGACACTCTTTTTGTTTTTCATACGTATATTGGATCTTGTTGAGGTTTGTGTCATGGAGTGTAGTCTTCTGTAGCTTTTTTGCCGATGTATCACTTAAAGTCGTACTTCTATCATTCTTGGATTCTTCATCTTCAAAGATTGTGAATTTTTCTTTTTGAGGAAACTGGTTGATTTTTTGCAAAGAATAAGCATGCTCGTATCGACTTGTGCTGCATTGGTTCTGAGTAGAAACAACAGATTTTGTTTTTGTTCGTTTTCTATTCATGTGATACCAAAAGCTATCGACATCTTCAAATCCAAGCTATACAGTTGTTGAGGAATTACCAACTAAGAAGAAACTTTCGTAATACCTTGTCCATCTGGATTTCATGACACTTTCTGTATAAACCCAGACGACTGTGAGAATAGTCGTTTATAAGTAGACATCTTGAGTGATGAAAGGAATCGCTCACCTTGAAATAATGCCCTTAGTTGATAAAGCATATGGACTTTCCATTTCGTGGAAATTTCTATTGACAAAAGGACTTCATCATATGTTAAGATACATTTGATTTTTGGCGCTAAACGTGCAGCATTTTTCTTCATCGTGAAAGAAGCTTTACAATGAACATTCCCCATAATTTGTATTTTTTGGCTTATTCTTTTCTGTTGATGAAGTTCTTCAAGAAATTCTTGTTGGAGTTGAGGGAACATGCTATTCCTTTCGTTATTATACGAATTCGACTGATACAACTTTAAATTTCCAAAATAGAAGACGATTAAGAAGTTTAATGAGGGGAAATGTTATTCTTGGTTTATCGAAAAATGAAAAATTTGGCTGGATTGAGTATATTTTGTTATAAGAGACTTGTTTTCTTTTATAATGAAATCATTGGAATATTTTCCCCTCCAATTTGGAAAGGAACTCTTGTGAATTCCATAATGTTCGAAAGTTTTAGAAATATTCGTGTTTGAAAGTTGTGACTCCTAGCCATTTTTTGACTATTTGTCTACGACTCGATTTGAACTGAAAAGCGTAGTAGAATTTCTTTCGTAACGATTGAAAAGAATCTCAAATGAAGGTTATATTTTGTTGATATTCAGAACTACCCAATTTCGGCGTAGAAAAGGCAATGTTCCATAAAACTTCTTCACTGAAAAACAAAGTGGTGGCAATGCTCATGAAAACACATATTCCTGTAAACATTAACGAAGGATGAATGAGATTATCATGTTGCTAAACTTTTATGCTTCAAAGAACGAGTGGCATAGTTAGTTACGAGTGGTTTTCAAAATATTTTCTTCATATTGAACATCAACAAGACCACCAGGCTAAACTTATCCTCTCCTTTGGGCGTTCTTTAGCACACTAGTTTCTCAACTGCTGCTTCCTCACTTGCACGTTTGATTCGGTCTTGTGACTAGCTTTCTGACAAGATTGAACCTCATAAAAAAAGAACGTATAACCAAGAGTTTTCGAAAGCTTCGTTTGTCTCATTTCAGGAAAGAATTTTACGAGACCCATGGTGCAGGACCAACCATTATTGATAAATGGTACTACCGCGATTCTTTAATAATCGATAGAATCCATTAATCGCGTCAATCTGATCGTACTGTCGATCTAAGATCTTTAAAAACTTGCTGCTGGTTTCAACAGAAACTGGAGTTTCAAAATTTTGGAAAAACAACAACAACAGCGGTCATTCTCTGGTGTTATTTTCAGGACATATATAAGCTCTTTCCTTCTTAAGTCAACTAAATATGTAAAGAAATTTAAGATGAAATAGCCACAATTGCCATGATGCACATGTCGTTCAAAGCAAAAAGTAGGACCTTGAATTGTTTTGTGCCATTTGAAGCAACTAATATCAGCCTTATCTGCAAACAACAATATGGCCGTATAGAGATATACATTGGAAACCGCAGGGTTTCACTGCAATATTCGAGATCATTGAAGAATAGCTTCTATGTTTCCATCTGCCTCCCGAACTTGATTCAACTTGTTAAAATCTTTTCCAAGTAACACTCGTAGAGACTTCCAAACAAAACTATAAGAGTTTTTCTTTGCCAATTCCTCTTCTATCCCTTCTTCTTTGTCACGTTTAAGTTCGTCCATTATTTCGTCGATGTTTGGCACAACTATTCTTCCAGCATCTTTCAAAGTACCTTCTCGTTGCTCCTTCGTTTTCCACGACCAGTAAGATCGACTCATCTGTAATATGCTTTTATTTTCAGGCTCCGATAAAGTTTTTCTTTCCCGATCTTCATTGTACAGTCTTTGCCAACGTTGCTCTAAAGAACGCCACAAAATATTGTCATTCTCTCCAGCAGAATTCTCAGGGATTTCACAAGGCGGTCGTTCAAATGCTTTACAGTTATCCAAAGTTTTCCATTTCAACCAATATCTTTCATGCAATAATACCCTCTTAATGTACTCCACAAATCTTTCACCTTGTGGCTTTGTGCCTTGTAACACTCTGAATATTCTGTTTACCAATCCTTCCATCTCATCACTGCCTATCCAGGCAAAGTTTTCCCTCAACGTGGCCATGTGCTGCAGAAAAATGAGATACTGTACAAGATGATATCTTCGAAATACCGAGTCTCGAAACTGAAATGATAACAAATAGGGACTTGTCAAATATTTGACAAAGTCCAATTGATGTTCGCATTGTTCAACTGATACTTGTTCTACTTCAGTCATGGATAAGGGATCATCGGCAAGTTCTCGAACAGGGTCCGTCTCCATGACCTGCAATACCTTAGATAGTGAGTTACAAAAACTTTTCCACTCTGCGGGTCCATATGCTACTGTTGGATTGGATAAAAATTGTTGTAAACTCCAAAAAGTTTCGTAAAGATTCCAATCCAATAGACAGTCACCCGAGGTCGACGAGTATTCCCTTTCTTCCTCCGCTCTCACATACTGAGTGGTATTCGATGTGTGAAAGTTTCCTTTAAGGTTCACACCTGAACGTTCGGAAGGCGGAAATGCCGAGGATAATAACAATATAATGCGACCACAAGTTTCAGCGTCCAATACTCTTGAATATCTACGTAATAAGCTGATACAAGCACGTAGAAAGATGAGCTTTCCTTTAAATAGTATTTCATGAGACCGAAAATTTCCCAAATGTTTTTCGAAATAGTCCAGCACCCTCCAACACTGATTTGTGGGAGTTGTATCCATCAAGTCCTCCAACAACTGGCATGGTGTCGCTTGCTCTACCATACTTTCCTTGGAAAGCAACAAAGACAAGTCAACTAATCGAAATATCTTCAAATAATGTTCCTCCGAAACCTCTTCCGAAAGAGATCGGGACACCTAGTTGCGTAGAGGTGAGAATCGTCACCGATCCAACTATGCTCTTTTTACCAGTTCTAACAATATTCCTCGAAGTTCCAACTCAAGAATACTCCCTAAGTCATCTATTCTTAATGACCTTAGAGTATCGAGCACACTTTGCTCCTCTACGGGAGCCGCTATACTTATTCTGATCCATTCCACTACCTCCTCATTATTCAAAGTCATTAGAATTGTATTTGGATGTCCACATCAGGTCTCTTGTTGGCTTCCAAAGCAACTTTGGAAAGAAACGGATATGACCTATTTTATTGTGACTTTGAACCCTGTCTGGTAGTTTCTGTCTTAAAGTAAAACGATAAATTTTTACGGTCGTTCTGCTAGGTCTATGCCTCTTGGAAACATTTGATTTTCGTCAATCTGAGAAATCGAAGCTGTACCATACCAGCATATTATTGTCCTTCGACCATTGTGTGTTTAGCAGTTTGTCATTCCACTTTTCAGGTATCAGTTATTTACTTTGTTGTTGAAGTTTTTACTTGTGGAATAGATTGCTGTAGCCTTGGAAGAAGGAAGTGTATTGGTTTTACACAAAAGCAACAAAGGTTGGAGATGGCAGTTGCGATATTCACTGAAATTTATATCAAATACTGGGAGTGATGAAATGTTGCCCGTGGTACGGCAACTTAGTTGGAGTGGCAAAAGACTGGCTGCTTTTGGTAATGGTTTGGTTATTTGGCAGTGGAGCGAAGATTCCTCGAAGAATATCTGGTCGTCACAAGAAAACGAAATTTGGGAGAAAGAACACTCCTCTTCAGTAGAAGTTTTACTGGATTGGACTGTGGAACAACTGGGAATAGTAGCATATCATGGAAAGTTATCTCCAGACGGGAAATTTTTTGCAGTTGCAGGTTGGAAGAGTAGGAAAATACTAGTTTGGCGTATAGATAGTGTTATTGAACTACTTAAGAACCAATCTGAGATGCCCAAGTCTCCTCGTAATTGGAGAGGTCGACGTCATTCCACAAGTGGGTTTTCACCCTCGATTACCAATCTTTTACATGTCATGTCTGAGTCCTGTGAAACCTTGGGTCCATCCGAATTGGAAGTAGGCGATAGTGGCATCCAACATTTAGAGTGGAAGTCATTTGGAATGGGTCGAAATGCTCTTCTTACTGTAGATGGAGATGGAACATTTCGTATTTGGTCAAAAATTGCACACAGTAGAAGAACCGGTGGTCTTCACTGGATGAAACAAGTTCTACGAGCACCTCATGTAGCAGGCAAGAGAAATATTTCTACTGCTGGCTTCTTACTCTGGAAGGATTATTACTGTCAAGCTGAAGAGGCTGTTATGGATCCCCTGTGGTCCGTTATTGTGAGAGATTGGTTAGGTTTTAAGCTATCGAGAACAATACATTTCATTATTCGAACAGTGGGTAGTTGTTCACATTTATGGAGAGTTAGAGGCTTAGATGATCTTCCATTTGTTGGGTTTGCAAGATTAGAAGCATTGAGAGATGATAGCATATTGGAGCACAAAGGGCTTCTTGTTCCACTGGAAACCAAGACAATGGCTTTGAATGTCTACCAAACGAATTTGCCAATAGAACCGGAACTTGTCTATGAACGAGCACTTCGTTTAAGATATCCTTCGTCACCGCCTTCTGTTATTGATTCTGTTAGTTGTCATCGATCTCGATATTATACTTTTGGTTTGCAATACAACTGTATTCAAATATCGGACTCTGCCGATATGATTCAAAGCCAAGCTCCTCTTGGCATAAGTTTTGGACATATTGGAAATATTGAATGCATCCAAAGCTCTGGAATGAAAAGACAAGTTCCTTCATTCCAAAAGGATGTTTTCCCAAAGGTTTGGATCTTATCAACGAGCTATTCTCCTTATGAACATTGGGTATGGAATGCAGCAGATGATAACCTTTGTATGATTGTGCCTGTCGCACGATTATTTAGCTATAGGACATGTTTTTTAGTATCTCCATTTCAGTTGGGTCGTACTTTAAAGGAACCCATGGCTGGTAAACATTTGTTAGTAGCTGTTGATACATGTCCTCCTCGAATGTGTTTATTTGGGTTGTCTCATCAGAGAAAATGCTCTGTTGTAACTATTCATAAGGATTTTTATAATATATTATGGAACACGAATCTCGTTATTTTACACAGTTATTGGTGTCATGAGAATGGAAGAGAGGTATTACAAGTATGGATATTTGTGACCAATTGTGTATATAGATTGAAAATCTCTGTGCAAGAAACTGTTTCAAACATGTTTGAATGGGATTTGTTCGAAAACGAATGCGCTTGTGCTTTAGGAACAGAAGGAGATGGTTACTTTTATCTATATCTTGTGAAGAAGTATGAGTTGAAGATATTTAGAAAGAAAATCATGTTGAATGATATCGATGATTGGATAATGATGTGGAGCTTTTCCTTGGAACCTGAAGATGGCAGTTGCATTAAGAATATGACGTTGAACAGTTTGGGCAACCTTTTGGCCGTTCTTTATAGCAATAACAGACATCGAACATGGATAAGGTTAGGTGACTATCCTTGTGGAAAATGGACTCCATTTTATACTTCAGATGATATAGTTGATGACAAAGAAATAGAATTGAGACGTTTTCGATGGATAAGAGATACAAAGGACGCTTGCTGGTATTTATGTTGGGAACTATGGCTGACAAATACATGTCGTTTCATTAGCTACTGTTATGCTAATTCTGAAGTCTCTTTATATAAAGGGAAAGAGAAATTGAAAGATAGAGGAATCCATGATCTTTCTATGAAGACAACAGGAGAACAAGATTGCTGGTTGGAGTATTGTAATCATCAAATATTCATGCATATTGAAGAACATCCTAAAGAGTCGATGGATTGGTTGAATCCTGACTCGAGCTTATTTTGTTTTTGTTTATTTCATCGATGGGATTGTTTGTTGTTTCATCTACATTCCGTGATATTTTCTATGGCCAACATTTTTTCCACTACTATCTACAAAAGTGATCAAAGTAATCGAGTTCAAAAGCTTTCTAAATTGTTCTACTGGACTAGGTTGCTTTGTTATTATTTCCAACCTACTTTGTCAAATCATTTCGCTACAACATCGGTCGAATACGGATATAATGGATTCTCAGATATAACATCTGCCAAAGCATACTTTCAGGAAGCTCTATCGTATTTAGTAAAAGATGAGAACGATGATAATTTGCTGAATCTTCAATGGAAAATGAAATGGAAACATTGGTTATCTTGTTATTGGCTTCTTTGGAAGAGAGAGTTGCCTTTGGATTCAATGGCTCTAAAATTTTTGATGATTTCAAAGGCTTGGTATGAGAAAGCTCCCGAATGTTCGATACTTCCTTTATCTATTGTTTTATTGGCTTGTGTTTCTGATTGTGACAAGCTGTTATTCGAAATATTGTTTCAATCAGAAGAATGGACAAGTTGTTGTGATAATACTACAAGAGGAGATAAACAAAGTTTTGATTCTTTGTGGTATTTCTATCGTTATTATGGAGTTGGTTATTGGGTTAGTAGACGAGAGGACCTGACTCAAATTGTCGATACTTGTGCTAGAGCATCTTTTCAACATCAGCAGAATCCTATGGATACATGTTTATGGTATGTAGTTTGGATTGTGTGGGATTTTTGTTTATAAAAGGTTTCTAGGTATGTCCTACTAGGTAGAACGAAATCTTTAGCTATGTTGTTCAAAGTGAAAGGAATGAAACGTCTTTGGGAATTTTTTTCTGGCGACTTTGACAATTCCGAGATGCAAATAAAGGCCAAGAAGAATGCATATGTAACACTTGCCAGACATCAAATTGAGCTATCGAGTGCTTTGTTCATTCTCGCTGGTGAGAAACTTGAAGGACTCAAATTGCTATTATTCAGACTACGTGATATATCATTATTTCTAGTTGCTAGTAGACTGTTGTTTGATTGGGAAGACAATAATCAAAGGTGTCAAATATTGGAGTTACTCAACAGCAACGATGTCTTGGAAAAGGAAGAAATGATACTTTTGGAGATATGGATTGCTTTTCAAAGTAGAACTTTGGATCTGTGGAAGATTGAAAGACATGAATATAATACTATTTTACAAACTCCTTTATTGTTGCATTCTACTGCAAAAGTTTCCGATTTCCTTCAAAATATGGCAAGGATTGATTTGAGCCCCTCTTCATGGATGACATTTTGGATGCTTCAACAAATTGGCTACGTATATTTCCAAAAGAGCAATACACGTAAATTACAAAGCAAACAACCACTCACTTATCCATGTTTGTTGAAAGAATATGGTAAACAATGGTTCTCATGTGATCCTATATTTAGCTTAGGTTGTTTTTATTCTGTCACTGAAATGACAGAAATTTCGTTGGAAACCCTTCTTGATGATGAAGAACGCTTAGAGTTGTTATGGTATCACTTTGTTTCTTGTTTAGCAGAATTAACTTCAGAGGAATTGAAGGAATACAAAAGTGTTTGCTATGACTTGTGGAAAAAATTGCCCTTGCGTTTTCATCAACCTTCGTTGTTTCCGTTTGTTTGGATATGCAATGAGATTAGACAATGGAAAAATATAGAGAAGACACCAAAAGTGCTTCGATTGTTATCCTTTTTGTGGTGTGAAAGAGAATGGATTGGTTTGGAAGCCTGTTTGGACAATGAATGGAAACGAGATTGGTGGTGCAAATGGTTATCGTCCTGGAATGGCATATTGAGAAAACTTGTGAAACTGTGCATCGAAGATTTAGCATCAGGAAGATTTTTACCAAATTCTTCCTCGTTTGTTGCTATTTCAAATACGATGGAGTCGTTGAAGCCAATGAACTATTTTTCGTTTGATTTCAACTTGTGGAAAGCAACTCAAGCTGTTTATAATTATTATCGTTGGATGATGGATATTTTATCTGTAATGGAAGAACAAATATTTCATGTGGAAGCATTGTTGAAATTGTTGTTCAACTGCCCAAGTTTAAGGTTTCCGAGTGAAGCAAAGCAATCGAAAGTAGAAGCTGGGGTGATGATTGGAGATTTGAGAAGAGTGGTGAGTAGCCATACTTTGAGACCAAACTCGGATGGGAGTCAATCTGTTTGGACAAGTGAAGAAGCCAGTTGGATGCCAAGTTTCTCTTCTTTCAAGGCATGTATGGAGAACGATGTCAAGCGACAAGCAATTCTTTATTTACTAAAGCAAACGATATCGATTTATATATTTACACAATGGCGTTTGTTGTTGATACACAATAAGAACCAAAATGATGAAAACGAACTTGTAGATGTAGAATTCAAGGCACAATCAATAGTAGAAGGCTTTTACAAGGATTGGGCTCAAAAAAGATATCCACTTACTACATACAACCATTCTTCATCCATCAGGCGGGATAGTTTATATCAATTGTGGTCTTTTTTGTATCAGAGAGATGCTTCATGTAGAAGACTGTTAGAAGAAGGATGGTTGGTTTTAGAAGGTATCAGACAAGGAAGTCTGGAGAAGGTAGGCACTGTTATATGCATTTAATGATATAAAGTAGTAATATATCCTCTTCTAGGCAACTATCTCTAATCGAGTTTATGGACTCTTAAAGCAAGAAAATTGGGACAGAGAGTCTTATCCACATATATTGAGTCAATATAATTCTTTCTGTTTGTGGAAAGGAGACAAGGATGAGGCAGTTCGGTCTTTATGTTTATCTAGTGATGACCCTTGTTGGATAGCTGTCGCAACATTGGGAGGGTTGATGGATATCTCTGTTCCCTATTCCAAACTGCAACAAATCTCTTCCAAACCATCTCTTCATCGTTCTTCTAGTGTTTCCACTTTTCCTGGTGGGAATGATAGAGATGATACGAAAATTGAAACCTCTGAAAGAATTTGGAAGTACGCAGGCCAAGTGGCATGTGTAACTGCAGATCCAGTTCGCCAAAAATATGCTTCAGGACATATGGAAGGCACCATTAAATTATGGAACTTTGGCCAGTCATCTTGTTTAGGACAATGGAAGGTTCCCAATGTGGGTCGAGTTTCATCTTTAGCATTCTCATCCTTTGGTGAACGTCTTGTTGCATGTCATGCAACTGGTCAACTCGTTATTTGGGATGAACCTTTTCTAGCAGTAGGTAGAAGTACTGTTGCTTCTCCATTAAGTAAGAATATCCTTGTTGAATACTCTTTGTCTGTGGTACAGTTCCTTAGCAGACAAAGATTCTTTTGTTTCGAAATGCTAACACATGACTTGTAGTCATAGAAGCATTTGGAAAGCGCCGAGCCTCACAAGCCATTTTTCTAGATGATAGAAATTTGATTGGAGTAGTTGGCTCTCCACAAGGACCTATTGCTTCTGGTAGTTCCTTAAGAATATATGATATTCGATCTCCTCATTACGATATACGGCCTGAGTGGACTTGCAAGGTCAATCACGGAAAAGAAAGTAAGCTTTTCTCATTTTGTTGGCTCTAAAACTTTACAAGTTGAACAGGTCGTTGTATTTTAATATTGGAAGATCGAACTAAAGTAGTTACCGGCGGCATGGACGGCTCAATCTCTATAGTGGATATTCGAATGCGTCATTGTGTTGCAGAGTTGGCTTCTGTTCATCGTGGAGAAATTCAAACTCTTGGCATTGAAACAAACAGAGGAAGGGCCATTTTTAGTGGCTGTAGTTGTGGAGAAGGAAAACTGTGGGATAGCAGGTACGTCAAACATACCGTCATTTATATACCTTTACTTTGTGTGAAAAGAACGATGAAATGTTTGGACACGATTCGAATAGTACAACGTAAATCGTCTCTCTCCTTAACCGAATGGAATCCTTGGAGAACTTCTTCCTTAGCTCACCGTGGTATTTTGACAAGTTGTTTGACAGATACTTGTCTCTTAGTTGGTTGTGCCGATGGCAGCTTAAGGCTTTGGGGAAAGGGCTGGTCACAATTGTCTAAGGGACAGTCTTGAGGAAATAGCCAATCATTGCTTTACATTTTTGAGATAGAGTTTTTGTTATTCGTCGGCAGCGTTTACTAAAATGGACAAACCAACCTCAACTATACCACTTCTTTCCGGTTATGGAAACTACTTTGAAACAGAAGCAGTTGTTGGAGCCATACCAAAAGGTCAAAATAATCCCCAGAAATGTCCTTTTGGGTTGTATGCAGAACAACTCTCTGGAAGTGCTTTTACTATGCCTCGAGGTAGGGCATTTAAGCAGTTCTTGTAGTCACTTCTCACTTCTTGCTGTGTTGACAGAAAAGAACTTGCGAACTTGGCTGTATCGGATCCTGCCAAGTGTGAAGCACGGAAAGGTTGTGGCAGCACCTGAAGAAGCTCCTTTTCTTACAGAGGGAACCAAACTGACACCGGAAAGGCTACGTTGGAAACCTTTAGACTACTCCATGTTGGTGAGATCCACCGATTTTATTCAGGGTCTATTTACTGTTGGTACTCAAGGTGAACCGACTAGTAGAGATGGTAAGACAAGTTGTATTTATAAAGCTTCAAACTGATCTCGTTGTTGTTCGTCAGGTGTGGCAATACATTTATATATTGCTAATTGCAGCATGGAAAACAAGTGTTTTTTCAACTCTGATGGTGATTGGCTGATTGTTCCACAAGAAGGAGGCCTGCGAATTCAAACCGAACTTGGCCTTTTACCGTTACGTCCTGGACACATAGCTGTCATACCACGTGGAGTGAAGTTTCGAGTGGAACTTTTGGATGGTAAAGCTCGTGGATATATTTGTGAGGTACGTTATTGATCATTTGCTTCTATTTTCTCACATTTGTTGTACAGGTTTATACTGGTCATTTTGAGTTACCTGACCTTGGACTGATTGGTTCAAATGGCTTGGCCGCACCGAGAGACTTTCTTTATCCTGTTGCATATTATGAAGAGAAAGAAGTGCCTTTTGCAGTTATTCAAAAGTACGGAGGTAAATTGTTCCGCTTTTCATTGGATCATTCTCCTTTTGATGTTGTGGGTTGGCATGGCAATTATGCACCATTTATATATGATTTGAGTCTTTTTTGTCCTGTCAACAGCGTGCTATATGATCATATGGATCCTTCCATTTTTACTGTTTTGACTTGCAAAAGCAGTGTACCTGGACTGGCAGTTGTGGATTTTGTCATATTTCCTCCTCGTTGGATGACACAAGAGCATACATTTCGACCGCCGTATTTTCATCGTAATTGTATGACGGAATATATGGTAAGTAATAGATTTTCATTTTTGCAACTAGTTGGAAACCTTTTGTATTTTTTAGGGTTTGATCCGTGGAATTTATGATGCCAAGGCAGAAGGATTTGTTCCAGGAAGTGCATCATTGCACAGTATGATGTCAGCACATGGACCGGATGCAGTGACGTTTGAAATGGCAAGCAATGTGGAATTGAGTCCTTCTCGTGTAGGCGAAGAAAGTCTGGCATTTATGTTTGAAACCAGTCGCATGCTCAAGTTGACAGACTGGGCTTTAGATCCAAAGCATTTAGATGTAAATTATATAGATTGTTGGCAGCCATTGAAAAAGTTAGCTTCACTTCAAGTAGAATGATGTTTGTTATTGTATGATAAAGTACCTAGTTGGCTGACTTTCAAGTTTCGATATTGTTTCGTATCTATCACAATGTTGAGGGAAAGACTGATGTATTTTCCTTAGTATTCAACTAAAAGTATTGGATAACTTTTATCCTAATGCATTCCGTAACTTGTGACGTTCATTGACTGTTCTAGTAGCACAGAAGAGGATAGTTGAAATATATCTCATTTCAGTTTATGAAGATTTTACCATCACACTGAATTATTGAAATAGCTTAACAACTGTTGTTATGCAAATAAGTACTTGAATATCCATTGGATGTTACAAGTCGCTCCTTTTTCCTCGATGAAATGGAGTTTTGCATTTTTGTGAACTTTTGAAATGGTCAAACACACTTGGAACTCAAAGACGACTGACAACTCTTCTTCCTTTACACAGTCACAATCTTTTGGTCCATTTTTTTGCAGCAAAGAAAGAACTTCCACCAATCATGAGCCGTCTGCTTTTAGAAAGGAAACTTATGCTTCTCACTTAACTTGGACGCGTCGTTGTCTGCTTATTGAAGGAAAACCTATTCCGATACTCTCTGCAGAGTTTCATTATTGGAGAATTCCAGATAGGAATCGTTGGAAACGTATTTTGGAGTCATATCGTTCTTTGGGTTTTAATTGTGTTCGAATATACTTTCATTGGGGCTTTCACTCTCCTCGTCAAGGTGTTTACGATTTTCAAGGCAATAGAGATATCGAATATCTTTTGCAGTTGTGTGAAGAATTGCATCTTTTTGTTATTGCAGCGCCTGGACCTTACATTTGTGCAGAAACACAGTGTGGTGGTTTTCCTACTTGGCTTGTCGCTAAAAGGGAAATTAGAATACGACACGTTGCCAGGGAATTTATCAAAAGATGGGATCAACAATTTTTTGAGTATTGTAAGGAATGGTATGCTCAGTTTCTACCTATTCTTGTTTCTCATGAGCGTGCTACTCATTCACGAGGTTGTGTGATTGCTTTGCAGGTAAGTATGTCAAACAGATTTTCAAGGCATATTTTATACTGCTTTATATTATGAATAGATAGAAAATGAATTGATGCAATGGTTGGCGTTCTTTCGTATTGGTTTGGATAAAGAACTTCGTAGTTTAGCAGAATTGGCAAGAGAGATGGGCGTGTATTCACCCATCATTCATAACGATGCTATGCCTGATGGTTCTTGGACTCGCGGAAAGCGGAATCGCCTTTGGTGGAGTTTAGGGTTAATTTCTTCATCACGCCGTTCCTATCGTGTAGATTTATATGGAATGGATTTGTATGTTACATGGCCACCTGATAACGGAGACCAAAGAGAAGGCTCCTTGTTTGAATTGGATATAAAAGACATTTTATCCATCGTAAGAATGTCCAATGGCAATGGTTTGAGTCACGAAGCAACTTTTGTTCCTTTTCGAAATGCGAGTTGGAAGAAGCATCGCTTTGCTCGTGCTTTTGATAAACTCGAAAGGACTACCAGCGGATTTGGTGGAGCTGCAACATCAGGACCTGTCATAGTTTGTGAGGCGCAAGGCGGTTGGTACAATCAGTGGGGTAGAAGAAGAACTTATGATGATATGTTTACATTTTTTGGTGAAGATCATACTTCGAATGTTTTGGTTTCCTTACTTGCACAAGGCATTACGATGATCAACATTTATATGTTTTATGGTGGAACAAATTATGGTTGTTTGGGAGATACCGAAGTCTATACTTCTTATGATTATGCAGCAAGTATTCGTGAATATGGTTTTATTACTAACAAAGCAAGGAAAGTAGCTGCAGTGAATCTTTTTTTCCGAACTTTTGCCAATTTTGGTTTGATAGAAACGGAAAGGTTATCTCGTTCTGATGAATATGGTGTACAGTGTTCGTTATCCAATGTTGTTATTTGTACTCGTTGGGTTAGAAAGAGTGTGAGCAATCATGAAGATGAAGTTTGTTATCCTCGAATAGCGTTCTTAAGGAATTTTTCGTCGGTGTCAAAGTTTACTTTGGCATTGCAAGGAGTAGCAGTAACTTGTAGTCTCGAACCTCGTCAAGTCATGTTGGTGCCTTGTGATATTCCATTGAGTGACAAAGTTGTCCTTCATATCTCGGGTATTCAAATAGTTGTTCGAATGAAACATTTGGATACAGAGTTGTGGGTATTATCTTTGAAGGATCCAGAAGTGGGAAGAATTGCATTTCGTTCTCGAGTGCCGTTGATATTAAAATGGTGCAGTATAGATGGACAATATTCTGGCACTTGTGATCCAAATAGGGAGGACGATGAGACATCAGATTTGACAAATATTCCTGCTGAAGAATTGTCATTTGGGGCTTTTAGAAATGGAACCTTTATCAATGACGATCATTTGAGACAAGACTGTGCGAGTCTTGTACGTAGAGAAGAAACAATAGGGCAAGTTTATCACTTATCCGTATGGAAACCTTGTTTTATATTACTTTCAAGTCGGGAGAATGAGCATGGAACAACAACGACTCGAGATCAAATAAGACTCGTTTGTCTGAATTCTGCGGATGCATCCACAGTGACTTGTAACTGGATGGAACAAGAAAGAGACATTTGGTCAAGTCAAGAAGAGACGAGTAGAAATCCTGAAGCAATAGCTTGGGGTGCATATCGTTTATATTTTGACAGTCAAGGTCAATTGCAGATTTCATGTACTTGTTCTGATACAAATATATATTTTCTACGTCAAGGTGAATGCCCAGTCATGTTTCAACCCATGCCTTGTGTAGTGGAACAACATATTCCTTATTGTTTTGTATGTGTCTTAACAGATAAGATGCGCCTTTTGTCTTCCTTATCGACTTCTTCTTCGTCTTTCATTAGATGGACTAGTCCATGGCAGTCTGCTTATCTAGACTGGAATATGATTCCTTGGAAACCAATCAACTATGCTACGGAAAGAAATCCACTCGATCATTTATTTACTCATGGACATTGCTTGTACCGATGCAATTTTCATATAGGACGTCGATTATGGTTACAGAATGAGTTGACTTTGAAACTCAATTGTCGTCATTTGGCTGTGGTTTGGTGTAATGGAAAGTGTGTAGGTTCTCACCTTACTTATAGTCATCATATTGTTGGTCCAGGTGCAGTCAATTTTTGGGACGTTTCGTATTCTGGCAATATGAATTACGACTTGACTCCCTATTTAAAGAAAAATGATAACGGTGTCTTCGAAAATGTACAACAACAAGTGATAGTATTGATACATAACTTTGGTCAAGGGAGACAACCATTTGTAGTGAATGATGTGAGGAATCCTCGTGGTCTTTTATCGGCAAGTTTTCACGGAATTCCTGTGGAACAGGTGGCTTGGTACATAAGTGGAAGGAATGTTTCAGAACTGGAAGATCCATTCAATACCGTTGGGATACCTTTGGAAGACAAGTTGATTGGACAGATTGTTGGAAACAATCCTTTTCGTTACAGCAGAGAAGATATACAAAGGGGAGATGAGAATACTCGCATGTATTATCAGGAAATGACAACACTTGTATCGAGTGAAACATTTCAGTCATCGAGTCATTTATCCAACGTCGTTTTAAAATTGGACAATTCTAGTTTCCTGTTTCCCGTTTATAGTAGTGCAGGAATGGGTTGGTGGAGAGCCAAGTTTCGATTACCAGAAATATTAGAAAGTTTTGATGGACGTTTGCATATGCCACTTGCATTATGTATAAGTGGCAATGCGCATTGTTTTGCTTGGATTAATCAGCTACAAATTGCTCGTTATGTAGCCAAAGTAGGTCCACAGACTGTTTTTTATATTCCATGCGGGTTGTTATTAAGCGACGAAGAAAACGTTTTGACGATTATGTATTATACAGAACATGAAACTGCCCAAGTGGGAATTCGAATCACTCCGTATTTTGTCGATAGCAAAACGGGAAATTGGAAAAACGAAGGGTTTGAGACAATCAGTGATCTTCAGCCAGTTGTTATTTATCAGTTTACGGCGTAACTTTGTATTTCATTGGAATGAGATGAGAAATTGTGTTTCACGGGTTTATATATGTAATAGAAATCTCACCCAATTAGTGATCCATCATTTAAGGTTACGTTTTTATTTAATGGAATTCTTTGCCCTTGTAGAGTCCAACAGCACTTCCAATCATCATATCATCTGGTAGGACGATCATATTTCAAAAATGGTCTTCAAAGCTTTGGTTTCTTGTGTCCTGAAGTTATTTATGCCCAGAAAAAGGATGGAGTCAGTTGCACCACCAACTGTTACTGGCTCCAACTATTCTTTAAATAACTTTTTCAATAAAGTTTTTAATTTGATAGCCATTCCACGATGGAGCTATCTTCGAATTTTCCATATTAGGAAAAGTTCTTTTCTTTGGGGCTTTACTAACATATGCCATAAAATGGAAAAAAAGTCGTAGAAAACTAAAGTTGCTTCTTCCAAAATCATCTCTGTTTCATCAAATCAGTCGACACTGTTCAACAAAGTGATGGAACGGAAGTGCTACAAGTACTCATAACGACTGTTCATTGCACAATCAAAAAATACTCAATATTTTCTAATACTGCAATCAAACCGAAGATTCAGCATTCTCCAACCACTCAATCAATGCAGAAGCACTAGTCCTAGCAATCTTTCCTCCCTGTCCTTTGCTTCCGCTGTAATACCACTTTAATATCCTCCTTTATCAATTCTTCAACATAAAAGACTTTCAAAGCAACTGCAACACCAATCCTGAAGGAAACTTCACACAAGACTTCCATATAGTTACATATCTTCCGTTGAATATCAACAGGGACTTGCAAACGACCTCAAGAAGCTGTAAAAGCACGAACAGTTCCGGCAACTATTTGAACGATGTGCTGAAATCCTTTGCCTCTCTTCGCTTCTCTTTAAAGACTGCAACACTTGTTCTGTTTGATACTCCAGTGAACGTTCGTTGGATGGAACAGCTCCAAGACTTTTTCTGCTATTGCTCGTACGGGTTTTTCTTTCCTTTCGTTCTCAACAAAGATACTTACTTTATTCTTTTTGGATTTGTTTATAGTGACTTTTATTCGAGCCAGGTAATTACAACATTGACTAGGGAGAGAAGAATACGATTAGTTTTCCTTAAGCTGAGTATCACAGAAACTTGAAAAAAGCTACCATGACTAGTAGGCCACTAGCTTCAGAACCCAACTAATAATACCCAAGTCACTCTTTCCATATTATTCTGGAATGAGAAATGCAATATGACTACTTATTGTTCCATGAACGAATGAGTTGCACCATCTCCTCTTCTTTTTCGTCATACCAGTTTTCATAAGCTGCAGCCACTGCAAAACTACTTCCATGTCGAATGTTTGCACAATAAACGGCATCAGCTACTTCAGCTATTTTCAAAATAACATCATAGGAACTCGTTGGTACAACTACCACAATATTCTTAGCTCCCATTTTGCGAAATTCTTCTATGGCTAAAGTCATCGTCCATCCTGAAGCCAAACCATCATCTACCAATATGACCACTTTGTTTTCCTCTCCGACAAGTATCGTAGGTGGATCTCCAAATGCTTTTGTTCTTCGACTCACTTTGGTTATAGCTTCTTCCAGTTGCTTCTGTAACCGTTCTTTAGATAAACCAACGGAGTGAAGAAAAGGTTCATTCCACCTGACCGTTTGTCGAAAACTGACAGCGCCACAACCAACTTCCGTATTCCACGGCAATAATATTTTGCTCACTACAGCAACTTGTAGTGGCAACTTGAGTTGTTTTGCTATGGTTGCTGCCACAGGAATTCCACCTGAGGGAATACCAAATACCACGGCATCCAAATGGACACCATCGCGGGTAGGCAACGATGCCACTTTCCAGTCTTGTTGCAGCCACTGCGCCAAAATTTTTCCTGCTTCGATTCGATCATAAAATACTTTTTGCCTTTCCGTCAAAGTATCCATAAAAAAGACATTTGGGGCAATTCTTCTTTCTGCTTTCCTTGGACTGCTGGACTCCATTGTTTAGCTTCCAAATGGCTCCGAAGGAAGATAACAAACGAATAAGCTTGTTTCGGGTTCTTCCAAAACGAATACTTTTGTTTCGCAGGTTGGAAGCAAGTAGTCTATAAGAAGCTTGGAACATATTTAAGGGAGCAGAACTGGTGCATACCTTTTGCAATAGCTCTTTGGTTTTGTACAGTAAGTGGTAAAACCGTCACTTGTTAGTTATTGCAGCCGTAAAGAGACTGCTAAATGTAAAGACATAAACAAGTTGGAGTATACACTTTACAAGAAGATGAAATAAACCGCTACACAACAAGTAGAAAACTTGTACTCAATCCTTTTGCCCAAACAAGGGACTAAGTATGAAAATGGAATCTTTTCCAATAGAACCAATACTTTATATACCTGCTCACAAGAAGAGATGAAATAATGAAGTATCTTCAAAGATATCTATAAGACCTGAACACATTCAAAACGAGCGTTGAGTACTTGACCATTCTTAACATTCACATTTCATATCTATTGGCGTCGACGCTCATTGTCTTCATTTGATTGCTCCACGTCGAGTTGTCTAAAGATGAAGTACTTAGCAGCCTATTTCTTAGCACAGCTCGGAAGCAAACGTGGCAAACCTACTGCAGATGATCTCAAGAAAATATTGACTTCTGTGAGTATCGAAGTGGAAGAAGATCGTGTTATGCAAGTTGTGGAAGCTTTGAATGGAAAAGATTTGGAAGAGTTAATTGAACAAGGCTTACAGAAAATGACAAGTGTGCCATCCGGTGCGACAGCAGCAATTGCGGCAACAGTCGGAGCAGCTCCAGCAACAGTCGGAAGAGAAAGTAAAGAAGACGCCAAGGCAGCAGAAAAAGAGGAAGCAGCAGAAGAGAGCGACGAAGATTTGGGCTTCGGTCTATTCGACTAAAGTTTTCATGCGAGTACTAACGACAAGATCACTGTTGTGGTTTCGAGCTGACGGAATACTTTTTAAACTTTCTCCTTTTGTCTTCAAGTATTCGACTCTTTTTTGAAGCAGCTTAATACACAATTCAAAATATTAAAATTTCATACAAAATGTGGTCGATTGAACAGTACCTACTATTTTTTATCTCATGAACAAGTAGTTCTCAAAAGTACTATCTAATGATAATCTGTTTCTTCGGGAAGAAGTTGAGTATCATCCCAGAAAATAGTGACAAACTTGTGAAATGGTTTTTCACTTTGCTTTCGCATGAAGCATTTTGTAAACAATGTTCACAGAAATATCCGAGTTATTTTTGCCTCGAGTTTCTTGAGAAAATTTGCAATTTGACATACACTTGAAGTGACTCGTCAAAACATCAGCTGTCCAGGCTTAGAGTTGGGACATTTGAAAATGAAGTTTCACTTGGTTTCAAGTGCACTCAGAAGGACTGTTGGGTGCATTCTTTATAAGGAGGGTACTCGAAGGCCTGGTTTAAGTTTGAAAGTATGCTGCCAATAGAGCTGAGAGCACACTTTGTATAGGATACGAAGTTGACTTGCGCATCATCAGCTTCTCAGGCTTTTTTGTTTTTCAGTGAAGTGAACACAGATACCCTACATAAGCTTGGCTTGTTGTTGGTTGGGTAGCTTTGGTGATGGTACTTTGAAAGTCTTACGTGTTGAGTGGCAAGCCTCGTTGGAAACAAAAACAACCAAGTGAACCTATCTTCCACGTACCGAAATGTTGTTTTATTATAAAAGCAGTTGGAAAATAAGGTTCTTCCTATTGGCTTTGAATTGCTGGAGAGATACTTTATCTTTGTGGAACATAACAACAAGGAATCTACACTGAATTTCATACAGCCACCAACCGGAAATGACATAAATTCCCATAGCTTTCCATAAAGTACTCGTTAGAATTTTGATATTCGAAGGATATAGCAACAGACGATTGGTATTATCCAGTACCTCAGTAACATAAGTGTGCCAAGTAGTAAATATACGTCTATTCTTCATTTCCGTATCGACATTGAAAGTCGCTCGGGATAGTTGCATTGTAATAAGGAATAAAGTTTAGCTTCAATTATGGTTCTGTTCATTGGCTTCCAGTTGAAAAGTAGAGCAAGTCAGCAAGATTATTGGCACTTCCAACAAGAGCAACTGTTAGTATTTAGTCCAATCGAGAATCAACGCAACTTCAGCCCTTGAGTAGTGACAGTATTTCAACGTCTCGTCAATTAAAAAAGATACTTGTCATTCGTAAAGTATGATTGAAATGTATTCTTCTAAACCAGACCAAAAGGAAAAAGCCTCTCCACTATCCAATGAGGATTCTGTTCGACATAGTTTGTCTATCCATTTCTACTCATCGGACATGACGCAGAACATTCCGCAAGTGTTTCATCATTTTTTGTCAAAAAATGTAAACTCATCCCTATTCTATGATAATCAGTGCCACATTTGGAGATGGAACTTTCTCTTGTTAGTTACCATGTTGTCGTCGTTGGTTCAACAACTTTAAGTATCTGTCTTTTGTTCTTATCCACCAATTGCAAATTGACGTCTGTATGGATGTTACTTACCAATGGTTTCCAACTTAACGGCAACTTGAAGTACTTTTTGGTTCTTCAGCTCTTTGATAACCCATTGAAGACGTTTGTTTGCTTTAGAAGGATTCTTCGCTTGATTCCATTGCTTTCCATCTGTGATTATACATTCCTCTCGTTCTGCATCTGCAAATATTTGTGCCAATTTCAACAAACACAGGCAATTGTTAGTGAGAGACCATTCTGTGGAGTGCAATGTCTGCATTTTGTTCCAACAATGAAGTGATCAAACCGCATCATGGATTCTCATTAAGATATAAAAAGGTTCTATTGGTGTCGCTGGTATCTTCACATACTCGACGAAGCACTATGAGTAAAAAAATAAGACGTTTGTGAATTCTTTTTGATCTCGTACAAGCTTCCAACAAGTGATGAAGAGTATTAGGAGTAATATCACAAATATATTTGTAACGTTGCGAAGCATGATTGAGTTTCTATTCGATGAAACAAAAAAGAAGAAAATAGAAGTCCAAATCAGGTGATCATTGTCTCCTCATAAATAGGCATTCGGTTGTTACTTGAAATCAAAGTTATCAACATTCTACGATCATTTTGTTTAGAGACTGTACCTGGAATGGGTTGTTGCACTAAATATCGTTGTTTATCAAGCAGAAAAAGAAGATTGAATCCTATTTCAAACTTAGATACCCCTAATGGTTAGTTTCCTGCAGAACCAACAAGGATTCTTTAGGCGTTCTACAACTTGCATATGGACAACAATGGAAAAGGCTTCAAACGTGGAGAGTACGAAGATCTCAGACACTTATGACTTAAAATACCGTTTGAAGAGTTAGCAGCTTAATAGAGGGGTGAATACCTTCTGACTTTGGAAACGATGTTGAATACTCGGAGTTATTTCTAAAGCCAAAGAATAATCACAAAACGAAGAAACGCGATAGTTGCCATTTACAAGTCACAAAGCAGGGCGACCAACATATCGATGGAATACTCTTCTTAACTGTTTGCTATTTTCATGAAAGCTATGTTGAATGAATGGAGTTGAAATCAAACGTCTACAAGTATCCAACTAATGTAATTTCTCGAGTTTTTCCTCGTCATTTCGTAAAAGTATGAGAATACAGTATTGTGTCAATTGAAATGTTTCTTCATCAAGGTGACGATTATAGTAACTAGCTTCTCTAACGTTGCCAATTCAAGTTCCTGAACAAGAATAACATTCCAATAACTATTGACAACACTGTGGAGAACGCTTACCAAACTTTTGGTCAACAAACCGAAATATGGATTTCCTCAGAGAACGATCATCAGCTTTTGCACAGTTGTAAAATATGAGCTCTATCCCTTCATACTGAGATGACGTCCATTCTTACCGCTTGATTTCAATAAGAACTCAATCGTTCCAACTCTCTTGTAGCTTTGATATGCAGCAAATGAGTCAAACGACCTTTCTCCGACGATTGCAGTCGAATCAGGAACATGTACAAAACTTCGTATAACTATAATGTACTTGCATATGAACAACTCTCCAATGAATAACATTTGGAATAGAGGCGAGAAGCAATATTTGTTAAAAGCCAACAACAAAGTTGTACCCAAAAAGCAGTTGTCCATCAATAAATATTTTGTTTATTTCAAATCAGAGAGTTTTTCATTATAATGAATAACGCTGACTATTTAAGTGATTCTTCACTAGACAAGGAGTTCCAGGTATCTATCCAACTAGGAACATGAGCATCGTTACGACTCGTGTTTCCTTTATGCTTACAGAATTGACAGTCCACTTGATGGTCTTTCATAGCTGTAGACTCCTCTTTGGATCCCTTCAATCTTTTATAAGTCCTCTGATTGGTGACTTCTCTGGGCATCCACGAATACTGTTCATTGCTATTCATTTGTTGTTGTCCATGTAGCAGTTGTCGAATTCCTTCAGAAGCATTATCTGTTTCTATAAACGGCAACTGACTTATTGCATAATTTCGAGTTTTTTGTAAAAATGGGTAACTCGCCAACTCAGTATCTTGCAAAATCCTTACATACGAAAAGAATCTTGCCAGTTGATCAACTGTTACACTGTTTCCATTATCCAAATATTCTGTGATTCGAACTATACCACTCTTTGCAGCTATAATTTTCTGGAAAAATGACTTCACTTCAGGAACATTACATATAGGTAAAGAACGATTTTCCTTTGATAAAGAACAACCTTCAAACCACAAACTGAAGCTATGGTTGTTCTCCAGTTTTGGATCAAATTGAGATATCATTTCGACACTTTTATAGAGTTTATGCGGCAGCTTCCCTGGTACAGGTGCCTCATATATAACAAAGTAAGAGAGACAGTGAGAATTTGTTGGAAACTTGTCGGAGAAGTGAGAGAATCAAAAACAAATGCCAATTACCACTTACATGAACCCAATTCACCAACAAAAGTTGTTTGTCCAAATACCAACTGACCTAAACGGAGAATAGACTAAGATTCCAGTCCAAGTCAACTTTGCACCACTCAACACTTACTTCCAGAAATTCTTGTTTTTCCAAATCTAGCGCAAATCTTCTACAAGAAGGTGGACTTATGAAACGGCCTTGTCCATAATCCTTGATGATACTATGAGGCTCTCCAACAACCTTGCGTAAGAGAATTCAGAAACCCATAAAACCAAAGCAACAAATATTCTTACCGAACCAATAAAGAGACCACTAACTATGCCTAAAGGGAAAATTAGCAGGTTTTCTTGCTTTCTGATTCCTTCTACGTCAAAAGTTACTTCAAGGCCAACCATACTTTCTTTGCGAAACTGTGGAAGGGAAGTTTCCACTGTTTCTGCAAAAAAGTCTTTTGTTACTGGGTGTCGTAATAGACGGAGAGAAAATAGTGTCATGACAACAAAGTTATGTTTGTCTTCATACACAAAAAATATAGGCCACCCGATTACAGAGTAAGATCTAACAGTGTTTTGCAAAAATCCAATAAAACTTGTGATTTTTGTAAAGGTCAACTATTTGTCTATTGGCTCGTTGATCGACTCTGAAAAAATGATATCATATGAAGTTGATGACCTTTGGATAGTCCGTTCGCAGGCTAGAAATGTTTTCTCGATTCACAAATAGCAGAGGCAACTCCTTTTACCAATCACCGAGACACTTATCGTTGGCAACCTCCAACTTTTCTTCTACAGTTGAAATGACTTTGCCCCCTCATAGCTTGTTATAATATTCTGGTACAACTTGTGTTTTAAATAGTATTCGTAGCGGGATGGATTCACTTAAGCAATATAAAAGCTATTTGTGGTTGGATAACTCTTTTTGCAAAGGTCAAGATATTGGTTTTGTTTGAGTTCTCAGCTATATGACTGAATTACAAAAGTAGCTATGAGAGTTTTCGTACCTTTGCATTCACTTCGAGACTTGCTTGGTGATTTTGCGGCTTACTAAGCAATCATTTCAACATCACCGTTTATCGGACACTCGAATGAAGTCATTGCAAGTAATTGTTTTGTTCATTATATCTATTTTATTCCAAGCCATCATTTATTACGCAAAATGGAAGAGCCGTCTCCATTTTCGATAAGCTTCAGGCAATTGCTTGTTTTTTAAGACACGACATGCTTTGCACCTCGTGAATATTACACTCAATAGAAGAAGAGGTCATCATTCATCATCGAGAAGCGCAATGAAGCAAAGAAACAATAATCTTGCAAGTGGTCCGATGGGAGCTGAATGGCGAGGAATATGAACAAGTATCATTTGAGTACAAGTGTAGATAGAAGCAATTCCATAAAGCAAAATCTATTTGGAATTAAAACAATACCAAAATATGAATTTCATAATATGAAAACATGTCAACTCTTTTATACGAAAAGCTTGAGAAACTACTTCCATCGGAGAAGTTGTTGGTCATCTTGCGTTTGGCAAAAAGTACAGCAAAGCCAGAAACCCACGCAAACGAACAAGTTAACAACACCATCTGGTGAAAGCCAAGATGGCAATGGTACGTGTAACAAAAACACTTGAGCAATTGCCAAAGCAGCAAAACCAAAGGCAAGACAAAGCAGAACTGTGTGTAACGCCACTTTCCAATCTGTGGGTCTTATTTCTCCTGGATTACCAAACTCATCTTTGGGAGGTTCAGGTAGTCCTCTGTTATATAAGAAAGCTATGGAGGCTATAGCTGACATAGACATACACGTAGTGGAAAGACGGGGAGTAATAAATCCTGCAACAATAAAAATAGACATCACAAGTGCAGTACGTTGCATATATTTCTTATCAGGAACTTTGATGGCGTCTCGTATCCACTTGGGAGGTTGAAAACGTTTTTGTGATAATCTTCTTTCTGCCGGACTTTCCTTCACCTTTACTCTGGTTCTTCCTTCCATTCGTGCACGCAACTGATCTTCAAATATCTTATCCTTGTACATTTCTAGTTTGATTAATTGTTTCTCGTTGCCTTGATATTTCTTGACCAGTCTCTGGTATGCAGCTTCTACCTCTTCATAAGAAGCGTCCTCAGAAACTCCTAAAGAACGGTAAGGATTCAATTCGTCTCTCTTTCTTCTACCATTCTTCGAAGACGATATATTCTTATTCCACGAAAAGAATCGAAACCTATTCAGAAAACTTCCTATTCCCCATAAAGCCATGAAGACTGAGGGGCACTTTTTTCGTCGTACTGACACTAAAAAAGGCTCTGAACCAAGAAATAAAGAATATCCATCATTCGGATAAGTAACTTGGCGTCTTGCAGCGTGATTTGTCATACGTTTCTGGGAAGAACACTTTGTACTAAACCAAACAGGTTGCACAAAGTTACAGCAACTCCCGGCCATGAGAATGGTAAAATCTGCTTTATTCATATTTATCATTACCAACACATACAACGTTCACTATTTATTACAAATTTTCATAAAAAGAAAGAATACAAAACTCGTGTTGAAGCTTCCCAAAATTTTTCCACATATCATTCCCCTTAAGACGAACAAGCAACCGCTGAGAACGGTTTGGAAGGACCTGCACTCCTCAAAATAAGTAAGCACCGATCATTCTCCCATTCGAAGTATTCAATAATATCCAAAAGTTCGTTGCAACCATCTGCCATTGCTTGTGCTTGAAAAGTTTCCAACCGAACCATATCGCTCTTATCCAAAGGAAGACGACTGTCATTAAGACGGCGATCAACACTTTCAAGAAACGCTAAAACATTAGGATCTTTCAACAACTGGTTGTTTTCAACTTGCTGTTCGCTCTGTTGTTGAGTTGTTCCTTCCGTAGTTTTTACTAGACTAGAACTTCGACTACTTTTCCACCACAAACCAAACAAACCAAACTTCCGAACGGATTTTTCCTTAACTATTTGTTCAGACGACTGTGAATCGTTTCCATCGACACAGGAGACGTGCAAACAGGTCGGTTCGTAGGGTAGAGACGCGGAAGAACTCTCTCGTTCGATTTTTGTTGTTGACGAACAACACGAATTGTGTTTTGTTGGAACAATACTCAGTTGCTTCACCTTCTCTTGCTTATTCATGTTGCTTTGGGTTGTGGTTGCTTTACCAGTGAACCATTTCTTGATACTCATTCGGCCGGCGACTCGAAAATTCGATTAATAAAAAACGGCCACGCATTATGATTCGAACCTTCCACGTGGTTCTAAAAGATTTGAGCGCCAAAACATTTCCATACCGATTCTTCTTTTCCACTCTCCAAACGACTGTCCTTTGGACAACGGCTATAAAAGTTCGAAGCTAATAGAATCGTTACTTGTCATTCAAAAGCAGCATAAAATTTCGAGTATATTTTCAGCTTAGGCTACCAGTCCAAGAAAAATGACTGCAATCATGCGTTTGTATCCTATCACTATTGGTAACCACGAGGATAGATCTATAATCCAGTCTATCTAGTAACGAAAGAAATTTAATCCCTTTCAAGGTGAATGAAATGATTAAATATTGAAAAATCAAGCTAGCTAGCCCTGTCAACGTGAATGTATCTTTTTTTACACAATAAGCTGGATCAAACAGTTTTATCATTCATTATATTTGTACTTCAATCGAAAACTGCAAAAGAGAACAAACCATTTCATATCCTTTCCACTCCTATGAAGAATATTCTCTTTCTTCTTTCTTTTCATCATCTCATATTCGTTTTTCAATAAAACTTTGACGATTTTCTGGAATTTACTGCTCCGTCGAGTCCAATCAAAAACATGCTTCTTCTTTTTGAAGGGCGTCTTTGAAACTCCACGACATGATTGGCTCTTATTATAGTATTTTTAGGATACAACGAGTTCAAGTGTTAGGGCTCAGAAGACGGTTCAACCCCAATAGCCTCATTCTATCCGTTGTCCTAGTCTGCAATGGTTTCATTCCAATAGGAAACTCTCCAGTCATGCAAGTGTTCTTTATTGTATCTTTTTTCACGAGAATAGTTTTTGCGTTAAGTAGCAAACTCTTCAATCTTCCTTTCATATGACCCTGAACTCTAGAACGTTTTCTTCAGTCCAAACATCATAACGCAATGTCATTGGCCGCTAATTTTAACTATCCTTTTGAGCAACTTTTTTCAGAAATTTAGAGATAGACTTGGTCTCTTTTCTCTTATCAAAATGTGAACTTCCAAACTGATGCCTGTATCTTTGAAAAGTCTGATACAGGGAGATTCAAATTTTTCTCAATGGATAAACATTATAAATAGAGGGTTCTGTTTCCATTCCTTTCATGATCCATCTGAAACCTTGGAAATGCAATCTGAAGGCAAGCGCGAACAACGCAACCGTTTCAGCATCTGGAAAGCTCATCTTTCATGTTATGGCAAGTTTCGTTAAACATTTGTACACTATGGAGGAAAGGCCAATTCTGATAGCTTCCACACTAGTCACACATTGATGACAGCATTTCCCGTATCAACACATTGTTATGCACATAAAACACAACTTGCTGTATTCTTGCTCAAATTTTGAAAAATATTCTTGGTAAGCAAGTCTTCACAATACCACAGCAATGTTGATGTAACTTTTCAACACAAGTCTCCCTACTTGCAGAATCACAGTACACTGTGTTGCAATGATAATCTGAAGCGGCTACTGAAAAAAATTCGCTATACCTCTTCTTTGTTCCATTTTGTCCATGTTTCTCATGAGTCCTATTCGAAAACTGCGTTATGGCATCCACAAGTCTACTAAGCGACTCCGGCTTGAAAGGTCGTCCATGAAGTGAATTGACCAAAGATTGTAACGAACACCGGATAACACATATTCGTGGTTAAAGTTTAACACTTTAATATACGACTGCTTCGAGTAAATTTATAATCGGAACGGAAGGAAGATCGTGTTATACTACAAGTTGTAGTTTTAACGGTTTCGCTTCAATTTTGAAAACGTATCCAGAGTCTCCGCATATTATAATGTCATCGAAAAGGTAGTAGGCTTGTTTCAATTTACAAATAAAGAGTCCGCTGTTATCTTGAAAGCGAATCGACCAGAACAATTAGCCATTTTTTTACTCCAAAATACAACAAAATTGGGTCGACCTAGTCACGTAATTGTATTTCTTTAAATACAGAACTTTCAAAGAAATCATCTGTTTTCAAAGCCATTTGAAGCAACGCCGTAGAGTTGTCTACCGAGACTTTTAAAATATCTTTCAATGTCTAAACTATGTTGCTGTTATTCTGATTTTAAACTTTCCTTGTACAATCAAATGTAAACGAGTTTCAGGAATGGCTTATCCTACTTCTTTCAAGCAAACACATAAAAAGCTTATCCACTTTTACTGTTGATTTCAAATAAAGTTGATCAAATATATCAAATATATTTACAACAGATTTGTTGTCGTATACTTGTTTACGAATACTCATGTGACAAGACTGGGCATGGCAAACCTTTCATATGTCAACTATCTATATCTTCTATATAACAATTGGTTCGTTTCAGTGCTTCATATACATCAGCCAATATATCCTCCCATTTTGCAAAAAGAACCACCGGATGTGCAGTTATAGTGTACTCTTTATGCCTTTTCGCGTGAAAAGGAAAAATACGACGACAAGCTTCTCTTAGTCTCCTTCGTGCCTTGACTCGAGGAACTGCTTTTTTTCCAAAAGACGCCGTAGAAGCAACTATATGTAAATTATAGTCGTCAGCAAGTAGATACCCTCGTCTTGCAGGTGAGCACGGAGGAGAGAAAATACGCTTGGCCTCTAAGCTTCTTACAACCAACGCAAAAGTTGTTAGGCCAGCGTGTGCCTCCACCTTGTTCACTGTTGTGACGCCTCTCCAAAACATATCCCTTCTTTCTCTTGTATGAGGTATCCTTTCACGTCGTTTCTTTTTCGAAGTCGAAACCGACTCTTCACTTGAGGGGTTCACGTGTGCATTTTCTGCAACTCCATTTTGAGCGCGTTCTGGGCTCTTCGTAGATAAGCTATTCTCCGAAAACTTTGGGTGGGAAGTCTTGTCAATCAAATAATCAGTTTTCTCCTTTCTGTTATTTGGATCTGAGGTGGAACATAGAAGTTTGAATAAAGTCAGAAAATTTCCTCTTCTTTGAGTTGTTGTCAAGTCACTGTGCCAAACAACTCTATCAAGGTGGTTTCCAACCCACGAAAGAATACCAACAGCAGGTTGTACTCGGGCGATACCATTACGGTTATTGTAAAAGTTGCTCTTCCAATTAAAGCGAAAAGCTGTTTTCAAAACGTCAAAGCTTTCCTTTCTCCGACAGCTTATTCTTTCACCGCAACTCGAAATAAACAGAGTCCATTTCATCGCAATGCCAACAACTTTACAAGAATTGTATAGCAAGATGTAAGCTATCATTTCAAGAGCAAAAGAGATTAGCAACCATTTTTTAAGACTGCAAAAGTAAATTATTGTTAGCATCCAAGGGAGTGAATACGTATGTCTTCCGAAGCCTTGTCAATCCAGAAAAACTAAAAGAACTCCGAGTTCTTTTGAAGTTGTATTGTTTGACCATTTTCAGTATGCTATATGCATTCACTTTGATTCCTTGCTACCTTAGTGACTACACCCCTTGTTACAAAATCTTGCAAAGAGCAAACCATTTTCTTTATTTTAAGAGTTGAGTGTCACATAGCCGTGATAAAACAATTTAGAAGAAATAGAAATTGAAAATCTTCAAAAGAAATATAGAGGCGATAAATATATTTAGGAAACCATGGCTTGAAAGCGTTTTCGTATGGATAAGATAAATCGAGAAAGGTCCTCATCTCGGTTAAGTTTTTCCAAAAGCACAGTTATATCCTTTACCGGCGGTGTACAGGATTCCACTGCAGAAATCTTAAGAACTATGAGCCAACAAGAAAGATAGAGTTACCTTGGTAATGATCGTTTTCATCTACAAAGATACAAAAAGAATATTCTCTCTCTGGAACCTGTTGATTAATATGAGTAAAGATAAAAGCAATTCTTCCATCTTCTGTTCTTTCCAATCGAAGACCCAAGCAATTTTCATAAGTGCGAATAGCGTTTCGGAGGTTGGCATATTTCTGTTGACTTGTCTCGTTGATTTCAGAAAAAGCTATATGAAAGTTCAAATAGAAGTAAGACAGTGCCTTGCCAATAGCTACCTCGTTGCCGACTCTTTAAAAGCGACGATTGATTTTCCAACTCTTCCTTTAGTTTCGTCTTTTTCTCAGGTATCATTTCTTGCTTTGACTTGAGCTGTGATATACCAGCCATCACCGCCTCTATTTCTTGTTTCTCGCTATCAAGTCGTTCCGATATTTTCTCGGCAGTTTCAAGTAATTGCTTTTCTCTTTGAGCCAAACTCACTGCTTTTTCTATTCAAAGAAGAAATAAGACAAATAAAAGAAAGTAACCTGAAAACAACCTTGCAAGTCCTTTGACATAGTGAAATGACTTTCTTTGATATGGTTGAGGAACCGAAGCTAGACGGAAAGCGAAAGTAAGATACTCATAAACTGAAACAAAAATCTTTAGTACAAACCTGCTCTTCATTCCACTGTTCAAAGTGTTTCCGGGCTTTTTGTAGATATTCATCCAGTTTAACCACCGCAGTAGGATTCATAATTACACACAACAAATATTGAAAATTCAAATTTGTGGAGGGCTTTGAGAGAAGAGCGTTGGATTGCATTGTTGACCAAACGCTTGCTGCTACACAAAATAACGTGGTTGAACTGTTGTTGACATTCTTAAGTTGGAGTTTTACAAATCCCCAATTTTTGTAGCAGAAGAAGGTAGTCTTGGGAGAGTACTGAATCTTTAGACTGAGTAAAGCCTTTCAAGCTATTTTTCTGTGAGTTCCTGTAAAAAAACGTTATAACCCTATAAAGCGATGAGAGCCAAGTCTGAAAAATCTTGGATAGAAAAGATGTTAATTGTCATTTTCTAGTAGGATGTCACTATCGAATATGCTTTCCTTCGCAGTTCAAGGGCTCAATAATTTATGACGTCTTGTTGCTCTATTTATAACTATGAGCGTTTGCTGGAATAGTGTAGCGGGTGAGAAGGCTTTCTACAAGAATCAAGATTCTAGATGTGTTTCATGGAGTTACAGAGAATAGAACGGTCCAAGATAACAATATGGTTCAAAACCATTCTTCAGACATATACGTGTTCTGAAAAGAATTCACAAATTTTCCCCTCTTTCAAATTCTTAAGAAAAAATTCATGATTGTATAGAAGAGGCAACCAACTGTATAAACCAATAGAAACTAAACTGAATAGTGTACATGTAAATAGAGAGACATTTCGAGAAATTGCTATATTTAGAAATCCACTGGACATATTGTCCATTTGGAACAATTGGAATATGCCACGATGCTAATTGCTGATTTGGCCAAATCGAAATTGCGGCGATAAGCGAAGTTGTTGTGCTTTGTGCCTGAAATGAACAAATGAGTTCTTCAAAAGAAAGCAGTGAGCAACTACAAGGTGCAAAAAAGGGACATGTGTACTCTACAGAACAAATGAAGGGTCAGAAACCAGTTGACTGCAAGGGTATTTCTCGTGGTAAATCCCCTAGTTCTGTTCAGGAAATTCCTCAGCAAAAGGCTAAGCAGAACATCTCACAAACTTCAGGCTCGTTTGGTTCTCCAAGTTCTACTGGTAAGGAATACTCCTCAAAGAAGCCACCACCACCGAGTCATGGGTCTGCATTGTTCGGTATATTGCCTGCGTCGTTGTCAAAGTTTTTTGGTTCTGGAGAGAACAAGGGACGTACATCTTCACAGGAGAAACGCAATTCTGAAAGAAGATTCTCAGAGCCTACTTCTCTTTCACCCAAGGAGAGTTATCCTTCCATAGGAAAGAGCACATCGTATCCAGATCAAATACCTCGAGAGACGAAGGATATAACCGAAGTTGAAAGCGGTAAGATAAAAAAAGAGAAGGAAAATTTTGTAAGTAGTGAAAAACAAGTAATTCATAAGGAGGAAAACGATAAGAAAGCTGAGGCAAAGCACAACGACAAAGAAGGAGAAAATACTGCAGCTGATATTTCTACCAAAAGTGGACGTCCTTCAAGATCCAATTCGCTCCCTCCGGAATCTGATCCTTTTTTTCCTCCGAAGCCACAGACTAAAGGATTAACAGCATCGAGATCAATTGATGAGTTCTTGAACAAAATTGCTCGTCCTCGTGGGCAGTCGTTTTCAGAAGGCCGTAAAAGTTTTGATCTAGGTCATACTAGTCAGCGCGTGGGTAGATCCTCCAGTGAAAATACTTCTTCTCGTTCACGTTCGCCTTCTGTGATTGGCAATTTATTAAGCAGAAGTGGAAGCAAGGATTCTAGAATTATCGTTCCCGCAACTGGCGCTCGACAACTACGTCCACATGAGATTAGCCGTCAGAAGTATCTGGAGGTGAGTTGAAAATCAGCATGTTTCTTTGTGGACTAAAGTTTTTGTAAGTGCCTAAAAAAGAAGCTGGTTCCGACAGAATTTGTTTATACCGGACATGCTTCAGAAGTCTTGCTTATGGGAGATTGGCTTGAGTGGGATTCTATTCCTTTGAACTGGGAAGAAGAAAAAGGATGTTTTCGTGTAGTTGTTGATCTTCCTGTCGGTGATCATGAATTTCGTTATATTGTAACTCCAAAACAGGAAAATTCAAATGAAAAGGAGAAAGCTGGAGATGATCTGTGATTGTCATCCTGTAACATTGGTTGTAACTTTAAAAGTTTTGAAACTTCAAATTTGGTTGTATATAACTTTTCTTCCCATATGAGTTGCCCAGAACCATGTATTAGTTTTGTATTTGTAACACCAGGTTTTCGAGAAATGTTTGTTTCTAGTAAATTTAAATCGAAACCAAGTTTCTGTCTTTTTGTAAAGATGTAATGATTTCGAGAGTTTGTTTCTTATTTCGTAAAGTTTCAGTTGTTTTTCAAGTTTGTAGCTTTTGTGTATTCCTTGTTAGATAGTTTATATAAATAAGTTTTTACTTGCAGGACAAACTTTGCAAACTATATTTCAACGTCGTTGAACACATTTTAGGTGTTGTCGAGACTGGACAAAGTGACAGTTGAATTGTAATATGAATAGATGAAAAGCTGTCTTTAAAATTGACACAACATCTCAAATGTCCTTTGGACACCATCGAATCCGTAGAATTTGCCAAGAATTTCCTGTTGATTCATATATCGATTTCACTAAAAGTAATAGTACTTCAGATGACTGGTTGAATAGTGTAAATGTTATTGGTGGATTTTATTATAGTTGTTTCGCAACCTAAAGACTGACAAGCAATGGGAACTTTTTGACTAGTCATCTATTGTCTTGAAAGGCTACCAGCCCTATATTAGTGAAAGGAAATCGCATTTTGTAATTTGCAAATATATACGGAACAGACTGTCAAGGGATAGATGGCTCTTTACGCTGGGGTAATAAAGTAGAAGATATCATTGTGCAAGTGGACAAGTCAACACAAAAAGTAACTATATCTTTGCGACACCAGAAGTCTTGGGGGAATTACAAAAATACGAACAGTCTCAACCTGATTGGTGATTGGTTATCCATTGAGTTTTTTTAGAGAGCAGACTGTGCAAACTAAATGGTCTAAGGGACTCCTGAAGTGTAATTGTTAAAACAATTACATTTCTTGGTGGCTGTTGTTAGTGCGTTGTCGTTGATTTGCATGAGGTTTGGAATTGGTTGAACAGAATATGATGCTCCGAAGATTGGAGATATTTTCATTTTTAACAAGAATGACATTGTTATTAGTATCGCAGCATTCTATCCCTCGGTGTTACAAGTTTCACTACCCCGATGGAGCCAACTTTCGGCATAGACTACATATCAGGTTTTAGTTATCTATGATGAGTGAATTTGGACTATGTTGTTCTAGGACCTTATACACTTTAGCTCCATTTGCCGGATGCCCAAAACATCCCGTATCCTTGGTTTTCATCTTTGACAAGGATATAAAACAGCGACGTGGAGGAAGGAGGATATTAGGAGACCAGTCTATAGAAATAAAAACGTAGATTCAGATTTTGGCGTTGCTCCTGACGCTGTTGTTTGCCAAAAAGATTCCCACTGTGATTCATTGAATATTAAGGTGGAACATTTAGGAGGAAAGCTTATGAATAAATTACTCCTGATGTTTATATGTGATTGTATGGCGTTTGGAATGGGTTGCTTGATGTTTACAAGTGACTCTGCAAGCACAAGCCGTGGATGAATGTCGTTATCTTCTTGATCAATTGGCAATACTTGCACCAATTACGCTAGCATTGACAGCAACAACACCCACAATGAAGGGTTATTTGTTAGATACTGATTCCAGGCGGTACTTTTTAGTATTCATTTTTATCCCGACAAGTGAAGGGTGTGATAGGGGCATCTTTTGATGGTCGTAGAGTGGAAGAAATGCAACAAGATCCTAAAAAGTAGACAACACGATTCGCTTGACTTGTTTGTTCTACAAGGAAGAAAATGATTCCGGGGGCGTTCCAACTATATGGAAGCCCTATTGAATGAAAAATCTTATCGCACATGGTTGGAAAAAAGAGTCAATAAGAAAAATACAAAAACACGTGGTAGGCTTGTTTGTACGAGATCCATTGGTAATTTACGAAGAGTCCTTTGCTGTAGATAATGAACTTTCTACAGTACATTTGAGAACATACAGAGCATCAACTGAAATGCTGTTACACTAAAGCTCGTTTCATCTCTGGTAGGAAATCAAGTTGTTAGAACAATACAATGTCTGATAGGATTCTGCTGCTTCATGGACAACAAAATTTCGATCTATGAAAGTGCAAATAGCAGATGCATTTGCTATATTTACGGATTTGGCGTCCAGAGTTATGATTCCTTTTGATTTGAAGTTATATATGCCTATTTCACTTGTAGAACGGAATTGGAAAATAGGAAAGTTGAGAAATTCTGTTGGACAAGAGACGCTTTACTTTGGAAAACATATATTTGCAGACAAGTCACATGTACCCAATAGCTTCAAAGATGCAAGTGGAAGAACACAAAAGCCTAAGTTTTCATCTTCAGTACGAGAATATTGTATCTCATCTTGCTGTTTTGGCTCAGAATGGGAACTTATGAATATTGATCAGATTATCGTTGGCAAATCTGTCAATGCATCTCACAAGGATCAAGATTTCTCATTTCCTGGGTTGATTTTACTTGTGAAAGGTTATTTGGACGCCATTGATTTGCCAATAGAATGATTTGCACGGGATTGATAATTGTCTATACTGTGTTTCGGACAAAGCCAGAGAAGAGTGGCTGACCACGACAAGCTGAAACAGCAACTTTGTGTTTAATCATAAGCCATATCTTCACGATTCAGTTATTCAGGATGAAATATGTTGTAACTTGTTGAAATTTATACATGATACAACCACTGGCAAACGAATAGAGCCTGAACTTTTGGGGGAAATGCTATCAAAGAAAAGCAAAATGTAACCAAGTCTCCGCAGAAACGTTCCAAGAAAAGAGAAGCAAAGAGGAAAGAGGTTCTACTTTTTTGGGTATTAGAGGCAGTTGTGAATCTTATGGTCATTTTATTAGATGAGAGGTTGGTTGATGTGGATGTATAAGATTTCCCTAGTTTTGCAGATAGGATTTGAAAATTGTACAAATTGTGAAATGAATATTAGCCAGTCTCATATTTCCCAAGTAACTTGTAATTTTTGCTAAAGGAAACTAACCACTTGACACAAACCTTCATTGAAGAGCTTTTCAAAAATTAAATAGTGCTTTATCCAAGTAGTTCCTGTTCTTAACACAGTCTTGAAATTGTTGTTGGATGCATTGAAGAGATAGTTAGAATGCATAGTATGACAAGAAGCGATTTCACAAATACTCCTTTCAAGAGCTGGAACACTATTTTCGGTGTCTTCCGAATTCTAAAGAGAGTGAAAGAAAGAGTGCTGGTCATAGAAACTAGGACTTTCAGAATATCTTCAATACTATGGACTCCCATACCCCAGGTCACTTTTACGCATGAACATAACGATTTAACTAAATTGTGAAAACATCGTTGGAAGTTTTACTTTCAATCTTTTTCTTTGGTTGCCGTGACCACTAAAGTCAGAGTGCAACAAGACCCAAATGTATAAACACAATCTTAACTTCAAATTGACTTTATCATTTGGCGGGATTGCATGTTGTTATAGAGGCACATTTGGAAAGGCTTGACAACTTATTCGGTGGCCTAGAGAAAACTATTTTCTTCTAACTTTGTTCAATGTCTGCAGTGGAAGTCCTGCAAGTAGATGTTTTGAATAATCCTGGTTTCTTTGGAGACCCATTTCGTTTTGAAATAACTTATGAAGTGAGAGAAGCCTTACAACAGGGTTAGTAATAGTTCATACTGTTGCTCTTGTCAATAACTTTTTGTTAACGATATAGACATTGAGTGGAAAGTAATTTATGTCAGTTGTGCTAAGGATGAGAGCTTGGACCAAGTTTTGGATGAAGTGCTACTTCCTGCAGATACCGTGGGTCGCTTTCAGTTTACGTTAGAGGTGTTTATTCGTTTAATTTTCAACTTCCTTTTTCGAGATAGTAACTGTTCACTAGGTAGCAGCACCCAATCCAAACAAAATTCCTGATGACGATTTGTTGGGTATCACAGCCGTGTTGATAACTTGTTCCTATCGTGATCAGGAGTTTATTCGTATTGGATATTATTTGAATAATGAATATGAGGACGCAGAGATGAACGAAAATCCGCCTTGCCCTCCCCTTTTGGAACGTATTCGACGCCATATATTTGCCGAAGAACCTCGAGTTACTCATTTTCTCCATTCTTTTGATTCCAATGATTCTTATTTGGACGAAAACTCATCACACTCGATGGTTCATAGTTATAGCAATCTATTAGATTCTGTAGAAGAAACCCAACATAGCAAGTTGAAAAGTTCTGATATGCCTTCTCAACGAATGAATATGTTTTGAACTTTTCGCAATCAGCAGAAATGTGCTTTGGCATCAACTGAACGAACTATAAACTCTTTGGGAAGAAATCCTTCAGGAACAAAATTCCTAACCGATGGTTTTATTTTAATATGGCCAAGAGAAAATTCCTAACCTTATATATTGCACAAGTCGCTAAAAGATACAAATATAGTTAAAAACAAACATAAGTCCCGTCACTCTTTATTTCATTCGTGCGTTTATTACTTGTTCTTTTTTGCAGAAGAAACTGTGGATATTAAATAGGCAGTCCAAAATATACTAACTATATTTCCAAATAATACGCGCAGTTCCAACGGTATGAAACCATAACTTATCAAGTTAACAGGAATCCACAATAACCAGGCCTTTTTCAGAACTGCTAACAATTGTCTCTTCAGTTTCTTGCTTGTGACTTGACACCCTTCATCGTTCATCAAACCAACGATATAGTAATACAATGCTGTCATGGCAGGTGCAAACACGAATTGGTCCAACACTACTTTTCCAATTACTACTGGAATAGAAGTTTGTCGATAGGAACGAAATATTTTCTTATCCAATAACATATGAAAGAAGTGGACCAACGGAGCTCTGTATTCAATTGTCGAGTGGTTCAAGTCGAATTCCAAAGAAAAGGATACTTACTTACCTTACGGCAAGTCCTATGGTCATCTGATGAATTATCTCACTAGACTTTAATTCACTTCCATTTCCTTGAAATACTCGAGCAGCGATGGTGCTTATACCTGACAGTATGGAAGCAGTGATTGCCTATCAAGCGTCGTCGTGGTTAGTTACTCCCATTCTTCCCCATAAGACTGAATACTTACCTTCGTGACCAAGGGATCAGTTTGTAACTTTCGCAAATACGCCCTCCAAGCAATTGTTAGGATGGAAGAAGGTACTGAAACTGGAATAGTGCCGTCCAAAGAGTTTTTAACCTCTACCCACAACTTATAAGTGTTTTCCATCAAGACAGACAAGCAACTTTGTCAATCCGCGAAAGATAGAAATGAGACGTGGGTATTTCTTCTGTCCATTTGGATATTTTCATCTTTGCTTCAAAAACTGATCATTGTGTCGTAGGAAACAACATAAGCAAGTTTTTTACAGCAATATTGTCAAAATATGTTTCTATAGGAATGCTGATATGTGTATATAATCCAACGAGTAGCTGTCGTCTTTTCTCAAGATATATTGCAAGGGCAATGATGGAAAGTGACCAAAGAATATTCGAAAGAGTTATTGCATTGACCCAAACAATTCTATTCAGTCTCTATCTTTGAAGCACCATTTTCTAAATAGAGATGCTATTGAATATGCTGTGGCCCTCAATTACAACAAAGGAACTATAACAACTCTCCACAACTGTTTCAAACACAGAAGGAGAAATACAACTAGCAGAATGACAAGTTAATTTGAAATTTCAACTATGCTTAGATATTTGAAGTCATGGCTTCGATAAAAAAACACAATTCTGTAACGAACTCTTTTGAAAAGTTCCCTCAATAACTATTTATGAGATACTGCATATGCACTTTCCTTTGCCTTTTGTGCAATGATTCCTTTCGAAACACACAACTCTGCGTTGATAACCGAACCTCCTGCCGCTCCGACAACCGTATTGTGTCCAAATAAAACCAACTTGATGTCTAAAACTGAACATTCTCTAACTCTTCCTACCGTTACTGTAAACCCTAAAATGCTATAAGAGACTTGACAGAATAAATTCAGTTTTACAAACCATTTCCTGTATGACGGTCCAACCGAGGCTGTGGACGATCTATCCAGTCCGTGTAGACGACATCTCGTTCAGGAGATGATGGAAGCTTTAGAGAACGAGTAAAAGATGGAAAATGGTCAATGGAATGTATGACCTCATCAGGCGTTGCTCTAGTCTTCAATTTCAAAGACACGCATTCCGTATGTCCGTCCAACACATGTACCCGGTTGCACATTGCAGACACTTGAATAGAAGCTGGAACAATCTTTTCCATTTCCAACTGTCCGAAAATCTTCAAAGACTCCGATTCCATCTTTGGTTCTTCTCCACCAATAAATGGAACCACATTGTCAATAATATCCATCGAAGGAAGACCAGGATATCCAGCACCAGAAATTGCCTAATAATAAGCATATATAGAATTGAAAAATGGATCAATTACCTGCATAGTTGTCACAATCAAGGCTTCAATACCAAATCGATCTAAAATAGGCTTGAGACCCAAACACATAGCAGTGGTGCTACAATTGGCATTGGTTACTATAAAACCCTTGTCCCAACCTCGCCTTTGCCTTTGATAATCAATTAATCCTATATGATTTGCATTAACTGCAGGGATAAGTATGGGAACATCCGGATCCATCCTGTGATTTTTGGCATTAGAAAAGACAGCCTAAAATAAAAATATAAAGCTGTTCACAATACAATTTGTTCAAGTACCTTTCCAGCTGCTGCAAATTCTTCTTCAATATCTCCAGCTACTTCATTACTCAGTCCCGAAAAGACAATGTCGACGTCAGGAAATTGAGAGGCTTTGCACTCTCTGATCTCCATGTTCTTTACATAACTAAAAAACTGAGAAAGAATGACTAAAGTTTATAAATGAATACATACTTTGGTAAGGGAGTGGATTGTTTCCAGCGACAAGCTTGTGAATATTTTTGTCCAGCTGAACGAGAAGAGGCACCGATGGCTACCACTTCAAACCACGGGTGATCTTCCAATAGTTGAATAAACCTTTGTCCTACTGAGCCTGTGCAACCAAGGACAGCAACTTTATATCGGGGGTTAGGCGAAAAGCTCATTTGCAACTTGGAAGATGAGGGGAGTTGCTTCGATCTACCTGCCGTTCCTATCCAGCGAATATCAACGCAAACCCTCATACCATTAACAAAAGAGTTTGGCGTGGCCAGCAAGCTAGTGTTATTAGAAATGTTGAGCTTCTTACAAGCTTCCTTTTGTCCAAAAGAACGCGGTCTTGTCAAGGTACACGAGTTTGTGAAGGCCAAAGACATTGCTCAATTGGTTGATCTTATGAAATAGAAAGGAATAGATTACAATTTGACAATAATTAAGAGCAAATTTTTGTATAGCAAAACTTTATCCAACATTGAGGGACTTGTGATATCTATCCGACTACTTGTCAACACTCTCCTCTCTTGTAGTTCGAATCTTTTCTACTTTCTCCGGTAAAAGGTTCAACAGATATTCAAAAACTTGCGATGCCTCAGTTATTCTTTGCAATTCACTCGTATCCACTTTGGGACGATTAACCGCTACCCGATATGCCACACGATGTTCAAACGGACTACAACCTTCCAACAATATGCCCACAACTTTGCTCGATAATTCTATCCATAAAGTAACCATCTTACTAGGCACATAACCCCAAACAAACGCAGTACCAGAGCTATCTCCATAAAAGTTCCAACAAAGATCAAACATACGTGAATAATAAAAAGGAACATAATCATATGTTGTATCTACTGCAGCTCGAAAAATAGATAATCGAGGATCATCTCGATGCTTCGTATTTCCGTAGGGATTTCCATGTAAAATATCTAAAATAGCTGAAGCAGCACTCTTCCTACTGTGGTCCACGTGTTCAATTCTAACTGGACGATTGGAATAGGCCTTGAGAGGAAAAGAAGCAACGTCTCCAACAGCATAAATATCAGGAAATCCAACACATTGCAAGCGATGATTCACTTCAATTCCTCCATTCTGCAATTGAAGCTGACCTTGAAAAAGTTCTGTGTTGGGTATTGCACCAATACATACGATAAAAAAGTCTCCAGAAACTTTCCGGCCATCTTGAAAGCGAACTGCAGAAGCAAAACCATCATTTCGCTCATAGAAGTTTTCCACAAAACAGTTGCTTAGCAACTCTACTCCTTTGTCTCTGAAAACTTGTTCATATTGTTTGGCGACTTGTGCAGGAAACAGTTTATTCAATAAATAGTCACCAGGATAAGCCATCGTCACTTGAATATTATTTGAAACCAAGCACGAAGTAATCTCCATCGCAAGATAGCCACCTCCTATGACAACTGCCTTTCCTTGTCCTTTCAACTCATCGATCCAGTTTCGAACAATATTAGCGTCCTCAATATTCCTTAAGTAAAGAATACCGTCCAGGTTACTAAAGGGTACTTGAGAAGGAGAATATTTTCTAGCTCGACAGCCAGTAGCTATAATCAGCTTTTCATAATGAAATATATGACCGTTTTCACTGATTATCTTTTTGGTGGATACATCCACTTGCTGGGCTCGAGTATTCAGGTAGAGAGCGACTCCATGTTCTTCATACCATTTCTCATCTTGAGGTAACTGAGCTATTGCCTAAGGAAACGCAATAAAATATCTTTCCGTCAGTTTCCAAAATTACAACTGAATAGACTAACCTACTGCACAAGTATAGAACTCACTAGGCTCCATACGAATATCAGGATCCATAAACCCCTTAGAAAGAGAAGGTCTTTCATAAGGTGGCACAGGTTCTTCCGATAGGACGGCAAGTTGGTTAGATTCGCCTCCCATACGAACATAAGAAAAAGCAGCATATCCAGCTACGAAATATTATTTTTATAGTCAACAAAAAGGTTCAACATCTCACCAGCAACGCCTCCTCCTAAGACGATAATCTGATAATTCTTTGACTCCAGGCAACAATATAGAAGAAAGGATATTTTTCTAACCAAAAGGAATCTTTTTCATCTGTCTTGATCTAATATATTCAGGAGCAACATACCGATTGGAATTCTTCGCAAAGCTACGATAAACGGGTTTTGACCACGATAGGCTATTCCAGTTCGGAGTTTGCCAAAAGCCAAGCCCATAATCTTCTTTTAAAATCTTCGGTTTGTATGCACAACAATGTCGATAATAGTGTAAGGGTTTTCTACTTTGCAAACAAATATTGTTTTGGATACACCACGGCTGCAGAAAAGCAGGCAACCGACCAATATCTGCCATTTTATCCTTTAATAAATCAAAATGGAAGAAATGTGAAGCGGTTTGAAACGATATGAACGATGAAGGAACGAGCGACTCGTATGAAGGGAAGAACAAAGAGCAAGACGTCTTTTCTCATGGTCAACAAGGAAACCTTTCTCAAAGCGAAATTTTTTGTAGTATTTGTATGGAGAAATTTACAGAGTCTGGTAATCACTACATTTGTTGCTTGAGTTGTGGGCACATCTTTGGGTATAGTTGCATAACAAAGTGGTTGAAGACCCGACTTATTTGTCCAACTTGTAATCAGAAAGCCAAAAAGAGGGACGTTCGAAGAATTTATCTACCTCATACGTCAATAGTTATGCAAGACACTACGGCTCTAGAGGAATTGAAGCAACAGTGGCAAAAAGAAATAGATAATAAGGAACTGCTTTCTAACGAATTATGTATTACGAAGAATCAACTGAAACGTTTGGAGACTTCTTTCGCATATTTGACTCAGCGATACTATGAACTGACTCGTGAATATCAAACTCTAAGTCAATCTGTACGTAACAGTGACTTTGTAACAAAGAAGAGTGTAGGGAAGTTTCCGTTGCAGTTAGTAAGAACTCTGTCTTTAAAGAATTCGCGAACTTTTGTTTTTGGAAAAGGTACGAGTATCTATTCCGGTTACAAGGAAGATTCTACGCACGAATATTTGCAGCAAGTGAGTTTCTGGAGTGATCACAAAAGTGTATCCAAGCACGCCATTCATGAGTCCAGTATTCGTGACATTAGGTATTTGAATCCTCAAAGTTCTGGTCTCCATAGTTATGGTTTGCTGCTCACTTGTTCAAACGACAAAACTCTCAAAATAGTATGTCCGCAGAATATGAATGTAGTTCTTTCTTATTCACTAGAGAATGTGGGTTGGTGTTGTGACTGGTCAGCGAATGGCCTTTACATGGCATGTGGAATGAAGAATGGCAATGTAGTTATTTATGATATTCGAAAAACAGATGGCTATTTGGATTCCACCAAACTAAGTAATTGTAAAGGAATTCATTCTGTTTTTTGGTTGACTAGTACATCATTGATAGCAGGTGGTATGGATGGAGTATATTATGTAGATATGGCAACAAATCGAAATGGTATTTACTATCAAGAGAATATATTGCAATTGGACGAGAAGCAACAAGACAAACCGATATTTGCAACTTGCCTTGAAGAAATGCCATCCGAAGGAAATCGATCAATGAAGTCGTTGATTGTATCTTATCGTTCCAGCCGTTCACCTACTAGCCACGTTATTTACAGTAGCAATGTAGTTCGTCCTGGAAGCTCTGCCTGTTTATTCAGTTATCCTCAAAGATTTACACAACTTGTTGGCGGTAAGAATCATTTATTGCTGTCCCGAACCTTGGGAGTTTGTTGGAAGGACCGTCATTACTTCTTCACTGCGGATGAAAGTTTTCGAGGAAGTTCCCTATTATGGGAATGGAAGTCTGATAATCACTCCTTACAAGTTATTCCAGAAACGTTTCCAACTTGTCATTCTTCTCCAATCTATGATGTTCGTTGGAATCGGGGTTTGATAGATGATGTTCCTGATCAAGCACTCATGGGCACATTAAGTAAAGAGGAGCTACACATCTACAAATGGTAAAGTCAAATTTTAAGGTCAACACTGTGAAGGAAACCAGTTTCCTGCAAAGTGAAAACCAAATTGGGAGACAAGAAAGCAACGTACATTGTCTCTCGTTGTTAATTGAAATGTATTGAATTGAAATCATCAAAAAATTTTGCCAATATTTTACTTAATTCATACGACTCTATTGCAATAATATGGTTTCTTCGTTGTTGTTCATAAACTGATGTTCTAATGTTATTAATGTACTTATATAGGCGTGTCTTTTAGTTGGCCAACTTTTAAAAGGTTCAATTTCTCAATGGCTACATTTTCCTAAAATATCTATAAAGTTACAAGGACATCACTTCTTGGATGCATAGCAATGAGATGAAGTGTTCCTAATTATCAAATAAATTTTATCATAAAAGTACGCATTTGTGGGATTATTCATGGGATTAAAACTTTTGTTCTTCCATCTTGAATGTAACATTTCTGTTGTTTCATATCGAGAATGACCATAGAGAATGAATGCATCAAGGTCATGAATAAAGAGTGTAAATGGACACGCTTCTCTACTGGTGGATCGACAAGACTTGCTATCTGAGTAGATAGTCATAAATACCTTTGCTCTTTTCAACGAGAAACCCATCAAGCTGTGAAAACATCAAATGGTCTATCAAAGTAACTGGAACAAATATAAAATGACTTTGCATTCTGATCTTCTTTTAAATTGATCCTAATACTCCAAGTCAACAGTATCAAACGAGATACAATCCATTTTTCTACAATTTAGATTCTTCATTGAGAAATATTGTAGCTCCATCACTGAAGAGATAGTTAAGATACATAAGAACACTAAAACCGTCAAGGAGCTAGTCTCAGTCCTGCACAAAATGCAGCCGTAAAGGGCATCTTATACAGTAGAATATCCATTATACTCTCTGCTGCTGACTTGTCCAAAACTGGGATAATGTCTCGACTCAACTTATTCCAGTGAATTGTAACCCAGCCCTTGTAAGCCATCAATTGTAAGACTAGTACTTCTGTGCCAATCAAAAATAAAGCAAAACGTCCTATTCTGCGAAGAGAATAACCTGTAGCTAGACCTAAGAGTGTACCCACTGAAAGTTGCTGTCCAACAGGTTGAACAAATTCTTTATACAGCGATCTTCTAACACTTGTCCAATCGTTTCTCTTTATTTTATATTCTCTGGTTAGCTCTTCTCCATATTGGTGACTTTCGGATAACAGGGAGTTGGAATCCTTCTCGAACTTTGACTGGGATTGAGACTCTTCCAATACTGATTGTGCTACAAAAGAAGGTATAGGATGTGATTCTCGTTGACTATGGATTGTTGCACAAGTTTGATTGGTACGTAAGAAACAACTAAAGAGATCGTGGGGAATCTTCCGGTCCGCAGCCACTGCGTTGTCTCGCAAACAATTCATTTCGTTTTGTCTAGTTGTATTGAGCAAAAGGTAAGATTTGTCCTTGTTTTTGAGTATTTTCCATGTTTTTGAGCTTTCTCTGGAGTAAATTTTCAAGTGTGTTTCTTTCTTTTTCTGAAGCAAGTTGGAAACTTCATCCCACATATGTTGGAACATATCGATTCAGATTCGAACAACAATTCAATAGGGATTGAACTTGTCTGAAGAATTGCATTTCTTCCAATTCCACAACTTTGGAGAAAATGTCGAATAGACCTACATATTTCTTGTAGCAGATACGTACCATAAGTAAAAGAATCTACAATAATGTTTTCGATGAATAGAAAGAGAATTCTTGTTTCACTTAGGAAGCTTGATGCTAATACATATCATTATTATCAAACTTCATGTCGATTTGAGATAAATGAAACCAAATAAACCAGTAAAAAGGAATCTCAAATAGGCATTATATGACTTGATATCCAAAACCACTTGTTGCAAATAAATTTCAGAGTACAACGCAATTTCCTATTAAACTATCCAACATGGAAAATCCAAACAATTAAGTCTTATTGGATGTACAATCGGACTCTCGAGTGGGTCCAAAGTTCCTCTGCGCCTCAAGTGTGCAAACGACAAGTGACTACCTTATTTTAGGAAGACTTTGTTTTCAAAGACGCGTGTAATGTTGAATATGGAACCAGAAGTAAAAAAGCTGACCGTCAATTCAACCCCGTCACTCCGTAGACTACTGTATGACATATGGACGTATATTTTATTGTATCTGGACGCCTATTGGCAACAGTTAAGACAAGGACATAGTGACTTGTTATTCCATTTAGGTGTAGAGTCTTTCTTCATCATTATTATTTTATACCTTTGGTTTCAAAAGAGCTACGAGCCAAAGAGAAGAAGAGAAAGACTTACAGAAAAAGAAATCGACAACTTGGTAAACGAATGGAAGCCGGAACCCCTTGTACCTAAAAGGCAGTTGTCACGAAGAGTGAGAGAATATCTGTTTGAGAACGATACTTATAAAAGTCTTCCCTCGGAGATTGAAGAGCTGTTAGTTGCAGAGCACTTGGAGAGAGAAAGTTACTTACCGTCACCGAGAGAAGTGTTAAGATTACAAAGCGCTCCTACTGCTTACTGCGTGGTGAATGGTAAGAAAGTTATCAACTTGGGAACTTGCAATTTCTTGGGGTTTGCGGAAGATGACACTATCAAACAAGCTTGTGCAGAGGTTCTGAAACGTTATGGTTGTGGTTCCTGTGGTCCTCGTGGCTTTTATGGAAATTTAGACGTACACATCGAGGCAGAACATAGAATCGCAGAGTTTATGAAGGCACCTGCAGCGGTTTTGTATTCTTTTGGAAGTGCAACTTGTTCCAGTGTGATACCTGCTTTTTCGAAGCGGGGTGATCTGATTATATGCGATGAAGCAGCAAGTTATTTCATTCAGACAGGTATTTCGTTATCGAGAGCTTCAGTCAAGTGGTTTCCACACAATGACATGTCGGCACTAGAGAAGATATTAGCGGAAGTTGTTACGAACGATCCAATATCTGGTAAAATAACGCAAAGAAGGTTTATCATTGTGGAAGGAATATCAAGCAAGTTTGCAGATATGACACCTCTGGATAAAGTAGTAGAGCTAAAGAATCGATATCGTTTTCGTTTGATTGTTGATGAAAGTTATTCTCTGGGTGTTTTAGGCAAAACAGGCCGTGGAGCTTTGGAGTATTTTGGTTTAGAATCAACCGATGCAGATATCGTTCTTGCTGACTTGGGAAATGCTATTGCAACAGTTGGTGGATTCTGTTGTAGTAGTCAGGAAGTAGCCAATCATCAAAGGTTATCTAGTGCCGGTTATTGCTTTTCAGCGTCACAACCTCCTTTTCTGGCAAAAGCTTGTACAGTTGCTTTAGAAAAGTTACAAAATGAGTGTTCAGAAAGATTAAGTCAGCTACAAGAGAATATTGAATGTTTTCAAGCAGCTTTGGGAACTTTGGACGGTATTCGTATATCTAGCCATCCGAAAAGCCCTATCGTTTTCTTACGTTTGGATAAAAGTCTGGGAAGTTATACGATGGATGAGCAATGGATGATGAAGTTGCAAGAAGCATTGTGGAGTGAAGGAGTTTTTGTGAGTGTCCCTCAGTATTTGGCAAATGAGCATATTCGACCTTCTCCAGGTTTAAGGCTTTGTATTTCAAGCAATCACTCGAGGAAGGTTTTAAAAACTGCCGCTGAAAAGATCCGCAAGACGGTTGCTAAACTACTTTTTCCTTCTAAACATGTCTCACCGCTTAAGATTCCATAGCTGTTTCTTATGAATAAGATTAGTGTGACTTGGCAGTGTATATCTTTTGTAGTTTTTCAAAGTATCTCGTTCGTATGACTACGCGAACTTATTGAAGCTCATATTCGGTCACAGGGAATACATAAAACAACCAACACTAAGAGTGAAAGCATAATAGTGAAAATTTCAACTTTACATATTCTAAAGCTTCTTTTGTTCAACAACATACTTTACAACCCCCTCATAACACCTGACTTATAAGTTTCCCCCGATCAACTCGATTTCAAAAGACATAAGTTGTCTCGCAAAATGGTTTGATATTTCTAACGCATAGAAAGCACTAAAGTCCAATTCTGATAGTCCTGAACATAATGAATTTTCAGAAAAACACCTCAAAATCCGAAATCAACCTATACCCAAACCTGCCAATATTTTCTTAGACTGTTGGGTCCACGACGAGTGCAAACAACGTGTCTTTGCACTCTTCTGAAACAAAGGTAAACGGAAAATATAGTCACCTAGAGTGAAATAACCGATTCTACCTGAATTCACGAGACAACAGTTATTCAAGACGAACACTGTTCAAATAGAACTGAGAGTTACCAAATATGTCTCTTACACAGGCCCTCTTCCATTCCAACAGAGACTGTAGTTGCAATTTAGCTCTGCAATATGCTGCAACTTTATACTCTTCCGGAGAAAAGACACTCAAATGAAAGTTTCTTTCCCTCAATAAGATAGGACAAGTGCCTTTTGCAGGAGAATGCGAACGATCTGAATGCATTTCTGATGATCACGAATGTGGATAAATGTTTGCCAATGGAAAGAATGGTCGATACTCATATGCAGTTGGGATAATTCGAACTTGGTTTTATGTAAATTTGGTGAGACGAATGGTTCACTACTCAGACTCTTCTGTATGAGGCCCTCTCCATATTAAAGTTCCATTCTGAATTCAAGAAAGTTTGTACTTTGCCTAGAATAGCACGAAGCCTTGGATGAAATCACTCGAATTGCAAATGAAGAAAATTCTGCAACATCCAATTCCTTGATAAAACACTTGCCAAAAACTTAAAATTGTTGAAAATCGCTTTGCTTCACAATGCTACTCTCACACAGGGAGAAATTTTATGTGTTGCTAAAAAAATAGCGTATGAAGCAACGATTAATGAACGCGTCACTTTAAAACATACTCATACGATCTTTGAACTGCCTCCATTATAGCTGGATAGAATAAACTAAACCACTTCCATAAAAGTGACACAAGTTAAAGAGCTAGATAACTTGAAACCAAGATCTTTCTACACAAGCCTTTGCTACCGAGTCTATAATCCTCCTGTTCTTTTCTTCAGACGAAGAAACTCATAGCCAAAGCCTGGAGGTCCATAGCTCATTCCTTTAGCTGACTCTAAACTTCTGTCACGAGAATGACAAGTTTCTGTTATGCAATTCAACTCTTCTTTCAAAGGTGAAAGACGAGGAGCAGGCTTCTGACGGTATTTATCTTCTTTCAAAGTATGAATTGACTTCTTCGAAATGGTAGAAGAAGAATCCGCAAAACTTGTTGGTACGCCTGTTTTTTCTGAATGATTTGGAGGTCTATTTACCTGCTCCCTACGATTCTGGTCCAAAGAATTTTTTCGCAGTTTCTTAGGTATTTGAAATTCTTTGACTTCACGAGGAATCGAGTCCAAAGAGATGGAGGCCTCATAAACACCATCCTGTTTCATAACGTCCGAGGACTCAAGTCTGCAATGTTGAACTCCTCTTCTACGTTCGATTTGTAATAGTGTATTTTGAAGAAACCGAATACGATTTTCGCGCTTTGTTTGTAACAATCGTTCGTTGTGCTTCTCATCTCCATCACCAGTTAACCAATTTCTACACTTGGGAGCTCCACAATAACAACGAACGCTTTCCTCCCCTACGCCCTTTCGATCAACATTATAGTCAAATACAAGTTCGGTTCCAGCTTCAATATCTGCGAAAGAGATGATTGCAATAAATAAAATTTCCACATAAGATACTCTTATACCCATCTTACCTTGAGATGCAAAGATACCTACACATGGCTCTCCCAAAACTGTCCATTTTTCCGTATGACAATTAGGTTGACAAGAATGATTGATAAATCTTGCCATATTAGACTTTCGAGAGGCATCTATCATATGATCGCTATCCAAACTCATGAAATAGAAATGTCTTTCTCCAGCATAACGCCTCTTTCGACGTTCGTATTCTTCCGTGTCGATCACTTCTCCTTGATACCTAATAACCAATTCGTAAAGATTGAAAATATATATATATATATATATATATATATATATATATATATATATATGCTTACTTACTCTATAATAAAAGTTCCCTTTGGCAAAAATTCTGCAGCCTTCAGACCCCAACCACGTTCTCCTGCCTGAAATAGTTTCACGCGTGCGTATTCACATTTCTGAAAACGTTGATTTTGGCATTTACTACCAGTACGACAATATTCAGGATGACATTCCGTAAAAGAGACTCGATTCAGACAAGAAGAATCCATACAACACGGTAAATCAGCTACTGACGAACAGTGGCAAATCATAACCTAAACAAATTGAAATCCAAACCTAAAACCTGGTATTGAATAATTCTTACCTTATCCATTTCACCTTTTCCTCGAATAGGACCAATGTAATCACATATGTACTCATTTCTTTTCAACCTAACAAAAGGCGCAGGCTTGGAATCATTCCCATTCAGACGCATAAGTTCGGATTCGAGAGTGTACTTTGCAAAATCTTGCAATTCCTCCAAAATACATGAGAATTCCATGGGCTTCATTCTTCCAGCTTGTTGGCAAATGGCATCGTAATAGCGGTACAGAGAAATTGGTTTCTTACTTTTAGATGATGGTTCCTTCTCATTTGTCTCTGATAAGCATGGTGATGAAAGTTTGAAATTATCCAAATCTGAAGCAAAGTCATCAAATCCTGTGTCATTTGACCTCTTTTCACCATTTCCTGCTCGAAAACTTTCAAACAAAATATAGACTATATGATAACGACGACATTCATCATTGGTAACCATACTGCGATTTACTTCAAGCGGCAGCTTATATAAAACACGACCTAACTTCTCCAAACTTCTTTGACTTGTGAAGTGGTTTGCTAAAATATGTCGGAATATAGAATGTCCTATATTTGAAACTCCCAACAGACTCAAAAACTGAAATATGAAACAAAGTACTTCTCCTTTTCGATCATAGCTACTATTAGACAATTCATGGTGCTGATCTGCCTCCGAAAAGGAATCGATGTTATTGTATTCAAATAACATCGAAAAAGTAAACTGAACTAAATTTACCATTGCTGAAACAAATGATACTAAATATTCATTTTTTGTCAATAGTCTTTCAAAGATAGATGTTTGACTGAGAACCAAATATATCACTCGAAGGCGCAAATAATGTAAAGAGTTGGAGAAGAAACTTTTACGAGTTTTTGATGAAATTTCAGATAACCAGTTACTTAAATGAGGCAGTAGTTTATCATTCCAAGGAGAACATGCTTCATCTTCCAAGGAAAAGTCTGGCTTAAGAAATTCAGAGACAAAAATCTTTTGTAACAATTCAACAGCCATTAAGTCTATATTTGCATACCTACAGAATACGTCAATGCACTGCGCCTTTTGAAAACAAATGGTTACCTTTTCAACAAGGGCTCCAGAACATATTCATAAAAACTCTTTTCTTGCAAGAATGCTTGGAAAGCTTCATCAAGGAATTGACTTTCACAAATATTGCTTGCAAAGCATAGCGTCCAAAATTCAATGGCTACTTCTCGTATCCTGCTGAAAAAGTGTCTCATATTGTTCTTCTTTGCAACATCTTGTAAAATTACCAAAAATTGACTCTACAACATAATCAGTGCAGTTGGTTGTAAAGACAAAAAGCAACTCACGAAAAGAGGTAAATTCTCAAAAAAGCACCATTCCTCACAAATATAGCAATACCAGTCTGATGGCTCAAATGTGTGACTGTTGTGATAATTATGTTCGAATTGCAGTAAATTGTTTAAAACAATGAAACCATTAAGAGCATTCAAAACATGATTCTCAAGAGAAATTTCTTCATCTTGCTCATTAAGATGGTGGCTCCTTCCTATTTCCTCAAGACATTGATGAATAAGATATTTGATAAAGTAAAAAATACGGCCAAGAAATTCTAACACGATGAGAAACAAAAGCTGCATATCAGAATCAACTAAATACCTCGGTTTGCCAGCATATAAATAGCAAGGTGCTCTGTTTCTTTAATAGAACCATCAAAAAGACTGGTCAAGGAAGCCAAAAACTCGCAAAACACATCCAAGTCAGGAGGTTCCGGAACGGTATCCTTGTACAAGTTTGTAATCGAAACTCCATTATTTTGGCTATCTCCACCATTAGATTTGGTTAAGTAGTATATAAAAGAAGCATCCAAGTACACTTCCAAAGGAAATTTAGCAAGAGCACCCAGATGAAGGAAAACTTTCTTTCTAGAATGATTGAAATGCAGCAACTTTGCCAAATTTTTATAATCGAGGTCTAACTCAGAAAAGGCTTTTTTAACCGAAACATCTTAGTTTGGAGAGAGAAAGAGTTAGGTCAGCATCTTCACAAAAGTTTTGAAAACTCTTACCTTTGACATTTTTGGAGTCAAGAATAGCTGCTTCAACAAAGTCTCCGACAGAAATAACTTTCAAGTTCTCCTGTGGCCATTTGAACGTCTTGATGACGTTAAAATCGTTTCGAGCTTTAATTTTCATAGTAGCGGGATAAAGTTTGAACACGACCCATCTCGTTTCCTTTCCGTTTCTCTCCATTTCTACAAAGACAGTTCCAACGGTTGGAAGAACAAGAGATTCCTTTCCTTCAGCACCAAAACTCTGTTGCAAAATATCTGAAACAGCATATACTGGAAAATGGGAAGTTTGGAGGGAAACAGCAAACATTCTTCGTCTCTTCTGAACTTTGTGAACTGAACGGCAAATCTGCTTATTTTGTCGTATTTTGGTGTATTCTATTGTCCAATAGTTCAAGTCCACGTGATCTTTCCAGTTGATATCGCTTCTATTCACTTCTTCTAGACCAGCAGCGTCAACCTGTTTCATGATCGGTGAATTGACATGCAATTCAAATTATTAAGTTTTATTTACATCAACTCTGAATGTTATGCGATCATCAAAGATATGGAGCTCTTTTCACTTCAGCATTTGGATATTGTTTACGAAGTGTTTTTAAAGCCAGTTCTTCTGTCTCAATCTTTTTGAAAGGCTTTACCATTACCTAGTTAAAGGTTAGCGGGAAAGTTACTCGGATTCATTTGACTTCTTACGGGTTCTTCCGAAGGAAGTTTTTTCCAGATTCTAGAAGAGGAAGGTGAAAAAGAGCTTGGAGATAGGCTTCTACTGAAATAAAACTTTCTCTTCTCTTCTTCATCAATAATTTCGCGGAATGAAGTTGGTTCATTCCTGTTTTTCTTCTCTTCACCCCAGGAAGGACTCGATACCACAATCTACGGAACAAGTTAGAGATGGCAAAAAAATTAAACATACAACAATATTACTGGTTCCGAATCACTTAAACGGACTTCCCGAGATGGAATGAATATACTCGGACTGGACTTTTGTAAGTATCTTCCTTTCCTAGCAGATAGAGTACATTCAATTTCTCCAGAAGAGTTCCCTGACCTGTTCAAAGCTTCCTTATGTGCAATACAGAGAGACGACCATTCATCTTTATACATTTCCCTGAACTGCTCTATCTGGATGGTCTTCAATGAAGAAGTAGGAAACCTCTCAAATGATTCAACTTTCCAGCAAGTCTTTCTTTTCTCGTCTTCCAACTGAACAGCATCTTTGAAGGACATTTTCACAGAGGAGAACTTGCTCGGAGAAAGCAGCCCGTCTTTCCTTTCAAATGACACCGGTTCACGGTGGAAAATGGTAGATGAACACAAAAGTTTCATATTTTCACGTCTTTTAAAAGATGAAAAATTTCGATGGCTTCTTTCATGACAAATTGGAGAACACTGGTCTTCATGCACACTTGAATTGGCAGGCTCTGTGCCATCTCTCCGAATAAAATGACTATCTTGTATCTCAGAAGTCTCTCCGCTGCCAGCCAACGATGTCTTTGTGACATTTGCTGATGGCTCGTTGCATTGTTCGGTTGGTGATATATGTTTCAAACTTTCCTTGTTTGTCATACGAGTCGAATTGAAACATAATCTAGGATTCGGACTATCTACCGGATTTTTGGAACTTTTCCCTATGGCCGGGACATTAATATCCTTCTTAAATATTTTCCTCCAATGACGTTCGAGAAGTGTGACCAATTCAAATTCCATATTTGCGAAAGTCTGAGGAAAAATACACAATATGGTATCCAAGCACTGAACAAGAAAGTTCAGACAAGACTGCACCACACGTTCATTTCCAAGTTTAAAAGCAATTGACAACATAGGTAACGCCGAAGCCAACGAAATTGATGACTCCAACTTGCTCTCACACAATTCTTGTAATGCTGGTGCTACGTCTCCTTTACGGTTCAAACTATTGTTCAAAAGAGGTACCCTAATTCCGGCAAAGCCATGTCTGTCTGAAAAAGTTATAAAAGCAACGTTTCGAAGATCGCTCTTTATAGTCATCTTTGGCACTTTATCTTCCAATGACCAAGCTATAACTCGACCATAAAAATCAAGTCCAAGACAATGAAAGTCTTGGCAAACCAAGTCGGCCAATAAAATTTTCCGAGTCCAACTTGTTCTTGTTGCGACGGAACAACATTTGTTATTTTGCGTTCTGTTCGAAATGTAAAATTCATAGAGTTGACCATTCTCCGTTAATATCAACAGACAACTCTTCTTCATCAAAAAAACAACTTTCTTTGCTTTTATCTTTCTTTCCCTTCTCTTTCTGGTACATGCAACTTTCTCTTGAAGACCAATTCTGCATGGACTTCCGTTACCGTTTCCCCAAAAGAATACTCTACCTTGTGAGTCAATAGCCACCGAAATACCACAATCTACATAAACACTCTTGCAAATAATATTCTTCAAGGATGAAACGAGTCTAGGAGTATTTGTAAATTTGACACAGGAGTATTCAATTCCAAGTTGCTCAAGATTGTTGTTTCCCCAACAGAATACAGAACCATCTTTAGTAACGACTGCCGTGTGAGACGAACAAAAAGAGAAATCTACGACTGTGAGACTGCGTAGAGGTCCTTGTACTTTTTCAGGCTGGAGAACACCATCTCCCCATAAATATAAGACTCCATCATTACTCAAAGCTCCCGAACGATTTCCGTATGCCAATACTCTAGAAAAACCAAAATTAGACTCTGATGGAAGACTAGTATCAAGTTGAGAAGCACATTTTTGATTTTTTGTCATCATTCGCGAAAGGAAAGGAACTTGTTGCGGCAACATGCGAGGTTCATTATCACCTAAACCTAATCTACCGTCCTTTCCGACTCCAACCGAAAGTACAGTCCCATTCTTTGACAAAAACAAAGAGTGCCGGCTTGATGTTGAAATGGAACTAACACCAGCGATTCCTTCAACTTGAGAAACAGAACTTTGCCATTCCAGAGGCCTCGGGACTCTTTCAAAACTATTGCTTCCTGTGCCTAACTCAAAATCTTCGTTTGAACCAAAGACCACTATCATTCCGACGTTGCAAACAAGCGTGGAATCCGCAACTTCTGCTCTGGTTGGATTCGAACCAGATGACAAAAGATCTAAGGGCAAATAACCTTCCTTATCCGCAACACTACATAATGTTCTGAATCTCTTGAGGAAGGCCTTGTTGTTATTGAATTCGATGCTTTGTTCAAAGTTAGATTGAAAGAGAATCTTTAAGTGACTCAGATATCCAAAGTAGCAACAACGGTGGAGAATAGTCCATCCTGAATCTGAGTCACACAACTCTAGCGCTTTTTCCCCAACCGTGCTTTCCTGAAGCTTAAGCAAAAGGGACCATACTTTTGTATTCGGATAAGAAGAAGATAAGTGAAGGGGTAAAATATCTTTTCTTCCAGTTTTATGAACGAGATTAACGTCAACAAGCACCCGAGAAAGGGCTCTCCTAAGAGAAGAATGTTGCGTACAGTCACAATTCGAGAACCACTGTTGCAAACTCCCTTTACTTGCTTTGGAACAAGTGAACTTTGGACACAGTTGCTCTGAAAGCCAATCTAACACTGCAACCACTTGATCATACGAACACTCCCTTATAGCTTGCAGAAGTTCACATCTGCACTCGACGATAACTTCTTCCTTGCTTATCTTTCTCATAACAGACTTTCCATCTGTTCTATTGGTGACAACCCAAGTTCACACTCATAATCTTCCATTTGTGTAGAGAGTGAGAATGGGCAGTGTCGTTTCTCGTCTTGGCTGGTAGGATGATTCTTCTTTTACTTGCCTTTTTGGTTGAATATTGTTCTAGTTCCTTTTTAGGTATCCTGTACCCAGCATACTGTACTTTTAAAACTTTGAAACGCCAAGAATTTGATGAGCAGACCCAGTGGCTGACTTTTTGGATTGTCTACTCTTGTTTTATGGTTTTGGAGAGAGTTGCGGACGTTCTCTTAGCGTGGATTCCACTTTATTACGAGTGCAAGCTTCTTTTTGTTTGCTGGTTGGTTTTACCACAGTTTCGTGGTGCTCATCTGTTATACAAGCAATATGTGGGTCCTTGTCTCGCCAGGAGAGAAACTCAAATCGACCACACGATAAATAAGGTCAAGAAAGGTTCTACTGAAAGGCTTCATCGTTGGGCTGCACAGGGACTGAACTACGTAAAGAAGAGTGGAATAGAGTCCTTAGTGAGTTTACAAGAAGAGGAATTGGAAAACAAAAACCCGAATGTTGGGAAGACTCAAACTAAACTGCTGCACCAAAGGAAGATAACAAGTTCGAAGAAAATTTAACAGTATTATTGACAATGATTCTTACACTGGTTGATATCGTGAACTTTCTCAAAATTATTTCTACAAATAGTCTATAAAATTGATTGCATAGCACAGGATTCATTACCTACCCTTAGATTCTTTCCATGACAAACTTTCCAGATGTTCAACATGAAGAATAGACACATTTAAAAACTACAAAGAAAACAACTTTGTCACAGCTATAAAACAGTCCAAGCGACTGTAGACAAAGCAGGTCTCAATTAACCACTATCCACAGGTTTCTCTGTTGTCAACTTCTCAGCACTTGAGTTTTGTTTTTTCTGCAGTCTCTCCTGATCATACAAAGCCTTCAGCCAAAGCATTGCATTCTTGTGATTCTTTGATGCCGCTGATTCTATGAGCTTAATGGCTTGCTTTCTCAAAGCCTCAATACGCTTAGCATCCTTCGACTGCAAGATCATTTCTGTAGTTGGGGACCAACCACGAAGTACAAATATGCCCAATATAAATTGCGCAAGACCCAAACCAGACGAAGCTGATGCTTTTAAAAAATGTTCGGCTTTTTCATAACACGGTACTCCTCCATTTAGTTCTCCCGTTATGTAAAGAATTCCCAAGAAAAATTGTGCTTGTTCATGTCCTTGATCCGCTGCTTTTAACAAAAGCCTGTGGATCCTATCCAGCCCTGGAGCGATTCCAAACACAGCACCCTTACAAAAAGTGAACAAGTTCAAAAAGACAAAATAAGAAAAACCTACGGAACGCAACTGTACAGCAATTTCATACAAAGCGTCCGTCTCTCCACCTGCCGCTGCTGCTTCCAATAAATTCTCACCCCTCAACTGTGAATAGTCCTCCGAAAACGTGGAAGACAGGAACAAGGACCCTAACATCTTCATTGCTGTTAAGTGACCAGCGTCTACAGCGGCATCTAAACGCTTCCTCAACGCATCCGCATTACCAGAGTCAGCCATGAGGGCCTTAGACTCATCAAACAAATCATCTGCGAATTGTGCCGCTGACTTTCCGTGAGCTTCAGTAACACTGTGTAAGATCTCTGCAGCGGTCTTAAATACCACTTTTGGTTTCAAAAACTTAGATTTGGAGAGATTGAAAGAATCCACTCTTGATGCATTATCGTCCCTTGTAGTTACACGTGAACTTGTACAACACCAATGCTGACTTAATGCTGAAAGACGATACAGGGAGGTGACATCAAAACTTGCTTCGCGCCAGGAACGGTTAAACCGAATCGATTCCTCTCCGGTGACTCTTTTCCACATGGGCAAACTGTGACGACTAAAAAAGACACGGTTCATTCTATACCCTTTTTCGAAAATTGCGAAAGAACTCTGCTAATGAGGATAGGACCCAACCAAAGTCATCGGGAAACGCCAATCGTCTACGAAGCCATTTTGGCAATTTATTGGAAATGGCAGGACGTGCAAATCTTTGGTCCACCAATAAAACTGCGCCATAGTCCGAAATATGGCGAATTGTTCTTCCAATAGTTTGATTGACCAACTTGGATATTTTAAAATCAAAATAAAAGATAATAATAACAACAGTACCTTCATACACATATCCTCCAAGATTTCCTTGCTCGATACTGAAGGGAACATTCCAGTTATGTAGTTGATGGACTCTTGAAGTTCTATACTTAAGTGGTTGGGAAAAGGCATCCCAACAACAATAATACAGCGACCCAAATCATCCTGAAAATTGATTCCTTCTGAAAGTTTGCCTCCAATAACTGCAAAAAGTATGCCACCTTGTTGCTCATAAACGGCCTTTTTATAGTTATCCAGCACATTGTTCAACTCCAAGCTTTCTTGAGGCTCCTTGAATATGGCTTTTTGTCTTAATAGTAATTTCCAAATATCTTTTTGCTGAAGATAGTTCAATGCATAACTACAGTAAGAATAACTTGAGAAGAACACTACAACGCCACCAGGAACAACTCTGCAAATATTTAATAGCATTCTGCCCAGTTCATGAATAAGAATTTCTGATTCTCTTGTAGCATATGTAAATTCCAATGGTACCCTTGTAGGCCCTCGAGATACTATGATAGGCAATATGTGACTATCAGGAATGACATGATCAAAAGAGCAATGAACAATATGAGAGTCTTCAAAGGTACCCAAAAGGCGTAATTTTATATCTCGCAGTGGCTCCAGAGTTCCTCCTACAAACACAACGGAACGAACCAAAGAAATGATTTCTGTCAAGTTATTAGCCGCATGCAGAACAAGCATTTTGAAAGTACATCCAATATCCTTTCGAAACTTGACAATAATTCTGCTCTTAGAATAGGGCTGTTTCAGAGTCTGTACAAAATGGAATACAGCATGGATACCTTGACAAGGGTCAGTTCCATTGGAGTCGGACAAAATCCTAGACTTCAATAAGCCTATTAGTTTAAGATGTAAACATTTTGACTCCAGAAATTCGTTCAATTTGAAAATATTAAGATTATCTATTCCTAGACGAGTCACAAAGTCCTCAACAGTGAAAACATTTTGAGTCTCTCCATCAATGGGAGGAATTTTCAGATGTAGACTAGAAAACTGAACTAAAGACTCTAAGAATGAATGAAATTGTCTCAACATGAACAAGTTCAAGGATGACAATCTAGTCTCATAACAATCAATATACCTTTTCAAACCAAACAAGCAACTTTGTATCTGTTGAGTATTCGTTTCAGCTCCGTACATGTCGTTAAGTGCGTCTACAACATGATGTGCTTCGTCAAATATGACTATACTGATAAAAATAATCAGTCGAGGATAAAAATAACAACTAGAGGAGTTTGCTTACCAATTCGAATGTAAAGGAAGACGTAGAGACTCTCGGGTTGGCTTATGCAGCAGAGACTGATAAGGCAACAGAATAAATTGGGATGACTTGATTGCGCGTTTCATTCCATAGTAGGGACATGCTCTCCGCTCTTTACCTAGGTTGACTAACTCTTCGATATCAACAATTTCTGAACTCAAATGGTCTCTAAGAATTCTCTGGCCTTCTAAATGATAATAAGGACAACATCCTGGAGAACCAGGTTCCTTACTCGTTAGTTCCATGCATCTTTCATTGATAAGGTTTGCATTTGAAAGAGATGACACTTTCTCATTTATACACAAGTTCTTACGTGAAGATAAAATTAGAACTGAAGGGCGAGGAACCTTTTCACTCCACTGCATATTTGCTATGGTTCTTTTCACTTCCTCTTGAAACTGTAAAAGTTGAGAATGCGTTCTACTACAATAATAAATACGAGGAAGCTCCTTGCATTCATCTTCTTCTTCACTCATCTCTTCATTTCCAGAACCCAGTGTAAGCAATTGCTCCTTTTCACTTGACAATATTGATGTGTCCTTAAAGACTGTATCTGACAGCAGCCACTCATCATCAGGATCGGCTCCCACCAGTTTATTGTCTTGAAAGTTTCCGGAATGGCTTCTTTTATGTTTCTTATTTGATGAAGTTTCCAGGATAGTCTTACTTCTTTCAACTCGGTTTAATAATGTTCTATGCTGTCTGAGAGATCTTCTACGAGCGAAACGCTCAACGGCCTTTTCCGTCTGATTCTTCTTCAAAGAATCCTCAAACTCTGTAACCCAAGCAGGCTCGTCTGTTTCTTCATTCGTCCCTTTTTCTTTCTCGATCCCGTTTCTCTCATAGTACTGCCTAAGCCAAGTCAACACACCACACACGATACTTAAAGACTTCCCGGTCCCTGTTGGGCTCTCTAATATACCAATAGTGCCAGTTTCTATAACGTTCATTAATTTCTGGCAAAACTCTAACTGCACAGAATAAGGTACATATGGGAAGGATAAAGAAAGGGTTTCTAGGCTGGTTTTATTCTGTTCCGTTTCCATTTGCTATTATTGGGAAATGAAGTCGTTCGCACTTCGTCGATTGAAGGCTCTAAAGTGTCCTTTGTTAGATACTATTGATATTGCGGGTAACTTGAAACATATTAAAGTATAATCATAATCTGATAAAATGTTAGACACGAGTTCTCTCTGTAACGTGGTTTGTTGGCTGGAAGATGTGAAAATTCGGCGATATGACACTGCCAGTCGATCGTTTCTTAGACATCCTCAAAATTTATTTTTAGCACTGAATCAGGTAGTTTATACGTCAACTTTGTGTCACTTCTTACTGTGATGTGCAGTATTTGAAGGACTTGGGAGTTCCAGAAGAAGAAATAGCTTCCTTCGAGGTAAGCTTGAACTTTGGATGGCAATTGTATTTTTAAGTCTAGTCGTTATGAGACTTTGGAGTCCAAGATATATTTTCTAATTGATTTTGCTGTGGACTTATGCTTCAAAGATCTTATAGAAGAGAGAAAAGATGACTCTTTATTTTTGTCTACCAATCGAGTTGTGGATGGCATCGAATTAGATGAGGACCTCTGTAAGGAATTATATGAAGTAGGTTCTGATTTAGGAGTAGCAGATCCAGAGAATTTGGTTGGAACTTTGCAAGTCTTGGTTGATTTATTACGAAAAGGTTTCCAACTTGACAGTTTGAAGAAAGCTGGAACAAGTCCTCAAGGTATCGATGACGCATTACTCAAGTGCCTAAGAGATGAGGTTCCTAGTGGTTTCTCAACGGGAGGTTAGTAATTTGAGTTCTTTTAGTACGTTCTGATATCGAGCTTTCAAGATGATTCGTTGGATGACACATGCCGGCTTTTCCGACTATTGTACTTGAAAGACCTCAAGAAGTTGCAAGCCACGATCAACAAAGTAATCTTTGAGCTTCAAACTCAGACTGCAAATCCAAAGACAGATACTTCACGTGCTTGTATAGGACGCTAAACCAATAGAAATAGAATGAAATTGTAAATATTATCCTGTTCTGTAACATTTCGAATTTCATAAAACCTTTGAGGAAAATACCTTATCCTGATGAAGAGTCTCTTGTCGTGGGGAAGAACAAACTTCTGTTACTTGTTTCCTGTGTTACAGAAACCCAACTTTAGTACGCGAACTTCTGGCAGAACGTCAGTGTCCTATTGTCGTTGTTCTCCTGTTAGGTCCAATTCTTCTGTCAAGTTGAGACCAGCTAGCAGAAAGAAGACTTTCACTTATGCCGGAAACATTATTTGCAATAGAAAACTGCACATTGTAGATGTTTCAGTGACAGAAGACGAGATCCTTAAGTTAGTGGGTAATAAGACTGCTCAGTTTCGTAAAGATTGCCGCGCTTTATTAGAAAAAAGTATTGTTTTAGGAGTTATTCAGCCCGCTAGATACGAATTGTCTTTATTGCTTTGTTCAGATAACTACATTTCCTCGTTGAATAGTAAGTGGCGCAATAAAAAGGAACCAACCGACGTCTTGTCCTTTGCACAGGAAGAACAAACGGTGAGAAAAGTATATTGTGACTTTGGATATGGTGGCTTGACTTAACTGTAGCTTCTTGGCGATATTGTTATTTCAGTTGAAACTGCCTATAAGCAAGCACTTGAACGCAACTATTCTTTAAGGGACGAGATAAGAGTTTTGCTTGTACACGGGTTTCTGCACCTTCTCGGTTATGATCACGAGGAAAGCGAGCAAAGACGAGACGAGGTGATATTTTTGGGTTGTTATGTTTGCGCGAATACTTATCACCAGTGTGTAGATGGAAGAACTTGAAAACAAGTTGCTCTCTTCTTTGCAATGGAAAGGTAAAGGTCTGGTGGCTTTATCTTAGAAGAAATGCAGAATCGAAAGCTTTCCTCCCCATCGATACAACTACCTCTTATCTAACAGCAATAGAATGGGAGATAACTTTCTCTCATTGTGAATGGAAGAGATTCCTGTTAGTTATCCTTAACTTGTATGTTGGACAGTAGCCCTCTTTGTACAGTTCAAGTTTGTACAAATACTCCAGTCATGGTTGAAACTTGATGATCTTGGCATGTAGCAGACTTATAATAACTGAAGAATTGTTTCAAACAAATATAAGTACAGTCGCAGAAACTATCTGTTCAGGTAACTTTGGCAAAAAAGAAAGAAACTAGAAGAAAATGTTTAGAATGTCCAATGTTGGATTTCGATAAGATGTTTCGAGGACGCAAGGAACACTTAGTACTTGCTGAAAAAGACAATTTTTTCACAAAGGACATTCAAACAGAGTGCCAAAAGACAGTATAGTACTGGGATATTTAAATTATTGCTGTAGTAATTTGTCAAATCTGGTATCCAATAACAAACGATAAATTCAGCTTTTTTAGGAAGTGGTCAAAGATTAAGCGAACGAATCTTTTCCTGCTTTTAGTGCGAGTTTGCTTTGTTCTCTTGCAAAACCAAAATATTTTCATAATTACGGGAATGCAGAGTTCGCCAATCAAATCTCAGCCCGCTCAACTACTGTGAAGATTCCTACAATTTCTCGTGGAAATCAAGTCACGCAAAAAATTTGAAATTTTGGATTTACATTTGAAAATCTTCGATGCCACAACCAGTTCAACAGCCACTGAAACAACTTACCAACGAAAAAAGACAGCCTCGTGTTGCTTCCAACAAAGCAAAACAAGCTATTTCAAATATTTCTCAAGGATTCATTAGAAGGAAGCAGCCAGATGTTTCTGACGAGAACCAAGAAAATTCTCTTACTCCCTCGTTTACAAAAGAACAAGAAAGGGAAATCGAAGATAACAAAGGAAAGAAACGAAATTCTAAAAGGCCAGCAACAAGTTCAAATTTGCCGCTAACAGAACGAACAGAAAGTGACCACAATCAACAGTACAAGCAACTAACCGGAAATGAAGACAGAGAAAAAGACTTCGCTGCAAACCAGATCCAGTCAATCATGACTTCAAATACAAATGAGAAAGACGAAAAAGACATAGAAAACGTCAAAACCAACGAATTTATTCGAGCGGAGCAAACCAAAAAATCGCCAAAAAGTAAAAAAGAAAGAAGAGGACCAACAATTGGACAAGTCCTTAGAATGCGATCTTTTAAACCCACTGAAATGAACACTTACATGACTTGCGCCAAAGAAAATGTTAAAAGAGGTACAGAATTATCCAAAGAATTCTCTCATCAAGTTTTCGAAACTACGGAAAGCCACAAAAACTGTACGGTTGAAAAAATTGGACAAGAAGAAAGGAAAGAGGAACGTGACGTTACCCTTCAACAAAACGAGTCTGCGAAACAGGATTTCTCCTCTCAAGTCAACAATGCATTCAAATCTGCGAATTTTACAAAACAAAGAAAGGATGTATCCCCAACTGATATTACCAATTCTGGGAAACTTGGAAATTTAGACAAGAAAGTTCAGTCAACAAAAGGTTGCAAAGATAATTTGGAGGTTAATAAGCAGAAAGAATCTGTTCAAAGTACAAAATTACTGCCAGAAAGATATCCATGGGAACAAACAGGTTATGCCGATGGTGTTGGAATGTCAGAAATTCTCAGCGAAGAGGAAATAGCAAAAGAATGTGTAGATTGGACAATAATACTTCAAAGCCTGGGCAATGATTGGAACCATCGTGCAGCTACATTGAAGAGAATTCGTGTGGCAATTTCGAAGCCATTCATTAATCAATCCTCAAAATTTGTCGAGATACTTTCAAACGATGCACTCACCAATGCTCTGATAACTCAAACAACAGATCTTCGTTCTTCTCTTGTAAAAGAAGCATTCGAGACCATTGCTACAGTTTCAGAAAAATTAGGTGACTGCCAAAGGTTCTGGTTTGTAGCTTCAAAATTCTTAGAAAAAGCTTGTCTAGCATCTGTTGTACGAACGACCAAAGTTATTGCTGTTCCTGCGGAGGAATGTGGACAGAGAATAGTAGCTTCGACGCCCGCTGAAGCTGTCTTACCGGTTTTGTGTTCTACGATTCGTTTCGGTTCTCATCCCGTAGCTAGAGAAAAGGCAACTAACTACCTTTTGAAAATTCTAAAAAGAGGGAGACCTCTGATACAGGATCCCCACTGTGCAACTGAACTCGAAAAAGGGGAAGACGTAAATCCAGAAAACAGTGATAAAACTAAAGCTGGTCTATATACCGCCTCCGAGTTTATGACTGACGCTTCTGCCTTAGAATGCTTGAGAGACGTAGTCATTTCCTCGATTGGAGACTCTCAAGGTAAAACTCGTGAAGCTGGCTTGTGTTGTTTAAACGAAATGAAGTCTCACTGGCCAGACTATACAACGAGTTTGCTTGAAAGTTTAGATCCTTCTCTCCAACGTCGCGCAGTAAATTCTTTATCGACAAGCTCTAACGAAGGAGTTTCGACAAAACAGAAAAAAGAGTTCAAAACCATCAAAGAACTCAAAGCTGAAGCCCGACAGAGTAAGGATCAAAAAAATTCTTCAAGTGCACTTACAAACAAACTTGTAAGTGACGAAGAAACTCTATCTGTTGCAATATCTCAAGTGAAAATTGATGCGAGCCAAAAGCCCAGCAAAAATATAGCAACATCTCGTAAAAGCAACTGCGACAACTTATTTTCGGACGAGAAAACTTCGAGCAAGTCGGAAAACATAGGTTATCCAATTCGCAATTTACGCAATAGAACGATTCATAGTTCTAATTAAATTTGTTTTCTTCATCTGATGCTTTTGTGTCTTGAAGATTATTGCAGACTTGTTCTTATGTAAAGAAGGCTAGTTCAGTTTTGTTTATTGCTCATTGTCCCAAGGTTTTACTCGTTGCCCAGTCATGTTTTCCCTTCGCTATCTGTCTTCAACAGCTGTTTCCAAGGGAAGAGCTTTTGAACGGACCGTGTTATTGTATCTTTCGTATTATGGCTTTTTATTACGAAATACTGGTGGTGCTGGAGACGGCGGTATTGATTTTCGTGGAACTTGGAAGCCGAATGACACTCAAAAACCCATAACTGTCGTTGGTCAATGTAAAGCACTGTCAGAAAGAGTTGGAGTACATGTAATTAGAGAGTTGGAAGGAACCCTTTGCCGCGAAGAGCCTGGTTGTTTAGGTGTTATAGTGAGCGAGAAAGGTCAAATAAACATTTCTCTTCTACCACGTTCTATTCTGAAGTTATTTGATAAGGTTTTTCGTTGGTTAGTCGTCGCAGCTGCTATTCCTCCAAATTCCCAATGGTATTAGTTAGCTTTCATCCTTTGTTAGAAGGGAAAATATCCGAATTTTGGTATGTCTAACTATGATCTACTAGAACCACGTTAAAAGGAAACGCAGGTACAGCAATCTTGTGCGGTCGTTAGTTCCAAACCTGAGAGTAGGGTTTTCCTTCGCTAAAAAAGAGTCCAACGTTATACGCATTGTACATTTCATAGATACAGAGCTTCGAAGTTCAAGAGTATAACTAGTGTCGCTTCACTCGTCGCAATGTGTTGCTGCCGTGGGCGTTTGATGAGTAACAAAAGTATTTCTATTTTTTCTTATGTTTTAAATACTTTAGACGATTCGAAGTTTCTGAAGGCAGTCGACTCGGACAAGTGTAGCTTTTTGCTTGCCTGGAGTCCAGTGTTTAGTCAAAGGCTTTACATTTCTTGTGTAGGACGTACTCTTTCGCATAATCTAGTGGTGAAGCGAAGAAAATTTTCAGTTTCTTGTATGAAAACGTCTGAATCTGGTGACAGAAGCTCCTTTTACAAGCGTCCTAGTAAGGCACTGAGACGTGGTGGTGGTTTCTTTGTTCCTGGTTTAGAAGGTCCAGTACTGGAACGTGTAATAGGTGGAATACTTTTGTTTGCTTTTTTGATGAATAGTTTCACTATAGAAGATTGGACCTTAAGTTTGAAGTTATCTTTGTCGAGTGGTATTTTGGCAATCTTCTTGTGGTTGTATTTACAGTTTCGTCATAAACCTGTTGAGTCATCGACGGCGAGGAAAGTGACGCGGACAGTTCCGACGAAAACTCTTCGCAAGGCACCAAATATCTCGTTTTCCTCTTCAAGTAGGTTGTTCTTGCATATTTGATTTGCTTAACTTGATTTTTCAGTGGAAAACGAACTGAATTCTTTACTAGAAGTACTTGATACCTTTTATAGGGTTGAATATTTGGCTATTTACAGAGAAGTTGGTAAGTCACTCAGCTAGACTGGCTAACCGTTTCAAATAATGACTTTTTAAAAGAACCTCATACTACTGTGCCCGTATACCTCACTGTTGGTATTCTTGTCGAGGACTTAGTCAAGTTGCTTTACAAGAATGTAGACAAAGCTTTACATTTTTCTACTTCGCCTCCCTGGCAACCTGAGCTGCTCTGTTTTCTTCCAAACGACTTAACGACCGATGCTGTCAGCTTATGGCTATATCCTTTTATCTGTCCATCAGTTGATAAGCTATTTACTGTTGTAGTCTGTTATGAAGGAACTCAGAGACTGTCGCCAGAGAATGGGAAGTGGCTTATAGGGTGGATAAAGAATCGATTGATTCCTTATTTGGACTCTTTCCAATCTTCTGGAAATTTTTGAAGACATCATGATTTCTGTTGTTGAAATGAATGCGAAATATTTGAGGCATTCTGAAGTCCTTATGAATTTCATGCATGGTGGTTATCTGACTCTTGCTTGTTGAGGAGATGTGAAAATTTTTTTAGGAACATGGGTTTGTGTATCGATGCCTAAGGGCTTTTATCATAGTCGACTCGTGCTTTGAGCTAATTAAGTTTCGACTGAGCCATTATCAAGAAACTGAAACAGATATCTAAATGCAACAGGGCTAGACATGATCAACACCAACTTGCTAAAGTATACTTAAACTAAATATTCCAAATGTACCCGGAGAATTATCACAGAAATAAACTGTATGCAGCTTCAACAACTCTCTTCAACTCTTTAAGCTACTTGGTGTGACCTTGTTGCAAAAGTGGCCGGAGCCTTTCTAACCACTCCTCCTTGTTCCAAGCACTTCCAGCAGCAGTGTCTTCAATACCATTCACAAAATATGTCGGTGAAATATGAACTCCAAGCTTACGCGAATACTTGATAGCGAATTTCATTAACTTTAACAAGTCAGCAAGGGTACATATGCTAATGAGAAATAACAAACCGATTGTACTTGATTGCCATCATTTCCAGTTCCGCGTATATGTAATAGATTCAGCATCTTATCCTCAGGAATATGTATTTTCTAAGTCACAATAAAAGCAGCATTACATGCAACAACTGAGGAATGGAATAGACAAATAACATTTCTTACGCTTGCTAAGTTTGCTAGATCTCCATACAATTCCCTTCTAAAATGGATATGAAAAACTTTTTGTCTGACCTGCTCACTTTCATTCAACAGACAGTACTCACCTACTCTTATCATAACAATTTTGGTCAAAGAATTCATCCTGATGCTCGAATAGCAAACGAGAATAATCGAAGAATTTTTCCTTTGCAATCAACCCAACAGCTAAAGAAGCTTCATGCATCAACGCAGACTGTGGATGCCACGGTTGAATTTGATTCTGAAATACAAACAGAACCTGATTGTTAAAGGCAGGAATAATTGAGTCAACCAACTTTAAATATGCTATCCTAGAAAAAGGACACTACAGTCGAGAAAGATTAGGAAAGTAATGGCAAATAAATTCATAAAAACACTTACACAGTAGTCAAGAAACACTTGGAGTTCAATTGGTGCTGAAAAACTGCCAAAACTGAACCCCAATTTCTGAAAGTTCAGTTGAGATCCGACGCTGCATTAACGGCAACAACATACCCTTTCTGGAAGAGGAGGTCCTGAAACCATAACTAAGCGACGCTTAGAATTGGAATGACCGACAGCTCTTGGGATCCTTGTTAGGGAATAACGAGAAACATTTTTCGAAACTGAAAGAGTTATTGTTGGAGGTACGAACGACATTACCATTTAAGGTGGCGAATTGCAAGAATCAACTATTGATCAAGTTGTAAAATTCTCTATTATAAGGACGTGTTCTACTATCACAATACTAGAATTTTTAAGCATTGCGTGGAAATAAAACCAACACAAATAAAGGACCATACATATACATTCTCCATCTCAAGGAAAGGCTTACTGCAAAAAATCAGATTTTTAACAGGAATTTATTACTCAAAGCCTTGCCAAAAGTCTTAGCAACAACCAACAACTTTACAATTCTTATTTAGAAAATACCTTTGTGAAAATTATGAAGGAATATTGATTTGTTTTCTTGTTCATTGTCTTCACATGCTTCCGACCTTGTACGATATGAGGTGCATGACATAGTTTATTAGTGAGTTCACTCAAAATTGATGGAAGAAATGTTGCTAGATAGAAATGACGAGTTTTCCAAAATGTTGACAGAAGCGATCGCTGCCGGGAGATTTGCATTGAACTCTTTGTGTCTGACTGGTCATTAGAGAATGAACACATCTTTGTGTTTCAACGTCGCAAAGCTTCCCAGTCACAGCTCCATAATCATCAGGAAGACTCACTATTTTATTCCCAACCCAGTATGTCGTCATCAGTCAAAAAAGAACTTTTCCTATGCTGTTAAACGAGATTCGCGAAAAGCTCATTTCTTTCTACTTTCTTGCTCCGGTATTATACTAAACACAAAGTCAGGCGGTCACGCTTTTGTGGGTTATTATTTAGCTCATGCACTGCTGCAACAGAAGCAAGTACAAGTAACATTGTGGAATGAGGGGTCAGAGGCACAACTTAGAAGTTCTCAACCGTTTTCTCACTATTCAGAGTTGAAGACTCTCGGAATAAATACTATATTCGGTCAATCTGCAACTGAGAGTTTGGAAGGTAAAGTGAGAAAATGTGACTGGATAATAGACAAGTAGGTTTCAAACCACTGTTTCCCACTATTTACTCAACTATACACAGTTTTTCAAAGGACGTTGAAACCACGAAGCCCTTGGTAGAACTGGCAAGTCAAATAGGAGTCCGACACTATCTTTTCGTTAGCAGTGCTGGAATATACAAAGCAAGCGAGATGACTCCGCACTTTGAGAATGATCCTGTAAATTCAGACGCTGCTATATCTCAAACAGAACGATTCCTTCTTTCACAGACCTCTTTCGCAGTCACTTGCTTCAGACCTATTTATTTGATCGGGTTAAAAAGTGCCAAAACCAGCTACACAGACTACTTCTTTGACCGCATAATTAGAGGACTAAAAGGTAAGTTATTCTTCAAAGAGTGAAACATCAATAACCCTCCAAAGTGCCCATACCCTATCCTGGGGACCAACTAGTTTCACTTAGCCACGTGGATGACCTTGTGCAGATGATAATTCTTTCTATAGATAAATCTGACGCTTTTCAAGAAATATTCAATGCAACTAGTGGAAAATTCATTACTGTTCGAGCTTTAGCCGAGTTGTGCTCTCAGGTGTGTTGCAAACCTTTGCAAACGTTTTATTACGACGCGGGACTCGCTTCTAATTCCTTCTCACGATTTCCATTTCGCAACAGACATTTTATAGCTGATCCACGCAAAGCAGAGCAACTACTGGGTTGGTCTAGTCATACGAATTTGGAAGAGAATATTGCACAAATGTTCTCAGAATATTTATCTCTCCAAAAGGATAAACAAAATTTTCCATTGGATGAAGATCACAAACTGTGGGAAGTAATGAGTAGTATTTCATCTTAATGCAAAAAAATAAAGCGCGTTTGGTACCCTGTTTTATTTCCGTTCCTTTTGTATCAACTACATTATCTGCAAGGTGCTATGGTAAGAAGAGAGTTGGGAAGTTTCCAAAGTTATTGTCGCCATATCGAAGAGACTGTGTGTGCAGTTGTTGTAGTGAATCAAGCTCTGCAGAAGCAGCTTTTGAGCTTAGAAGACTTTTAAGAAAGACTCCTATATACATTGTCGGTATGATGGGAAGTGGAAAGAGCACGATTGGTGAACTCTTAGCTAGAAAGTTGGGCTATTCATTTTTGGACACCGTTCAGATAATAGAGAGGGCTTCAAAGAAAGAAATATCAGAGATTCTCAAAGAATATGGAGAAGAAAAGCTTAGAGAAATAGAAAGCGACGTTTTGAATCAAGTTCAATCTTACGTATGCTGTGTAGTTGCCACTGAAGGAGGAGTTGTTCTTAAGAACAGCAATTGGGCTGTTCTTCACGTAAGTGGTCTGGATCTTTATAGTCTTATTCTGAAATTTTTCAGAATGGTATTGTGGTGTTTTTAGACGCTGCCGTTCCTATCATTTTCAGAAGGCTCCAGCGAGAGGAGAATGAGCTATTACAAGGATTCCACTCATTGGAGAAACTGGAAGATATTCGGAGAGCAAGACTACCTTTCTATTTACAGGCAGATATTCATATTTTGCTGAATGATAACAAGAATCAAGAATTAAATTATGAAGCTGTTGTATCTGAGGTAATAATTCAACTTACTCAATTTCTTCGAGAACATAAGAAACCTGAAACGGTTTGAGATTTTTTGAAACGTAGATTGCTGTCAATGAGAACTAGAAAAAGAGAAAGCGAGATTTTAGATAAAGTTTCTTGTGACATTCCTATAGACCAGGAGACATTTCGTTTATGTCTGTCTTACTTATTGTTTACTATCACTGTCACATATGGTCCTATTCTCCATTTTAGTTCTTTTTTATCCTACTCATGTCTTAAAATATATTTGAATAGTGAGATTAGAGTAGTTAGAATTGTCATATACTTCGAAAGGCTCTAATTCGTGCTTCAGATCTTGAGTCAGACATCTCCACAAGAAGAGAATCTTTAGAATTAACAAAGCTGGTACTCTTGACAACATAAACCTTACATCGTGTCACAACCCAGAGGTCATTCTAGAGTGGTATAAAAGTTGAAGGACGGCCTTGGGGTCGACAAATATGTCAATACTTATCCGTATTATCTAAGGGATTGGCTTACTACTTATTGGCACAGCATCGGATTCTTGCCTGATATTTTCAAGAACCCTAAACTAGATCGATGTTGCTTGTTTCCTTGCAAGTTCTTTCTCGACAGATGCGTTTCAACTTCATTTATGATAACAGGATCTCGTCGAGTTCTTTCTCCTTGTCTGTTTTGAATACAAACCTAAACTTCTGGAAAGATTTGCCCACATTCTTCTGATTCGTGGAATATTCCTGGTAGTATCAAATCCTCAGCTAATATTCAAACTTTTCGTATGCTTTTCAACAGGCGGAGGACTTGGGCAGCTTCTTGAGCAGAATAAGTTTACGAAAACGAGGACAACTGGAGTATTCAGCTGTACAAGCCTTGTCTCCAAGTTAATCGTTGGTAGTCCTATCAGAAAAGAGGAAGAAAAGTTATTCGAAACGATAATACTTTATCAACTTACTTTCAAGCGGGTTTCCCTCAATTATCAAGGAAGAGAGTATGGACAGAATAAGGAATGGTTAAAAGCAGCTTGCTACTTCAATTCCATTATAAGTTCTACAGTCTCGAAAGATGACCTGATACAAGGTTTCGTTCTTTTGGGTCTGTGGGTTTTAACTCCCTATAGGACAAGTTCAATTTCTACTCCCAGCAGACCACTCATACAAAACTTTGGTCGCAATCTTGTTGCTCCTTGTTTTGAATTTACATTCATCTCCCAATCTTTGAACATTACTTTTTATAATCTTCGTAGGCTCTAAATTCGCCACTGATTTATGCCTCTAAATAATCTGAAGACCTTAGTTTAGCATATCTCTTTTAAAAATTTTAAGAAATAACAATTTTACTAAAGCTTGAATATTGAAAATAAATTCAGCTCTCCAGGATCACCTTTTTATTCTTGTGGACGCTTGGCTTTCCATATGCAAAAGTATGAAACAAAAAATCTGTCGTGAAATAGAAAGTCCAAAGACAAACTCTCCCAAAAGTTTACAACAATACAAATCAACAAACATACTCGAAGAAACAACAACAAATGCTATCTTTAACTCACTATTGCCAAAGAACTCGTGCAAGACCTTGACCATCGTTACTGGTATATCTCAGATAATCTAAGTCATAAGAGGCCTCAATAGTCTTTAGCAAGTTGTAATGATTATATTTTCCACAAGTCACAATATGGATATGGATTTTCTCTGGATATTACAATCAGTAGAACCTTTCCACCTCCATAATAGCCATCATAATGAGGAACGAATAATCAGCAAAAGAAAAATTTCTGGAATAAATGTAGGCTGTATCTGTTCCTCCTTCAGTAAAGACATTTATTTCTTCATTATAATTGGCTTCATCCCGAGTGACAACTATCACCGAGTTCCCTGTCCAACTAGGAGAGTTTACAATTTTGAGAATCCACCACTCTCGAAAAAATTCATCTCCTCTGTTCCATAAATTATTGATATTGACACAGTTCTTAGAAGTATTTCTGGTATTATAGCAATATGCTAGTTTCTTAGGAGTGTTGGGATATTCAGTTACTGCTGGACATACATCGGAGCCTCCTTGCATATCGTGACAGATATCAGGGGAAATGAAAACGTATTCTGGAACATTACAAGTCTTGTTCTAGCTCTTCTAAAGGGGGATTATTTGCAGCTCTTAATGGATCTTGGAAAATTTGAGGATAAAATAAGAACGGCACATGCTCTTGAAGCCAAACAAAGCTACTATTTTGAGGGTATGAAGAACTGCCTTTGTAGCAAGCATACGGAATAGATTGTGCATAGTTCTTCCAACCAAGACCTTTTTCTTCCAGTTTATCTGCAATACAAATATGGTCAAAGACTTGTTTTGTTGAATCTTTGTGACTCCACCAGTTGCTTCCAGAAGTAAGAGCGATGTAATTAGGCACAAGCTGGTATGAGTTGTTCCATAATATTCTGCTGCAAAACAAAAATGTTGTATCAGCAAGTTGATAAATGGCATATCCTATGAAGATGAATACATGATCGAATGGTCTGATGCCTTCTTTACATAAATATAAGAGAGGTTCCTTCTAGGACATTGAAAGCTACTTGCAGAAAATATTCCCATATTTTGTAAAACTACCGTTCCATTCTCTGTAGGGGCTTTTGAGGGAGCAGGGGATAGTGTAGTGGTTTGCTGTGTCAAATTGACGCTGCCGAATGCATTTTGTTAGAAACTCTCCTGAAAAAGAAGTAAAACAGCCAATATTGATGCAAACGATTTCATAGCAAATTTCTCCAGTTCATTATTGCTTGACGCTTCACATCTTGTTGTTTTTTCAAATGCTAAGCAAGCTGTGAACTTGGTCTATTGGATATTCAGATTCTGAGGTGCGATTCGAATAAAAGATCTCTGATATTCATCGTTGAAGATCACAAAACTCCATTTTAAAATTGAAAGCAATTTCTTTCTCCAAAATGTTGTTTTAAAGTGTCAATAGCGCCAAGGCAGCCTAGAAAGCTTGCTTCAAAACTTCTTCTGTAGTATATACAGGTTTTGAAACTTTGGAAATGTGATTCTTTTTCAGAAAAAGTTCATATGCTATAATATCAATGAATGCAAAAGTTTGTTGCTAATTTTTTGTATGGGTTATACAAAAATATTCGAAAAATCGTCTAGTGCTTTACTAGTAGATCCTTCAGTACGCAGAAAATATTTTTCCTAAAATGGAGTAAGGTTAATACGATGTGAATTTCTCAATTTTTCTTAATAGATACATAGTATCATCTTCATTTAATGATGAGAACCTGAGAACAACAAGTTGAAATGTATATGTCGTTTAAGAGTAACAAACTTGGAATTATGCGGATCCCTTCAATAAGCCCTTCTGGTTGGAAAAAAAGTAACACAGTATTCTCTCTGACGACAAGTAAAAGAAGATTCAAGACAAGCACGATTATATGTGGCAATAAGTTGTCAAGTTTTGAAGGATATCCAAAGTCCAATCTATTTCATCGTTTTCAATGGAAAAATAGTCGTAGCTTTAAAGCTTGAATTCAGCCTCGTTTATGTCATCCAAACCATGCAACTATGGTAAGAAGAATAAATTTGCTCAAGTTTGATATAGTTTTTGACAGTGTCTTATAAAACAGCCCCTGATTTATAACAACTTTTGAAAATTGTTTGTTTTAGAAAATTTCTCAGATATTAAAACAAGATATTCCTAAATATTTTTGGAAAGCAATAAAACTATTTTTTGTAGTGTTGAAATGCCAATATTTCTCGAATGTGGATTATCCACAGCCTTGAAAGCGTTCCTTAAATTTGATAAAATGTCTTTGCCAATAAAGTTTTCTACATCAGCTTCAGAAAGAATAACCAATTCACAGTTGTGAGGAATCAAGAATTCTCCAACACTATCGCCAGATGAATAACAACGACTAGAATGATTCAAGTCCTCAGATACGTTGGTTGCTAACTGAGTACTCATAATAATCAACATACAATGCCATGTAGGATGACTAGTCAATACTTGATCATGAACTGGTTTCAAAAACTTGTGAGCTTCTTCCAAAATTTCATTCCATCGAATACCATTACGACTCCATCGGCCTTTACAAGCAATACCCACAATCATCAAGTTCTTCTCATTCGTTCTTCCATGCAACTTGAATAATATATCTGGACTATGAAAAGTTGAATGAAATGGAATATATATCTTTTCAAATTCTAACATTTCTTTCACTATCCTTTCCCATTCATCATTGCTTCCAAATGTCATTCTCTCTGTTCCTAATACAGCTCTGGTATAATGTATAGATTTCATATAATAAGCAGCAGATTCGGAAGAAAATTGTAAATTCATTTCATTCCAAACACGAGACAATTGACCAAGAGTAGAAAACATTGAGCTGTTTGTAGGATGCCGAGAAAAGTGTAAATAAAACAGTGTAGCAATAAGACCTTCCAAAATTCGACATTTCGACTCATAAAAGAATTCGACAGATTGAGACTTGAGGGTTTGTAAAAGTAACCATTCTAAACGATCATCCTTTAAGCCTTGGTCAATATATTCAATCAGTAACTTGGGAGTCAACACTTCATAGCGTTCGTTGCGGTCTGGTTCTATAACCAATCGACGATAGAGACACATATCTGTAACTAGATCAAACAAAAACACATCAGAATTTGAGCTTACTTGCACAGTTTTTATCAAAATCAAATCGAATACGATACAAAGATAATAACGTAAGCATTCTTAACAAGCGCTTACGCTGCTCACTGAGACTTATCAGACGAGGTAAGAATGTCGCAACACAATAATTTGTTACTAGAAAGCTATTCATTATGATCAAGAAGGTTTCCTTAGATAATAAGAAATTGTTGTTGGATGATTTATACAGCAAAAGGTAACTGATTGCTCGAACAAGTAAACCAGGAACACCACCTGTACATTCCAATAACGAATCTGCCAATTCATTTACTGAAAATGAAGAACTACATAAGACATTACAAACTGGAACTTGAGTAGGTGTCTTTAGAAGACTCTTTTCAAGGAATTCAACGATACTGGAAGCGTCCAAAGGTGATAAAGGGATAAAATGTAGTATAACTCTCGATAGCCCAAAAGCCACATCATTCTTAATACTTAAACCCTTGCTTTTCCCAACAACTATAAAAAACAAGTCGGGTTCTTCGCACAATTGACTAATGATGCCGAAAAAGTCATTGTAAGGTCGAACCACACCTTTGTCATTCTTCTCCAGTTCAAAAAAAGTTGCCTTTGTATCAAATACACCAACTTCATCAAAAGCTATAAGAAGATATTGATCGGAAGGAATGTTTAAGATGGAACGAAGTTTTCTAACTAACTTATAGGGACGTGTACGGCATTCTTTAAATACTACTTCTTCATCCTCTGGTTCTTGTCCAACAGAAGTGCAACACGCTTCTATCATTCGATAGTAGACTGTCCACTTTAGGTTGCGTTCTTTCGGTTCTGTGGGCTTCAACTCCCTCAAATCCACAAAGAGCAACGAAGCCCTTTTCAGCTTCTCCAAAAAGGTTCTCCTCAAAGGGTCCGAAGCAAAAGTCGACAGAAAATTTTCACCAAACCTTTGCACCAACTCCAAATAGTTATGACAAAACGTAGTCTTGCCAGAACCGAACATGTGCGGAGCGAATGGTATCGTCAAGCGATAGTTGCAACTACTTGTTACACCCCTGAGTTGTTCTCTGTTGCTATGAAGATCATACAGTTCTTTTGTCACTTGAACAACATCTCTTTCACGATCTACCACAACAGACTTAAACTTGACCAAAGCTTTCCACTTTTCATCCAAACTCGCCATCGTCAAAGTGAAATTAAACAATCTTTTGTTTATTTCGGAGTACAAATATAAATAAATGAACGATTGACTGTTTGTTTGTCGGTCACAACAACAACAAGGAAAATAGTAAAGGATACCAATCCAACTTCTTCTCTTTATCAACTGATGACTATGTCATACCCTTTATGGCTTGGACTGAGATGACTAGAACTATGGAAGAACGATCAATATGGCTTTTTCAACTATCGATATTCTTATTCTCGTATGCTAATATAATGGTAACTCTCATAGGGTACAAGGAGGATTGGAAGGAAGCCAATGTTTATTTCACAAGTTTTTTATGCTCTTTGAGAGTATAAAGCTATTGAACATGGCCCATTCTCACATAGATAAGAAAGTTTCTTTCAGAATTTTCGAGAGTAGTCATGAGAGTTCCGAGCAATATAGATTGTTCATGAAGATTTTGTTCCATAGACGTCTCTCTCTAGATTTTCTGTATTTTATGGAATAGTTTTTACGTCACTTTTGCTTCATTTCGAAACACGGAACTAGTGTATGAACCAAGTCATTCTCTTGTACGGTCTATTCAAAAGCTCCAGTTGAAATATTATTATTTAGTAGAAATGCAGAAACCCACAAGCACAGCACTGCTTTATTTTCAGCAATCATCAAATTCCTTTCTTACGATATCATGACAAGTAGCAGCTTATCACTAAAGCTACAAAAGTTGATGATAGCAATAGACAAACCAAAACAAATGTGCAAAGAAGGATCCAAAATATCGCGTGGTGTTATCAAATCTCAGAAACAACATTGACTCACACAAGTGTATCATCAATACTCAATTTCTGTAAGAGTCAATAACTCCTGTTTCTTTCTCCTCTGAAAATAGTGGCATTTGATACTGTGGATTCTGTTAAGAGGAGAAAAGATATTTTCAAGAAAAATTCAATTCAGTCGAATTGAGTCTATTCTAGCGACTTTCTTCTCGTATCTTGTCATTGCATAGCATTTGAATCATAGCTGAATTATTTCTCCTCAATAGTCGACTATACACTTGAGGTGTTTTTGAAGGTAAACATGACTGTTTAGGTTTAAAGGTTTTCACTGCATCCTCTTGTACGATAAACTTTGTAAAAACCACAACTTTTAAAGATATACAAGAAAGCAAACTATAAATTGTACAAAGATGCTTTAGGAACGATATAACTCCAAGAGGGCTATTATCTCTTCCAATATAAAAAAAGGTAAAACTTTTAAAAGCTCTGCATATTCAAAGAACGATTTGTCCAGTTGAGTCCTATTCTTCTTCCATTCTCAACCATCAGCTCGTTGAATAAGTGAGTCACTATACAAAAGTTCCTTGCGTTAGGCACTTGGAAGAAGACTCTTGCGAAGTATAACCTGATGGGTACACTAGTAGAGGCTTCCTTTTGGATATTGGTAACGAGAATCAAAAACAACCCAACGTTTCGTATAAAAAACGGGTCTATCAATAGAAGGTATGTTCATTTCTACTAGGGACAAGTCAAACTTGAAAAAGAAGAGAAACGCCTTTTTATCCAAGTTGCTCTACAGAGAATAAAAATGTCGTCAACTCGCAAGCAATATTCAGCAGAATAAGATAACACAAGTTATCTGATTCTTTTGCAGAGTCAAAATCTTAAATGATATTTTGGTTGTTATCCAAACTGGTAAAGGTCTTGTTCTTTTAAATATATTGGATCAATTTCGTCTCCTAGTGAAAAGAAAAGAATATAAACGTAGAAACAATGGAAAAATAAGAATCTTTCATCTCTCTTGGCAAAGTAAAAAAGAAAGGTGAATCTTGAAATATATGTGCAAGGAGAACCAAAAGCATCACCACTCTTACTGTTGTTATACTATTGAAAACTCTCAACAAGTTCTTTACGTGGAGAACGAACCAATAGCCTTGAATCGTTTGAGGTTCGATCCTACTTATCGTAGGTAGTTTATGTACGAATTTGTGTATAGACAAAAGTATTCCCAACCTTTGGTCAGTTTTTTACTATTGTCCTGTCCTCTGTATACTTTCCAATTCTAGAGTTGAATATACGATTTATTCTTCTTTATAACTCGTAATCGAACAAAGATTGTTCCTTGAGCGTAATTTGCATAGAAGGAAAGGTTCTAGTTCTCACAACGCAAGCCAAACAGAGTTAATGTCATTGAAATTAGAAAATGACCATTTGCACCTCTAAGGACTTTTCCTAAATTTTGAGTGACCAACAAAGAAAGGTTCTCAGATCGAGAACGAGTCAAAAACTGGTTGTAGCAAAACCGTTCTTGATTTGTTATCAAAATAGGGTCACAAGTATTCTGAAATTTACCTTGCAGAGACAATATTGATCAAACTCAACTCTGTTAGAAGGCTACAGTGTCGCTAGGGAGTTGCGAGGAACTTTGTTACGACACTGTTCTTCTCGTTTCACAAAATTACTGAGATGTGAGATTGATTGTATCTAGCACATTTATTGTTCCAGAAACTTTTTACATATCTCCAAGTGGAATATTTTCTTTCATAAAACTCACTAGTCACTTAAAATAATATATCTCCAGTGAAAGGAGAGAATACAAAGCGATCCTTTTCATAACAATCCAATTAGAAATGAACACAATGGTTTGATTGTTGGATGGAAAGGAAGTTTCAGTGAGTATTGTCAAGGCTGTGGACCTGATTCAAGTTTGCTAGTGAAACTTTTCCGACTTTAATTTCTAAAGCAAATTCTTCGTTCGTTTTAGTTGGACAAGTGAATTTCTATTATCTACGTTTCTTTTTAAGCTCTGCAAATGTTTCTTATATAACGATCCATCGATTCCTGAGCTCGGAGTTCCTTGTAGACTGTAGTTTCTTTTAGTATGTATAAATTTTATTATCTCTTTGGAGTTTATATACTTTATGCAAGACTTGTTGTTATTTCACTTCTGGTCTTGTATGGAAATTTGAGATTAGCGTTGTCGAGAAGAGAGCAAAGACAAAGGAATTCAAGCTGTGGTTGAGTGTTGGTACTTTAGTCAACTAGTTGTTTCACAAGTTTGTTTATTTCTATCGATAATTGTTTCAGAGCAGTTTTGCGTATTTATTAGCAGTTGATAGTCTAGTCTTGTAGTCTGTCGTTGAGATTCAGTCTTTGGGTTGATATTTCAAAGATATTCTGCAAGAAAGCAGTTAGACACTCCGTTGAGTGTTTTGTTCAGTACACAGAATTATATTCCGTATACTAGTTTTCCTTGTCTTCTATATGACTCTTTTCAAGATGGAGAAATCGGTCTGTAACTCTGCAACAGGCATTTCTCAGGATAGCATAGGAAAGTCTTGAGTCCATCATTGCTTATTTTCAATGATTGTTTGTATTGTTGTGCTTTTATATCAATTCTCTATTGATTCGAATATGTCTTTTGAAATATTATGGATGTGGGGCTTTAGATAACGAAAGCTGAATAAACTTGTATTTTGAAAGCAAGGGAACAGTTTTTAGTTCAGAATATACTCAACTTGTTGGGAACCATGAAATAAAGCAAGCAAAAGAGCACTGCTGAAAGTCATGGTTGTGTTCACCTGGGTAAAGAGTTGTGACGATGGCGACTGTAGCTACTAGTCCGTTTTCGAAAAACGCTTTGTTTTTATGAATTAATGGTTCTACCGAGGGTAAAA